CTGCTTTTACGAACGACAAGCTTGTATAGCGTCTGATCGGGTTTGGAGTTCAGTGTATCCCTACAAGGGCCTTGAAAAAAGCGCTACACTTTATCTGCCTTTTAGTTCTCAGGCATTCCGCATGGAGGGCGAGAGCGAGGGTGGGTCTTGCTGCATCCGCTAACAGCTTCGAGCATTACAACCAGTTGCACATTGCATCTAGTGCAGAGGGAGGCAACGCTGGTTTCTGTGGTATTGAGCTAACTGTGGTCTAAATCGTATGGCAATTGAAATTGCAAAGATAAAAAAACGTTTTTGGCTAATTCCTGTGAAGAGTAAAACCAGTGCAGTAGAAAATGCAAAAATGAAGCCTAGCCCTCCACACGAAGGATTGCCTGACACAGTGCTACGGCGAGGTAGCATGTGTGGTGCTATGCAAATTACATTCCAGCGGCTGAGATGGTCTCCTCATGGTGTCGAATGAATTGAGACGCAATAGAGCTCTAACCACCACGGTATTCCCTGGTAACCTTGATCTCCATAGAACCATCGTTTCATTCTGGCTAGGCTATGGCAGCCTGCAGTCGAAGAAGTGCTGCGCCAAAGAAAAATTTTTTACATACAACTTGATTGATGTACAAGAATGCAGGCACGAATTTGACGAGAGACGTGCATAGCTTACTTCACCAGGGGCCAGCGGCATGCGTCGAGTCTGTCGATGTGCCTGCTGTTGTAGGCCATGTGGTTCGACTAGGTGCACGGGATGGTGAACCGGTCTACCGAAATCGAGCCACGTTGCTAAGGCCTTTTTTGGTTCTCGCGCACAACAGTGGTCTTCGAATGTTGTCGATCTTGTTAAAGTATGGAGGTGCCTTCATACTAATGTAGCTGACGTTTGGTGTTGTCTCAGATCCATTCGATTTACAAGTGGACCCAAACAGCAGGCGGATGACAGGTGTAGAGCCAGCCACGCGAACGTTTAATATGCTAAGCTCGTGCGTTATGAAGTCAAGGGCGCATTAGATAGGAATGACTATTTAAACAGCTTGACGAACCTCAGCCTTGGATATCAAAGGAATAGGTGAACGTGATGGCTACAGCTGAAAACTCAGCTTCCTTGGTTGCCTCTGAATGCCACTAAAACGTTCAGTACTCAGTGGCTCCAGCATTTATCCCTTTATCCTCATCGACCTAGTAACAGCAAAGTTCCGATTATCGCATCGTCTCGTTGCTTTGGAGCTCACAATCATTAATCCGAAGGTGTGAATTAAATTTGAATCAAGATTCAATCAAATACAGAAATGATTCTAGAATCCTTTCTTTCCGCTTAAGGCTGTGCGAGGAGATTTTGCGGCATTTGCCAACAGTGTAAATGCCGAGTTCGTCTGTTGGATGCATATTGAGTTTGGGTAGTAAAGTTCTTCGTGTCCAGCTGTCTCTGTTTAGGCGGAAACCAGTGGTCCCATTATCACCACAACGGTGAATTGTACTCCAGCAACGGTACCTGTGTGTCTAGGATTCTGCTTCCGTTCAGCGTATGCGCTTTTGTTCTACTTGTAGCGCCCTTCAACAGGAGAAAACCATTTGAGTTTCCACCATTCGCCTTCAATTAATGGTGCCGGCGTGCCGGAACGCGACTAAAGGGGAGGTTTACTGCCACATTTCGTGTAAGAAACTAGTAGGTATCATGCAAGGGAGGGGAGACAGTGTCTCTCTAAACTAGGAAGTCACATATGGAATGCCAAGGTACTCTTGGAGAGTTATTGCTTCGCTAGCTAGGAGTATGCGCTGCATCTTTTAGCTGTCCCTGAATTCGCTTCAAGATAGGTTTAACTTCATTTCCGTAAACTCTACAAAGTGCGTCTGTGTACTACGCTTACGTTTGCGAATGATGAAGTCACTTGCACCTTGTCTGACTTTCCTTTCACTCAGGGAGAAACCCTGCGAGGTGGCTGCAGAAAGTAATGGACGCTCTGAAAAGGACACGTAAACAATGTTTTCTCAAAGGTTTTGAGGGTGCCATGACGTTGAATGTCTCTTGGTGAACAGACATGAGGGCTAACTCCAAAGAGCTAATTAAAGCTATTGAGTTCACTTTGTGCAATGCCACGGGGAATTGCTCTCAGCATGAAGATCTTTGCTGTGGTTCATTGATGTGCTTGTGGGGATGTGAGAAACGTCTGGCTGAAGAATCAAGTACACTGCTATTTTGAGAGCGAGTCCACCCTAAAAAGGCTTAACGGGCGCGTAGCTAGAACGCTGAGCGGCACTTTGTTTCAATGGCCACTACACTGAATATTAATAATTACGGGTTTGGCAAGTGTTAAATGGCTCTCTTGGTCAGTCTTATACGCAGTGAGCTGTAGAGTATAGCTAGCTCCATGACATAAGAGTCCATGCTGTATCCTCCTGCGTTAGTTGCTACCTGCAGCTGCGTGGGACTGCTCAGAGTGCGCTGGGTGTGCAGCAATGTGCGAGCTCGGAACCCTTCTCGCCTCATGCTGAGATCATGAAGGTTAGGGACACAGCGAGTGAGAGAGTCCCTTGCAATGACACGCAGTAACTTTTTGCCAAGTTTGCATGGCGTATGGGGCGAAGTATCGATAGAGACTCTACGAGGCGGGTTACACGTGGGAAACAACTGATCATGGTGCGGTTGCACCAGCCTTGTTGTGGAGATGAGCGAGATCATTTCCTATTGGTCCCGATTCAAAAGTCATCCGTAAGCATTTCTCTGCCCTTTGTTGTGCAGAGGCACAACGTGCAAGCATACGGAGACGACGTGCGGACCCTGCCTGCGGCCGTTTCACCGCACACGTCCCGTGATGCTGACCGCTTTGCAATTCCCATGAATAAATAAAGGATAATTAAGGCTCTTTGAAACCCCAATTCATGTGGGTTGGAGCGGAAGACTATTGTGCAAGTGCAGGTGGGGATGCCCGTGTCCACAACATGGATCTTTTTGTTGGACTTCCAAACGGGGACTAGCAGTCCCATAGAAGGGGTATTACATGAAGCATATGTTGCTTCATAAATATGCAAAGTCTGGATGCTCCAGAAAGGGGGCAGACACATACATATCTTACATGCGCACGCCTGCCAACTCCCCTGTACATACACATGCCAGCCAGAACTGCTCACCTACCCCTCGAGGCGCCTTCGGCTCATGAGGAAACCTCGGCACTCCCTGGGAGTACAGTTCTTAAAAGGGCTCAAGCAGCATCAGAAATACTTTAAAGCCTTTTAAATAGATACCCCACAAGCCACTGTAAACTGTAGACGTTCAAGTCAGCAAGGACACCACGGAGAGGCTTGTACCGCCCCCTCACGGCAGCCCCGGTAAGGGTCTCCTCTTGCTCGGCATCCCCTTGAGCGTAACAAGTGGAGCGCTAAATAAACTCTAAATTCCTCATCTTTAGCATTTACGCCAAAGGCAAAAGGCTTCCTTGTCCGGAAAAGCCCTCCGAAAGGGATATATTTGTATTTGCTGCAGTGTACATACACGCACCGGAGGCGGCGCTCAGCGACACAGCCTAGTACAATACCAAGGTCATATAAACATACTCCGAGTGCTGCTGCTGCTGCTGCTGGTGTTGCTGCATGGGCTCTCGCTCAACGACCGCCTCAACTTCTCCTCAGAGGCAGCCATTTCTGTTTATCGGGGTGTTGTATCGCGATATATCCCTCAGGCTGCAACGGCAGCGTGGCATCGCACGGATCCGTTCCCAGACTCCCCCGGGCGCTACTGCCACTGGCCATCCCGCTGCTCCGTAGCAACCGCATCAACTTGCAACGAAAACTTCTGATTCTCGTTCCAAGTTGTTCGCCGCATGCCCGATTTCTTTGGTAAGCTGATTGATACTCCTCGAACGGCGGGAGCTCCGCAGCAAGGCAAGCCTCGTGCTCCCGACTCCTCTGCCGTTCCTGAGGCTCCTCACCAGTTGCTGTAGCCGTTGGTGCTGCTGCCACAGAAGGGGCTCCCCAGCAGCCGCATCTACTCCGCATTCACTTTCCCTCTCTGCAAATTCTAGACCTTCCATCCCCTCGCTCGCTACGGGTGGCCCCTAGTATACATATATATATATATATGTACACCTTCGCCCTTCTGCTTCCCCCATCGCTCGCGCCGAATCCAGCCTTACAGCCAGCGATCAGGCAAGTGCGGAGACGCTTCTGCCACGACAGCAGCACCGCTCCCGTGGGCGCTGCACCGTCTCAGAAGACAGCGCAGCTCCCCTGAAGACGCTCAGAGAGCAGCTTGCTACTACTCCTACTACCTACCTACATACCTACCTACTTGACAGCGGCTCCGAACGCCTCCTTGGCTGCTTTCCTCCCCTCTCTCCCGTCCGTCATCCCTAACCGAGCTCACCGAAGCGCCTCATTTTCGCACTGCGCCAGAAGGCCACCACGCAGCCAGACGCACACGCGCTTCGAGGAAATTTGCGTGGCGTGAAGAAGATTGACAGCACTTTTCAGAATTTCGCGTCTTTTTGTATGGGGGCTGCCTTCCTCCTTCACTGACCCGGGGCGCCCACCAACTGCAAGGGGTTTGCACCCGGGTCAGTCTCTGTCTGTCTCTTTTTTTTTTTCTCTCTCTCTCTATATATCCATCATCGCCTTTCCTCTGCGTGATCTCCTTCCTCTCTACTAGAGGGTATTTTCTCGTTCCTCCTCCGCCTTTCAAAAAAGAGAGAGAAAAGGAGAGAAAACGAGAAAAAGAGAAAAAAACGACAGAAAGGGAGAGAAAAATAGGGAAGAGACCGTGGCATTGCTGTAGCCGTGTCATTACACCTTCTTTTCCTGTTTACCCGATTAGCCTCTTGCTTTCTGCAGAGGAGGGGCACCCCAGAGGCAAGAAGGAGGGACGTCTTATGCATACACAAACACGAAATCTGTGCTCTGTCTGTCTGTCTGTCTGTGTATCTGTCTGTGTATCTGTGTGTCTTTCTGTCGGTCTGTTTCTCTGTCTGTCTGTATGCCTCGAAAGAATCCGAGGACTGCCCTTATGAACAACGAGCATGAGTCTCGTCAAGGCAGAAGCGACAGCAGAAAGTGCTCGGATAGCAGCCCCGGCAGCTCGACCTGCTGCCAGCGCAGCGTCTGCTGCTGCTGCTGCTGAGCCCTCTGCGCTGGCAGAGGCACAGCCTCCTGCTCCTCCCTCCTCTGCAGCAACAGCCTTCTGGCTCGCTAGCAGCAGCAGGAGCAGCAGCGGGAGCATGCCTGACAACAATACAACCACCACCTCTACCAGCAGCTGCGTGAATGGCTGCAGCACTCTGGATTTCTCTCTCCTTCAAGAATTTCAGCAACAAGTGCTGGATGTGACAGAGGGCATCCAACAGCAACAGCACCAGCAGCAGGGTCACTTGCTGCCCCCTCTCACGCTCCCGCTGCATGCTGGCAGCCGGAGCACCTCGAGAGAATCTGAGGAGCCTTCTTCCCCAGCAGCAAGTGCAGTCAGCGCGTCTTGTGCAGCCTCCGAGGCTGCGGCAGCAAGCGATCCTGCAGGCAACGCACTGCTTACCGTGGTCAAGAAAGACATTCCTAAAGACCGTAACACCAAGAAAAACCGTACTCAACAGCAGCAGCCTCAACAGCAGCAGCCTCAACAACAGCAGCCTCAACAACAGCAGCAACAACAAAAACACCAGCAGCCTCAACAACAACAGCAGCTGCTGAAACAGTGTGTGCCCCTCGGGTGCCTTCCGCCGATGCAGCCTTTCGAAGACGAGGCGCAGCAGGTCGTCTGCCGCAGTCTTTCCTCCTTCTCGCTTTCTGGAGAGAGCAGTAACACGAGTGCTAGTAGCCCCCTGCAGCAGCGCGGACTAGCGGGCTTGCGCACTGCTGTAGGCACCGCACAGCCGTTGCCAGCAACGACGACATCATCATCAGCTGCTGCTGCTGCTGCCATTGCGTGCTCCTCGCCTGCCTTCCCCAAGAGCAGCGCGGTCAGCTCGCTGCCGCACATTCCTGCCAAGACTGACGATCCAGCGCTGCACATACACCCCCTACAGCAGCAGCAGCAGCAGCAGCAGCAGCAAATGCTGCTCCTGGGGTCACCCTCTCTCCCGGAAGCTCTGCAGCAGCAGCAGCAGCAACAGAGGCGCCCGGGGGGGCGTGTATTCGTGGGAAATATACCCCCAGGCATATCGCGCCATGTGCTGCTGGCGGCTGCAACAGCAGCAGGCCCTGTCGGTACACTCGATTACCAGCCGCAGTCAGGGCTTTGGGCATTTGCGTATATTGGATTCGAGACTGCAGACGCTGCAGACCGCGCTGTACAGCATTTCCACGGGAGAAGAATATTTTCGGTGACTTGCACACTTGCGGTCGTTGCTTGCCGATGGTCCTCCCCGCTTGCGCTGCCAGCCAGCACAACTCGACTCATGGCGCCTCGCGTTTCTTGTGCCTCGTCTTCCGACGATGCCTACACCCCCCTCACGTCCTGTAACCTCGGCTGGCCATGCCTCATGCTTACCTTCTTTCATTCTGGAGTGCTGAGATCTGTGGGTTGCTCATGAGTGCAATACGTATGTGTACATACGTGGACATGTACATTTATGTACATGCATGGATATGGCCCTTAAACATGCGTGGACATGCGTTGTGCCTGTATAGACACCTGAATCGTTGCAACACTGTCGAACGGATCCTCTGTCTCCTGACCTCGTCTTATGAAGCCGCTTCTGTTCTGTCTTTGAAACTCAATAAGGAATGCGGTTTTGCCCACACCCCAATAATTCCGCTTCCCCCTGTCTGTGGTGCGTTGCCGGCCTTTGTCATGCGCAGCCGGCTCCCCCGCATGCGCTAGTGGCTTGCAGGGCAGCCGAAGACTTCCCTCTAACGCGAATGCCACTCACGCGCATGGAGCTTTTCTGCATCAACGGAGAAGGCCCCCCAGCTGCAGGCGCCAGCACCAGCAGCAGCAGCTCCTCGGGTGCTCTGATGCTTTCAACTGCTACCGAGGACGAAGACAAGGGAAGAAGCAGATGCAGCACAAGCAAGAGCATAAGCAGTGGAGGCACCTCCCCCGGACCTAACCGGGCGCTGCTGCAGCAGGAGCTGCAGGAGCGACTGCAGCAGGTACAGAGGCACCGCAAGCAGCAGCAACAGCTCTTGCAGCATCAACGCGTGATTCGCTCTCTCACCAAGGGGGGCAACACGGAGGGGCTGGTGGTCCTTAAAGGCGGCATCTGCGTCATCGATGCGCAGGCAGTTGCAGAACAAACGAGGAAAACGTCATTCGTCCTTCTTAAGGATGGACCTCCCGGTAAAACCTTGAAGGGGGGCCTTCTTCTCGCTTTGTTGAATGTGTGTGGCGTTATAAAGCTTTCAAATTGCATGTGGGCTCTGTAGGCTTCAAATTGCATGTGGCGTTTTAATAAGCTTCAAAGTTGCATGTGACCTTTTAATAAGCTTTGGAATTGCGTGTATAGAGTTTTAAGCTTTCAGATTGCATGTGTCCTTTATAAGCTTTTAGAATGCATGTGGCGCTGTAAAGCTCAGAAATTGCGTGTGGCATTTGTGCGCTGTTGTATAGGGGCAAATCTTTTCCTTTATGGCATCCCGGCTCGCTGGAAAGAGCTGGAGTTGATGCGTCTAGTAGGGCCTTTTGGACACGTTGTTGGCATCCGTGTGCCGTTTGCTGCGCCCGATAAGAATGTTTCGGCAAGCAGTGGTGGGGGTAGCGGGTGTCAGCTGATGAGTTGCAGTGAGAGCCGTCTGTTGGCGCAGAGCTGCACGTACAGCAGAGGGTTTGCATTTGCCTCTTTTGACGGCACTGACGCCGCGCTCGCCGCTTTTAGAGCCCTAGCTGACAAGGTCGTTGAAGGGAGGAAGCTGCGGATACAGCTGAAGAACGGAGAGGAGCATCTGCTGCCTTCATCCCTTCAGCACCTTGCTGTCCGATCTCCAGCCGCGGCAGCTGCAGCTGCAGCTGCAGCTGCATGTACAAGCGGCAACAACATGTCTGCTACACATGGGGTGTTTGCCGCGGCTGCTGCTGCTGCAGCTGCTGCTGTGGGCAGACAGACTGCATTGCGCGATGAACAGTGGACACAGGGGCCGATGTCGGCGGCTGCTGCTGCCGCTGCTGCAGCAGCGCTTGCTGCTGCTGGTAGAGACCCCTCTGTTGCCCTTATGCTGCTGCTGCAGCAACAGGAGCAGCAGCAGCAGCAGAGCAGCAACTCTCCCGAGGCGGAGGCAGCAGCAGCGGCTTTACAGCCGTTCGCGCCACAGTCCGACTCGTGGGGGGGGTTGTCTTCCATTGACCGCTTGCAGCAGCATCAACACCAACAGCAGCAACAGCAGTACGTGCCAGCGCTCCCTTCAAGTGAAAGCCTCAGCAGCTCGCTCGCGATTACCACATCGGATCTTCTCCAAAGTCTCAGCCCCCCTTCTAGCTCAGGATACATCTCGAGCGGCTTGGAGCAGCGGCAGCTGCAGCAGGACCATGTGCAGCGGCAAGAGCAGCTCCTGCAGCAAGAAATTCTGCAGCAGCAAGGGCACATGCTGCAGCAGGAGCAGCAGCTGTTGCACCACGGGCAGCTGCTGCAGGGTGCCGCCTGTCAGAAAGAGGCGTTGCTGCCAGATCACGCGCAGCAACCCGAGCAGCAGCAGCATTTGCAGCAGCAGCATTTGCAGCAGCAGCATTTGCAGCAGCAGCATTTGCAGCAGCAGCATTTGCAGCAGCAGCAGAGGTCTCGTCAGGAGCAGCAACGCCTGCTGCAGGAACATCAACTGGGAATACAGCTTCAACAGTTGCTGCAGGAGCAGCAGCAGCAACTGCTGCTCGATCTGCAGCTGCAACAGCAGCACTTGCAGCAGCAGCACTTGCAGCAGCAGCAGCAGCAACGCCTTCAGTCGCTCCCCCGCGATGCCTTGTCGAGGTCCGCTTCAGGAATAGACGGCTTAGCTGCCTCGCACGGTGTGGGGCGCTCTTACAATCCAAGTTTAGATTTCTTGTCAAGGGGGGAACCTCAGCTGACTGAGCAGCTGAGCCTTCAACCCCAGCAGCAGCAGCACGGGCTGCTGCAGTCTGCCTTGCATGACCAGGAGCTTCACCAGCAGGTGTCTGAACAGCAGCAGGAAAAGCAGCAGCAGCAGGACAAGCAGCAACAGCAGTCTGATTTCCGGCATATCAATGAGCATGACTTTGCGTTTGCCGCTGCAGCGCTCGCCGAGCTGGGGAGGAAGGGTTTCAGAGGCAGCACTGACATGATGTCTTCACCAACAGGCCGCTGTGTAAGGGGCTTAAAGGGAGGGAAGACGCATGTGGAACCTGATCCTGCTAGCAGCTGGAGCGACAGGGGAGTTGCAGCTGCACCAGTGGCTTCTGCTGGAGTGTCAGTACAACCTATCAGCAGCCCTACAGCCCCCGTCACAGAGAGCCTCCCTTCGGGGGCAGGCTTCATCGCAGTCTCTTCTCCCCTCCCGGTGCCTCGCCGCTTGGCAAGCGCAAACTCCATGGACCTCCCGCATTCCCCAGTCTCGCCTGTCGATGAGCTTCGCCGCTACCAGCAACAACAGCAGCAACAACAGCAACACTTGCAGCAAGAACAGCAACACTTGCAGCAACAGTTGCAGCAACAGTTGCAGCAACAACAGCAACAGTTGCAGCATGGATGTGAACACTTTACGGGAGCCTCTAGCTTCCTTCGCTCGGAGGCAACGCCTGATTCGGCTGGTGCAAGGGCACCTTCGGCAGTTCGGCGTGTTAGAAGAAACTATATCGAGCAGCAGCAGCAGCAAGGTGTGGCTGCTGCTGCTCCTGCGACAGGCCTGAGCTTCCCTCGCCCTTCGCCTTCAGTATCAGCGGATCGGCATCAGCAGACGCAGCAGCTGGAGCTGGAGGCTTCTGAAGACTATCTGCGGATGTCTGCCTTGTCTATGCGAAACGCATCGGAGGGTCTTGTGTCGCTCGCTGCGTTGACTGTGCCCTCTGCTGCAGCATCTGTTGGCGCGCACACCTCCAGAGGTTTCTCGGCTGCTGCCACGTCCACGCCATCAACTACGTGCTCTGTTGGTTCGTCCTCGGGTGTTGGCAGTCACGCATCGACTAAGCAACAGCTGCAGCACTTGCAGCAACAACATGTGCAGCAGCAACAGGTGCAGCAACAACAGGTGCAGCAGCCCTTGCAGCAGCAGCAAGGGGAGCACTGGATGATGCAGGAAATGCTCCGCATGCAGAAGGAGATCGAGGCGCTCAAGGCGGAGCTCCGCTTGAAGGACGAGGATTCCCATGACGGCAACATGTGCAGCAGCAGCAAAAGCCATGGCGTATGTGAAGAGCTGGCAGTCGATAGAAAGGGGCACAAACACCTCACGAGCAGCACCAGGGGGCATGGCGATTTTTCCGGGGGCACCCCTACTGCCTCGCAGGCGTCCAGCAGCAACACCAACGGCAGAGATCCACACGGCCGCTTAACATCCGCAGCCGTAGTAGCCGCCGCAGCTGCAGCTGCCGCGTCTGCAGCGGGGGAGACTCTCAAGGGAGGGAAGGGAACTCCCAAGTCATCAAGGGCTGTCACCCTGCAGCGTTGCAGCCGTGTTACACGCAGCAGCGGCAGCAACGGCGGCAACAACAGCAGCAGTGTCAGTGGCGTCCCCTTGGTGCAGAACGGTAATAATGCGACATCGCTCGTCGGACTCACTTCAGACACCCCAACGGAGGTAAACTCGCCTTTCTTTTCCTGCGCTCCGCGCGTTTGCTCTCATCTTTTCTTCTGTTGGAGCGGCGGCAGCACTGCAGGCGCTTTCGATGCAGACTTTTTCGCATTGCAAGTGTCGCCGTGCTTGCGTGTTTTGTGCAGTCGTCGCGGCCGTCAACTCCGTCTGCCCGGGCTTCATTGCGAGGTTGGCTCTAGAGAGGGAACATCCGTTTCTGTAAAGCCTCTGGTGCTTGAAGAGCTCACGCCAACGAGGAGACTATCGACATAAGCGCTTTCCTACGATCCTTGCGGGAGAGGATGCCTCTTGGAATTTTTCTTGGACGGGCTGTCTGCCTCTCGGATATACTCGCAGGGAAAAGAGACAGAGTGCCGACAGTACCGAGGGCTCAGAGCCTTGCTGCGTGCAATGTGTGCTGCCTCTCCGGTTTTTCCCTTTGAGAAAGCAGCGGCGGAGAGAAGCGCAGCAGCAGCATGCAGTGCGCCGTTTTTTTCTGCAACCTTGTTTGTTTCCTTCCCCAAGCCGTTGGGAAGACGTCGCTGCGCAGGCAGCACTGGAGGTAGAAGCAGCAGCGTACAAGTTGTAGCGCATGTAGCGAGCGTTTCAGCTGCTCCACCAGTCAGAGGGGCAGGTGCATGGGCTTGAGCCTCTACCCCTTCGCGTTCCGTGCCTCACCGCACCAGCAGCAACTGCAGCAGTGCCTTGAGGTTTCAGGTTGCTCCATGCGCAGGAATCACGTGCATGCGGCAGAGAGTGGCGATTACCGTTGCGCTTCTCTCCTTAGAACTAAATGCAGTTTCGCATTGTAAATCCTCGCCTGGCTTGGCTTAGCAAGAGTGATACGGCAGCAATGGAGGCAGCAAGGGCATCTGCTGCCTTCCTGCAGCAGATGCCGTCACTGCAGTCCATCCTTCCCTTTTGCTGCCTGTGTGTCCTTTAGCTCCTCCTGTACTCCCTCGTCCTCGCTCATGCAAACGCATGCATCAGCTGCATGCACTTTAGGGGCCGCTATATTCACACACATTGTGTAGTGTGCGGCCGGCGGCCGACAGTCCCGCGGAACACAGCTGGCAGCTCTGCCTGCCTCCTCAGCATGCGCTCATGATGCGCGGTTCGAGTCTATGTATAGCCTGTGTTTTGGGTGTATATGCAGCCTCTGCGCGCATTTGTGGGGTTGCATGCGGCAAGGGCTAGCCCTCAATTGGGGTTGTAGGCATCCTGTTCAAGCGTGATTTGCTTTTCTTGAGGGCTGTCCACGTGTTTTTCCTTCCTCGCTGCAATCGCAAGTAGTTTCCCCATGCATGCAGTTTTCGCATGTGCATTTGGTGCAACGGGGGCCGCCTGCAGTACTGCTGCTTTAGGAGCAGTTGGTGCAGTGCTTTCAAGCCCCTTATTTTCTCCATTAAATTTGCTGGTATCACAGCGGGAGCCCAAGTATATCACACCCCATCGCCTCTTTCTCCCCCTCTCCGCATCTGCCTTACCCCTCTTTCCCCTTCAGCGCTCCCATTTCCGCATCGCACGCGGCCTTCTCCCCCTCCAGACAACAGGTTATCGTCATCGTTACAACGCAAGGCGAGCGCATCGCCTTCAGTTCGGACGCCCCCTGTCCTTGTCTCTTTGTTCTGATCCGCTCTGGCGCTGACAACTCCAGCAGTCGCAGCAGCAGCGGGCAAAGAGAGGGGAGGGAAGAGAAGCTCCTCCCCCCTCTCCTTGCGGAAATTTGTGCAGGGTACCCCTTGGACGCGTCTTCGCAGGTCCAGGTGTGCGCGTCCGTCTGTGCATGCGTGTGTGTGAGTGTGAGTGCGAATGTGGAGGTGTCTCTGCTCCTACCTCTTCGTTGCGTCGCGGGTACATGCATATTCATTTGCAATAGGTAATATCGTAATCATTATTGTGCGTCTCCTGGTATCTATCTGCCCTCTTGTAGATATGTAGGTGGAGGCACGTGGCAGTCTTGGGGGCTGCACACGCAAACGCGAACATTCTGACCTCGCTCTGCGCATCACGTGTTTTAGCTGCAGTTTTACTCCATGCATACCTATACAATGGACTGTACTTATGTAACTTTTCTCCCTAGGAGCCCTAAAGACAAAAAGCTTCCTCATACTTTTCTTTTAACCCATATGACATCGCGTCGGATTAGAGCAAGAGGGAGGACCACCTTCCTGCGCCTTCTGTAGAGACCCCTTTCTCATCGCTTGCTCCTCAGATAATCACGTCCATGCCTTGCGTTCGCCGCCGCATTTACCGGTGCTGCCCCCACTTTTGAGCAGTACCCATTCGAGAGTTTTTTCTAGCAAAAACCCGCTAGACAAAGTGCAACTGGAGGCACTGCTGCCGTTAAGCGGAGTCTCTTCTCCTCTCACTGCCGTGATGCCCACCGCTGGGGATGGTGCGCATACTGCTGCTGCTGCCTAGCGGATGCAGAGCTCTCTCTCTCTCTGAACGGCGTCAATGCATCCTAGCAGTCAAACAAGCAGCAGCAAACCCGTCATGTCTCGCCGCTTCCGACACGTGCACTCTGCGCTTTCACCTGCTCGTTCTGTATGCGCCTGCTGTTCTGTGCTGGGTGTTTCGCTGCCTCGCTCACAGTTCGCTCTCTCTCTCTTCTTGCAGTGCTGTGTCTCGGTCACTATGTCTACCCTCTCGCTCTGCGGCGGCAGTGCGTTTCGTGTGAGTCTGTTACTGCGCTTGTTCCAGTGTCGCTCGCTTTTCGTTAGCTTCATTGGCTTTTAGATATTCAATGCCACCTCCCTCGTTGTCTCTTCCCTTTGCTGTGAAAAAAACCCAACAAAGGTCTCTAGGCAAGCCTTCACAGCTGTCTTGGAGCCTCTGTCCGCATTCTCCCTCAGAGCCCCTTGGCAGCCGGAAGAGAAACAATGGCCTTCTTAAGAAGAGCGCATCCGCATTCTCCTCACCGTAGACAGCAGCTGCTGCTGGTACACATGGGGCAGCTTTCCGGTGCTCCTACGTGCAGAGACGCGGTGTAAACAGAGACAATACATGTCTTGCCTCGAACAGATCTGTTAGCCGTTTAGTGGTGGAAACAGGATTAGTAGAAGCAGTAGGCGTAGTGGCAGTAGAGGTGCAGATAGATTTTGTCGATATGGATAGGTATGCATGCATGCTGCTGAGGTGTACATTTACATGTCGCACATGCAGGTTTCCGCACATACTTCCCTATAGGCATGTTCATACGTCTCTCTCTGTCTCTCTCTCTCTCTCTCCAAATACATGTGGGGGAGTACATCACGTGAATACACGAGGCCGAAGATACATAAATATATATATATATATATGTGTATTGGGATGGACATACATATCCACAGCTCCATACACATATGAGTTGGATACTTCCATAGATATAGAGACATAGATACATACATGGAGAAACGTATAGATACATGCTCCTACACACGCGAGTAGGCGTCGCGGCCGAAATATATATATGTATATATATTCCCGAGTGAGTAAGCAAGTGTATAGAAGGCTATAAAGAAACAGCACACGCAAACATGGAGATGCATATTCACGTTAAGGAGCCATAAAAAGACGAAACAGAGAAAAATATGGGCCTCTACGTACATACACCCTGAACGTTGCAGCGCGAACCGCACAAGCATAAACCAAGAATGAGTATCAAACGGCGAAGCATGGAAAAAACGGGTTTGCATAAGACCTGCAGACAGTCTTGCTGCTGCTGCTGTTGCTCTTGGTTTGCTGCTGCTGATGAAGTCGCCGCAGCTGCTGCTGCGGCGGATGCTAGGACTGCCTTGTTGGCATATCCTCGAGATAGACGCACACTCCTCTAGTAATACGGTACACTAGCCATAAGACCTGCACTGTGCGGTTTTTCTGTGACTCTTGTCGCAGCAGCTCCCGCCGCTGTGGATGCGACAGTGCCCCCTGCTGTTTTTTCGGAGAGCAGCAGCAGCAGCTGCTGCAGCAATTCGGTCGTATTGTCGTGGGAAGACGGAACAGAAGGCGTGTAAAGCATCTGCAGCAGGTGCGAGACACTCGAACGCATGCGCAAGTCTTTTGTGTGGTCTTTACCGCAAGTGGCAAAGCACCCCCGCTGAACGTGGGAGCGTGGAGCGATCTGCCTTGGAATGCAAGTTTCATGAAGAAAGAAGGACGCGATGGGCTGTTGCGTCCAAATCTCATTCAGCTGTGCAACTGATGATGGTGAGAGCACACACTTACACAGAGAGGAAGAGAGAGAGAGTCGAACACACGCATGCAAATTCATTTCCCTCGTACATCGACGACAGCACACACCTGGGAAAGGCTTTGAGGGGCCGAAGGCTGCAGCAATTGGTGAAGCGGTTGCGGCTGCTGCTGCTGCTGCGAGTGATGATGGTGCTGCTGCATCTGCATCTGCATTTGCATCTGCTGCTGTTGCTGCTGCCTTTGACTTGAACCGCCTTCCTCCAAGGCATGTTGCACCAAAGCCGTAGCAAACTCTAAGAGCTCAGGACTACTCTGGGGGCCCCCTGTCTTAAGAGTCTTGGGGGGCCCCCCGGAAAGCTGCTGCTGCTGCTGCTGCGAAACACCAGACGGCTGTGGAGGTAGCATGTCTGCAGCATCGGCTTTTGCAGCAAGCGACAGTGCAGTTCTGCTGCTGCCGTCCATACTCGCCAATCGCTGACTCCCCTGGTTGCTCAAAAGATCGCCAAAGGACCGCTGAAAGAGTCGCAGACACGGCGGCACGCAAATCACACGAAATGAAAAGCAGCGGAACCAGTCGCATGCCGCCTCCCTTCCCCCTCCCCCACCTCTTGGCAGCCAAGATCGTTGTTTTCGAAGTGAACGGATCTCACCCCCCTCAGCTTCTCCTGCGAGCCGTCTGTTGTCTCCGCATCTTCGCCAGCAACACCCATATACCCGTGCTGTTGCGTCTGCTCGGAGCCGCTGCGCAGCCAATGGGCGTGCTGCTGCTGCTGCTGCTGCTGCTGCTGCTGCTGCTGCTGTCGCAGCATCATCTGTTGACTCGCTGGAGAGGCAAGCAAGAAAGACGCGTCGAGCTGCTGCCGTCTCTGTCGGTCCTGCTTTAGCTGGTGCTGCTCTTGCTGCAACAGTTGCGGGTGATTCTGCTGCAGGAGCAGCTGCTGATGCTGATCAAGCTGCTGCTGCTGTTGCTGCTGCTGCTGCATGTTTGCTGCCTCTTGCAGCAAGAGACTGGCCAGCTGGAAGCGCTGCTGCACCAGCTGACAAGCTGGAGGATCGGCCTTCTGTGACTGCTGCTGTTGCTGCTGCTGTTGCTGCTGCTGCAGCATACTGCGTTGGTGCTGCAGCAGCGTAGGCTGTTGCTGCATCTTTATCTGCTGGAAAGCTGCCGCTGCGTCTTGTTGCTGCAGCATCCAGTTTGTCGAACTGGGCACCGCTGCAGCAGCCTCCATCCACCCCGAGTCGTGCTGCTGCTGCTGTGGCTGCTGCTGCTGCTGCTGTCGCTGCTGCATGATCGAGCAAAGCATCCCCAAGGGACCTAGCTGATCTACGCTGTTGCTACCACCTCCAGCAGCAGCTGCAGCAGCACTTACGGCTCCTCCTAGCTGCTGCTGCAGCGCATGCAGAGATCCCTGATCAGCTTTCCCAGTGGCAAAGCGTCGCATCTGCTGCTGCTGCTGCTGCTGCTGCTGCTGGCTTTGAGACGGCGAACTCGAGGGCTGTGCAGAAACACGGCCTGTACGGAGATCCTGCAACAGTTCCCCCACCAAGCAACACACGATACAGCCATTGATATCTATACACACCTATCGACATACGCAAGCACACATCTTACATATATAGCTGTAAATATTATAAATGCACAAACGCACATAAAGATTCAGATTTATGCGCACACAGATTTATATATATATATATATATATATATATATGTAGGTAGAACATACACGTAAACATGGACAAGCACATACTCTAACACACATAAATGTATACACACACATACACATACACATACATGTACATGCACAAATATACACATACACCTATACAAACATACATGTACATGCACAAATATACATACATACATGTACATGCACAAATATACATACATACATGTACATGCACAAATATACATACACATACACATACACATACATGTACCTGCACAAAAACGAATACCTACACTTCGACAGAGAGATGCCCGTATACGCCAGCCAGTACAATAAGAAAGGGTTGGGGGCACTTCGCAGGAGGTTTCTGCAAGAGAGGTGGTGGAATAGTAGTCGTGGTTTATCGATTTGTGCGCTGTTTGGAGGAAGCAAGACATTCTCTGGAGCGACGCGCATGTGGGGTGGTCAAGCGTAGAAAGACGTGCGTCGCGCTCTCCAGCAAGGGATCAAAGTACATATCTAAAGAGGTTTTTCGTCATCCAACCCTCCCCTCGCACCACAGCGGGCAGGCGCATGGAGGGAAGGCTTGCTGAAAGTGCCTACCTGCTTCAGCTTAGCCGCAACAAGCTTGTGCAGCTCCTCAAGCGTCGGCTCTGAAGAACTCGCCACGAACGCTTCATAGGAAGCGGGGGAGATCGGCTCAACGGTTGCGCTGTTGAAGCCGTGATGCGCAGCAAGCTCCTCAAGCGCAGCCTCCGATGAACTCGTAGTACCCTGCGGAGAATCTCCTAGCTCAGCTGGGCAGCTAAGACTTGGCAAGAAAGGATGCGCTAGAGGCGTTGTCATCACAGACGCAGTGCCTGCGGCAGCAGAAGCTGAATATCCCGCAGTAAAGCTGTTGGCGTGAGTGACGCCTCCCGCCACTGAAGCGCCTCCAGCCATCAATCCTGTCTTTTTAAACTGAACCTTTAGAGTGAAACCCATAACCTGTGCATGCAGCAAATACAGCAAGCAAAAAATGAAAAATGAAAAAAAAACGCGCGCACATGTCGTTAGGAACGCTGGCACTTGCCCACATATTAGCATGCCCCCACAAGAGGCAGCACAACAGAACAGCCTAAATCGTGTTGCTGCCGTAGTAGTTGGTGCTGCTGTTGCTGTTGCTGGTGATGCAGCTGCTGTTGCTGCTGTAGCAGTTGCTGCGGTAGTAGTTGGTGCTGCTGTTGCTGCTGTAGTAGTTGGTGCTGTAGTAGTTGGTGATGCTGTTGGTGATGCTGCTGTTGCTGTTGCTGTAGTAGTTGGTGATGCTGTTGTTGCTGCTGTTGCTGCAGTAGTTGGTGATGCTGTTGTTGCTGTTGCTGTAGTAGTTGGTGATGCTGTTGTTGTTGCTGTTGCTGTAGTAGTTGGTGATGCTGTTGTTGCTGTTGCTGCAGTAGTTGATGCTGCTGCTGTTGCTGCAGTAGTTGGTGATGCTGCTGCTGTTGCCTCCGCGTGCAGAAAGCCTCTCATCCTGCGGCTGTGGAGCAGGCCCTCTGTGTTGCGGTGTCTTGACACCCCGCCTTGGCTGTATCGCGATCGTCTTCATGCCCCTTTTGCGAGCGCTCCGTCGTCCCTTTTACTCTCTAAATCCTCTCCCAAAACAGCACCGTGAGTACCACCACTACTACTACCACTACTACTACCAGCCGTATTGAGGGGGGGAGCCGTCAGCCTACCTGTAAAAGTCTTCGTTTCTCGACAACCTCAAAGGCTGCGTCGAGAGTGCTAAGCTGCACGAAGGCGTGTTTTTCGTGATACTCCACCTGCAGCAGGGGCCGGAACGCACCTTACAAGACGAATGACAGCATGAGTATTTCCGTAAAATCGAACGAAAGACACACTTTTCCCGTAATCAGTCAGAGAGGAGCAGCGTTCTCAACACTCGTGGAGAGCATCAAGGGTACCCTCCCGCTAGAACATGCCCCCGTGGCGAGAGAGGACTGCAAGGGGAGCGAGCAGCAAGGCTGTCTCTATGGAGCACAGCGCAAGCGAATGAACACAGAGACACTCCATCCGACTATTTTGACGAAACGCAGCCGCAGCGAAGTAGCGTGAAAGCCGCAGCTGGAAGCGGCGAAAAGAAGCGGCGTAAACAGACAGACATACGTTCTCAACGGTGCCTCTGGTAAGGAGTCTTTGAATCGCAGCACTGAGAAGCTGCGCGTTGCATGCGAGCGGCAAATTCGAGACATAAATACTGCGGCCGAAGGCAGAGTCAGGACGAGACCGTTCCTCAGTAGATCTCCCATGGAAGTTGCCACTCAAAGTGCTCGAAGGAGTGCGCTCGCGCAAAGGCAAAGCCAGAGATAAGGCACGTTCAAGAGGTTCGCGGCAGCCCTGAGGCAAAGAATGTGAGGACAGACAGACAGGTTGTCTTGTTATCCATGCATGCATGTATGTATGTATGCATGTATGTATGTACACGTGTATGTATGTATGTTTGTATGTATGTATGTATGTATGCATGCATGCATGTATGTACACGTGTATGTATATATGTATGTATGTATATATGTATGTATACATGTATATATGTATGTATGTATGTATGAGAAGGAGGAGAAGACGCAGTGCGAGCGCTGGCAGACGCGGGGAGGGGGGTGGAGAATAGAAACGACGTCTATGGGCTGCCCGTCATCGAGAATCTCCGACAGAAGCATCAGCAGGCAGCTGCGGCAGCTGGCGAACAAGCGCGGAGCTAGCGAGAGTGATACTAGGCAGACGGGGAATCAGCGCAAGGCAGGAAGAAGCCACGTTTTCATGAGCATTTTTCTACCCGGAGAGAGACGGCCTTTAGCGCGACGCCACGCAACAGCCCCCCAAGTCAAGCAGTGCTCACACTGCAGCAGCTGCCAGCAAGCGTTCGTTGAAATAGCATACCTTGATGCAAACCGTAATGGAAATACCAGGATGATACTTTAGGCAGAAACGGCAGCGAAGGGGGCAGTCCTCTCCCCTGCATCGCGCAGCTCGCCACAGCAGAAAGCGACGTGCAGACAGCCATGGAAGCGGAATGGCTAGCTGGCGACAGCTGTCTGTACAGCATTGCAGCGACAGGACCCCCGCTGGCTGGCGCCTTTATCTAGGGGGCGAGCAGAAGAGCGAAAAGCCTTTTTCTCGACACAAAGCTCAGGAGGAGGAGGAAGAGGAGCAGCAGAGGCAGCGCGACACAGAGACAAGGCACAGCTCTCCCGTCGACGTCGCTGAATCTGCTGCTTGACACGGCTGTGTGGTGTCGTAGAGGCGGCGAAAGAGCACTTGCCTGTGCGAAGCTCTGTGGCAGTTTGGACAGACGAATTCTCCGTGGGGGCAGCTTGGCATGCGGTGACTTCGCGAGTCGCAGCTCAAGCAAAGGCGGCCTGAGCACAGAGTTGCGGAGAGAGCAGCACCGAGAGAGCAGCGCCTTCGCGCGCAGGAAGGCAGAAAAGCATTGCTTTTGTCGCAAACGTTTGCTTGCGCACAGGAGGGGGGAGACGGGGAAAGAGTTCTCTGAACAACGACACGAGTGGCTGCTTCACGCGCAAGTCTTTGAAAGCAGCGATGGCAAAAGCGAAACACACAGCGCGGAGGTGCGAGAACCATCAGCCGACCAGCAAGACAACAGACAGAGAGAGAGACAGCCAAACATCCTCTTCCTCCCCCTTTATTCGAAAGAAAAGAGCCTCGGCAGCCTTCGCAGCAAAGGGCGTCTGAGCCGCAGGATTTCGATGCACAGCAGTCGCCTCTTAGGCAAAAAAACGCACCCTTCGAATACGCTTCCAGCATCTCGAAGCGCGTGAGAGTCAACGGTCTTGCCTCTGGCTGCGCTAAGACGGCTGCTGCTGCTGCGGCAAGACCGTCTCGCTGATGCATCGCCGCTTCTTGCTGCTGTTGCTGCTCCAAGTGAAAGGAGAGAGAGGCAGGAGCAGAGCAGTAGCTCTGCAGCAGGATGGCTGCCTTCCTCGAGTCTCCTTCCGTCCAGCTGCTGCTCAAGTTGCTGATCGCATTGCTGCTGGTGTTTGCGCCGCTGCTGTTCGTTACAGTCCCTTCGGATCCAGGGAGTGCTCCACTTAGCGTCGAGCTATCGCCAATCTCGCGAGGCAGGCTCAAGGGAGTCTCTGCGGCACCCTTCATCTTGACGCCGCTCGTCACAGTGGGCTGCGCTCGGAGGTTGCTACTGCTAGCAGTGCTGAAAGTCTGCTGCTGCTGTTGTTGTTGCTGCTGCTGCTGCTGTTGCTGCTGCTGTGTGACGCTTTCTGCTGTCTTAGACACGTCCCCACTAATACCGCCGTTGTTGTTGCTAGTGTTGTTGTTGCTGCTGCTAGTGTTGCTACTACTAGTGCTACCGTTGCTACTACTACTGTTGCTGCTACTGCTGCTGCTGCTGTTGCTGCTGGTCTTAGAAACCTTCACACCGGCAGCCTGTGCCTTCGTCTTGAGAGCAGACTGCTTCCCAACTGCCCCTGTCTGTACACCCTGCTTTTTCGTTGTGCCCCCCTTTCCCTCTGGTGCTGCCTCAGCAGAAATTCCCGCTGCAGCAGCTTTCTTTGCGGCGACAGCAGACATTATAGCCGTGGTTGTTAGTGCTGCTCTCCCGGCAGCTCCCGCCGCTTCTGCACCGTTCTGCTGATGAACATCCACAGCTTGCTGCGCCTTTGACTCCTTCTCGAAATCTTTACCAGGAGAGGCTTGCCCATGCAAGGTTTCACTGGGGTACCCTTGCACCTGTTGCTTCTGCTTGTGCTGCTGCTTTGTCTGCTGCTGCTGCTGACTTTTCGAGGCAGTGGTGCCTGTTGCAACAGTCGTACTGCTGCTGCTGCTGCCTCCCTCAGTCTTTTCTTGGTGATCGTGGTGCTCCTCCTCCTGCTGCTGCTGCTGCAAGGGCACTTCCTCTTGCTGCCGCTGCTGCTCGCTTGCTACCTCTGCCTCCGTCCAGGTAGAGTTCACTACTCTCCCTCCCGCATGTGTTGCTTCCGGTGCTGTCGCTACAGAGGCTTTCTGCGGCAGTTGCTGCTGTTGCTGCCGCTCGCCTTGCGTTGTAGACAGTGCGTTGCCATCCATCTTGAAGTTCAATCCCATAGAATGTACCCTGCTGATCACGTGTAGCTACTACTCGCAGTTAAAATGCCACCCTTTGTAAGAAACCCTGTAGTAGAGGCCCCGAGGTGTACACACACCTCAGGCGGAGATGCCAACGGGAAAGGGGCTGCTTTGCTGTGCTAGCCAATTGCACTCTGCGCGCTTCGCAAAAGTGCCGAACGATCCAATATAACACTGCTGATAATGTTTTTCAGGAGATAGGAAAGAAGGGAGCCAAGGCACATTTAGTCATGCCTCTCCCATAAAGCATATCAGACACGATAATTTCACCTGGTGCTACTGACGCCTATAATATTGGCTACTTCTTCGCCTTCTACTGATGCTGCATCTCTTGTCGCACTGCTGCTGCTGGTGTTTCTTTTGTTTCTACTGCTGCTGCTCCTCTTGCTGCTGCCGCCGTGAAGCACCCTGGAAACCGATGGTATTACCTCCACACGCACATAAACACCTGACTCGAAAAAAGGCGTAGACAGATATGGCTACAAAGGAACAAACGGTAGATAGCTATGCAGCAAGCAGCAACGCCCTTAGTACGATGGGGGCTATTGCAGGTACATCCGTGCAAAAAACGACCCCCTGTGAGTGTGCTGTGTGCCTCTTAGAAAAGGCAAGATAGCCTCAAAAATGCTGGAATGGAATATTGGTCCAGGAAATATGCTGAAAGTCAGAGCACGCCAGATTGTGCTATGCCTAAGTAAAATAGAGACTTGGAGGAAAACAAAACAAGAGGTTTGTTTGCTCTCGAGGGGAGGAGGAGCGAAGGGCCGTCCACGCACTCGGGAGCAGCACAAGAGAAGTTCATAATATGAGAACTCTCTTGCTTACAATTCATTAAGATTCAACTTTATTTATTTTCCATTTCATGCACAGACAGGAGCACCGGAAGGATACCAGAGGCAGACCATCGGCAGCCGCTGCGCGGGTGGGACCTATCACTCGCTGGTGCGGTGACCTGTGCCTGTCTGCTAAGGTGGAGTGCCTGGTGCTGTTGTTTTCTCCGATGCTTAATATCTATTGCTTGAAATAAGAGAGTAAACCGCCAAAAACGGTGGTCGAACCCCACTAAAAGGCAAATATTGGGGCCTAAAATCATTTACGGTCATTTGCGTGCATGGACACCCCTAACCCACACAGACGCAGGCATAGGAGTATGGCTATAAGAGCCCTTGCTGATGCCTCCGCATTCCCACCAACTATAAATCCTCTCTAATTTTCCGTTTGTCTCGAATAAACAAAATGGTCACATGTTTACTGCAATTCCTCGGGGCCTCTTGACTCCTGCGGGGTTGGCAGTGCCAGAAGGTTCTCAAGCACGGCGAGCGACTGCTCTCGGGTAGGAAGAAGGAGAGGGGGAAGTACGCTCTATTCGGCGGCAAAAGCGAATTCAACCTTTTTATTCTCTTCGAGCGTGTTTTTACTAAGGCAATAGGGCTAGAGGTGCCTCTCAGACACACTTCCGTCCTGCAAGGGGTCACACACTACGGGCAGTGAGCAAAGAGGACTCTACCTGTTACGGGCAGGGGGAGTGACTGGGTGGGGGCTTTCACCGGAAAGGTTCGTGCTTGTATTGGATATCCTTTGTTTTTTTTCATTTTAGGATACCAAGCGAACTTTTGCGGGGTGTTCGGTTTGTTTGCCTGAAACACCTTAGGCCGTGAGGTGAAGGAATACAAGCAGGCAAGCACTCCAGTGCCAACCGCGCAGCAGCTGCCGACGCATGTGTGTGAGTCAATATGTGCGGCTGCTGGGATGACTAGCTGTTCAAGAGAAACTGGGAGCTCCTCTGCAATTCGTGGGAGTTGTGCCTCTTGTCGTGCTATCAGCTGCAGAGCGCAGCAGCACACGAGAACACCAGCGACAGCACCTCCTCTGGTATGGGTGTATCTTCGCAACGCAGGTTTTTGTGCAGAGCTTCAATGTGTGTCTTCTAGGATCACAAGTCTGGTTCATGTCTTTTGCCGTGCTTCCCTTCATCCCGTCTGCACCAGGCCCTTCGCAAGAGGCGCTGCTGCTGCCGCTTGAATTCCCCTCCCTCCCCCCCTCCCCGCTGCCGTTCTCCACAGTCTTAGCGAATCCCTCAAAAACTCCTAACTCATTCTGTGCACGATCGTCTCGCCTAGCATGCGCCTTCATTCATTCAACTTCCTACAGCGCTGCCTTATCCAGCGCTTCCTTTTTACCCCTCACGTCTAGCTTGAACTCCGCACCAACCCCCCTTTTGTTTGCCCCGTCCAGTAACCGTGTGATTTCGCCTGCTCTGACTCCGCTGGAAAAGTCACACAGAGGGAGGGAGGGAGAAGCTGTCTACAGCAGCCCTCCTAACAGCGCTCTACGCCATCTACCTTCCACCCAACTCCCCGTTCCCCCCCTCCTCCTGCGATCACTCCGCATACAGATTAAACGCGTTGTAGCTCACTGAACAAAGCTGGATCCAAACGCCCTTCGCCTCCCCAAGCCTGCCCTCGAGACAGCAGCACTCCCTCCACAGCCATGGCACCCAGGAGCAGCGCCAGTTCCAGAAGCTCTGCATCTCCTGCTCTGCTGCAGCTGCTGCACGCTGCTGCTGCAACAGCGCCGAGACACAGATGGCTGTTTGTTGCTGCTCTCCTTGGCGTTCTGTTGCACACTCAGTGTGAAGCCTCAACGTCCGATCCGCAGCAGCACGAACAGCCGCTGCATGCACCACGCACCCCCCTGCAGCTGTTGCACCACTATGCAGACACCGAAGCGCATGAAGAAAGCGGCTTAGCACACCCCTACACGCAGTCCTCTTCTCGAAATCCCACTCAGCCCACACTCAGTGAAGCCCACGTGCAGCAGCCAGCGTCTGCCTCCCCTGAAGCCTCTACAGCCCTGCATGCAGCACCGCTTTCCTCCCTGCAAGCCTTCGCAGCGACAGCAGCACCAGCGCCACACCATGAGCAGGGAGAGGCGGAAGGCGACGCATCTGCCTCAACGCCCTTAAGCGAAACTGACAGCAACGAAGAAGAAGCAGCACAAACATCAAACGTCACAAACGGAGAAACAGCAGCACTGCGACAACCAGGAGAAGTTGAGGATCTGCCCCTCTTAGGCCGTGCAACTCCCCATGAGAGATCGCAGCATCTTATCAAGCCTATGAGAACACTGGCTTACGGCAATATTCATCAGACAGCATACTATTTCGCTGGTATGCATGCCCGCATTCTTACCTCTTCTCTCCAGAAGGCTGCTACCTCCACTGCTCCTGCTGCTACTACTCCTCCTACTCCAACCACTGCTCCTGCTGCTACTACTCCTCCTACTCCTACCACTGCTGAATCCGATACTGCTACTACTCCTCCTACTCCTAATCCCACCACTGCTCCTGCTACTACTACTACTACTCCTCCTACTCCTAATCCCACCACTGCTCCCACTCCTACTCCTACCACTGCTCCTGCTGCTACCACTACTCCTCCTACTCCTGCCACCACTACTCCTACTCCTACTCCTACCACTGCTCCTGCTGCTACCACTACTCCTCTTACTCCTGCCACTGCTGAATCCGCTACTGCTGCTACTGAGGCTGCCACTACTGCTGCTGCTTTTCTTGATTTGTTGTTGTTGTCGCTCTTGCTCCTCCTCCTCTCCTTGCTCTTGCTGCTGCAACTGTTGCGCCCTCCCCAGGCCGGAAGGCTTGCAGAAGCTGTGCAGCGGTGGAGTCGCAAATGCACGATTTTTGTCTTGCAAGAGGTCCTGCGAACTCTTTCCTTTTCTGCCTGATCCTGCTGCAGATCTCTTCATTGGTCGGGGAACGCCACAACGCCAGAGCCTTATTTTAGACACAGGCAGCTCCGTCATGGCCTTCCCCTGCGAGCACTGCAAGTCAGTTGGCAAGCAGAAGCGGATAGCATCTATTTAAGGCAGCTGGAGGCTTGCCGTCGCTGCTGCTTGGCTGCCCGCAGCTATCCCCGTGTGCTGCAAGTCACACACAGTGCTGCACTTCGCTGACTGTTTAGCGGCTCCCCAGCTGCGCTCTTGAGGCGGCGTTTTGATCTCTTATGAGTGCATGGTGGCATGCTGCTCAGAACCTGCGGAAAGCACATAGACGAACCCTTCAGCTGTCAGCAAAGCTCCTCTTGTTCATACACCCCATGCAGCCGCGGTTGCTCCTTCTGCGACCTCCATCATAAACAGTAAGTGCTTCCCTTTTGCTCTGTCTCGCCGCGTTCAAGGGGAGCAGAAAAACAGCCGCCTCCTTCACTCCCCACTCGGTCTGTGTGGTGTACATACACCTCCGACTGAGCCTCACTGCTCCCCCGATGTCTTCGTAACTCTCAATGCACGGAAGCCCTCCTCGAGGAAACAGCATGTGTAGCCTCCTCCCACTTTTCGCTTCCCTTAATGCGCTTCTTCCCTCTGACTAGCGGCTCTGTCACTTAAGCACGCAGGAGCTTCCTGCTCCACTCAACTCCTAAACCTTCTCATGGGACTGACTTTCTTTACAAAGTGCCACATCGGGCTATATATATACATATATGTATCTATATATATATCTCGCCGGGGCTCTTCCCTTATTCCATTTCTCTCCTGGCCTCCTTCTTTCCCCTTTTCACGCCGTCCTCCGTTTCAGCCGTGCAGCGTGTTTGCACATTTTTTGCTGCGTTCATGTTGCTCACTGTCTGCCCGCTTTGGATGGAGCCTTTGCCTCTGGCGAACTCGCAATCTCGCCAATCACTCTCACAGCGCTTCAACCCGTAGCGTCACTTGTAGCTGCGCAGCCTTGTCAAGCCTCGGCCCTTGGTCGATGCGCACAGACGTAGCCTTCCTCTCCACAACTTTCTTCCGGTAGTACAGCACCAGAACAAAGCTTCCAGTGCAAGCCAACCGCCATGACCCCCTCAGCTGCAGATAGCTTTATAGTCTCTCTCTTGGATATTCGTGCAAAAAACACCCAAATAAACACACCTTACCCTAGCACTTCTTTGCTGCATGCATGCAGCCCTACCTCTGCGTTGCTCCCTTTGCGCCTAGATCATGAAATCACCTCTTTTTTCAGCTGCCGTCGTATGTCCAGAGGGTGTTTCTATACAAATATATATATGTTTATTGGTTCATGCAGCATCTACAAATCCATCCCGTATGATTGAAAAGGCAAATATACACACGTATAGGCGTCACCGTAGTTTACACGTGAAAATTTGCACACATGTACATTAAGGCTCTATTCAATCTGTACACACATGCATGCACATATATACATATATATATATTATATATATCTACATACCATCTCCATAGGCATATGTATATGCAATATACATACGCATAGCAGCATGCATGGCGGTTGTATAGAAGAGGTGTTAACATGAATATACGATGTCAACAACCGATTACGACAAAAAGCCAGGTTTGATTGTGTTTGACACTTGCTACTGCATGCCAAACACGCAAAGAACTCTCTCTTGTTTATATGAGGGAGATACAGGGCTGTTGAAACTCACAGATTCTCATTGAGACGGGGGAGAGTCATGCGCGTGGATGGAAGACGGGTTGTCATGGGGAAACTTTTTTTTTCGTGCTGCGTATGAGCGTCCGAGTTTCTAGCCTTCTTCTACGCTTTTTGATGTGTCGCAGCTGCGCCTACCGCGTATCCTACATGGAAGGCAGCAGTCTGCAAGGTTTCTGGTTTCAAGATGAAATGCGACTCCCCCCTCCGCCTCCGACGATGCGGCAAGCGCGGCATGTGGGCCGCTCGCCTTCTGGCCTCTCTGATCCTGCTGCCTACGTGCAGGAGGCTGTCGCGCCTCTCTTCGACGCTGCCGCGCTGTTTGCAGCGTACAGCACTCATGAGACGTTGCAGCAATATCTGGCTGCTGCGAACTCCCTTGTGGCCCCCTCGCCGCTGCAGCCTCTGGCTTTGCTGCCGCGGCTGCAGCAGCAGCAGCAGACTTCGCAGAGCAGCTTGCGCAGCGCTTCCTCGGAGCGCAGGAGGAGCTCTCTGGAGGAGGGTGGCATCAAGGCTTCCTTCGGGTGTCACATGGAGGAAACGAATCTGTTTCTCACGCAGCGGGCGTCTGGCATATGGGGGCTGGAAGTGTGGAATTCCTTCGGCCCCCCTACCTTTCCGTATTCAGTGCTCCTGGAGGATCTGCACACGCCACGACCGCAAGGAAGCATCCGCAACAGCCCCCCCCCTCACCACGGCATCCCCGCTCCAGTAATGACTCAGCGCTTCATTCATCACCCCTCTCCCATAGAGGCGCAGGGAGCGGGAGCTCAGAATTTCTCCGACCTCTCGAGCGGAGGCGGCCCCTCGACGCCGATCCGAGGGGCCCTTCTCGAGGGGCAGCGCGCGTTCGCGATGTGCCTCTCCGAGCATGGCGGATCGTTGACGTTCGGAGGAGCCCACGAGGAGTTTCACAGGAGGAAAGCCAAGTGGACGCCCATCTTCGGCATGCGCGACAGCTACAATGTGCGGCTCGCCGCCATCAGGGTTGGCGGGAGAGTGCTGCCCTTGCTCTCGCATTACGACGCCGCATCCGCTGCACGGCAAGCGGAAATCGTGCAGTCGTACGCTCAGGGAAGAGAGAACTCCTCAGGGAGCTGGGGCAACTTGCCCCCCTCGGGGGGACTTAAGAAAAAAGACACCCTTCTCGTGCTAATCGACTCTGGATCGACGCTCGCGTACTTTCCGAAACCGCTTTACAGGCGCATCGTCGCTGCTGTAGAGGGTCACCTGCATCACCACAGACAAGCGCACAGTGCGCGCCGCCTCCAGGGGGATCGCCAGTCCGAAGAAAAAACTTTCGGAGAGATTCCCGTCGGCGAAGGGGTCCTCAGGAGGCCTCTCCCAGAGGAAGACATCGAAGTTGTCGCGGAGGGAACCCCCGAAACTGCAGCTGCCGCTCCACAGGAAGCTGCGTCCTCTTCAGAAGCTGCTGCTGAAGCAGCCGCTCGCGCAGACCAGCAGGCGCAACAGCAGCCAACAGACGCAGAAAATCCCACTGGAGGGAGTGATGAGAGGAGAAGCACCAGCAACAACAACACTACCAGCAGCAGCACCAGCAACAACAACACTATCAGCACCAGCAACAACAACACTACCAGCAGCAGCACCAGCAACAACAACACTACCAGCAGCAGCACCAGCAACAACAACCGCCGACTGCTGCAGGAGCTGGGGCAATGGATGCTTCGGGATCTCCTTGGCAGCAGTGACAGCAGCAGCCATGCATGGAGCGCAGACGATCTGATCGTGAAGAATAGCAGGAAAACGGATAATGCCCCTCGGGAAGGTGGTTACGTGCATCAGGAAGCAGAGGCTGCAGCAGGAGCGTCTTCGGGATCGGAAAGCCTTGAATCGCGCCATCCTTTAGACCTGTTCACAATTCACCGAGTCCATCCAGAGATCGCCACACAGCAGCCATTTGGGCTGGGAAGCACCCTCGTCGCACCTGAACCCGAAAGAAGACCTCGATTGCGGCAGCAGGACGAATTTTTGCTTCGCGCGGCGAGTGCCGCGGCAGCGGCAGCTGTTTCTGGAGCCGCTGCGTCTGCCAAGAGCAACAAAACGGACTCTCCCGTGGCAGCGGAGGAAAGCGTAGCCTTTGCCGCGATCGGAGAGCGTGCAGCAACTCCTGGAGAGGGCACGGAAATCCCCGACATGGAAGCCTTGCCGGTGTTGGTGGCGCTCAACGAGGTTCCCGAGAAAGACTACAGCGCATCAGCCGCTTACAAGTTGTTGCCACACTCCGCGCCTCCGCGGAAGTCTCAAGCGGTCAAGGTGCAGGCGTCTGCCGGGGAGATATGCTACTTCCTCCCCCGAGGTCGCAAGGATCTCGTCGAGTTTCCCGTCATCGAGCTCCTCTTTCTACCCGCCTCCTCTCCCGTGGGCGGCGACGGAGAAGGCGGCAACAACAGCGACAACAACCACTGGGTGACGTGGGAGCCGCACGCGTACCTCTATGGCAAGGGCAACGAGCATTACCGCTGCCTTGCGATCAGCGAAGACAGCAGCAGTGAAGACAGTGCGGTTCTCGGCAGCAGTTTTTTTATAGGCAAGGACGTCATCATGCATGTGCAGTCAGAAGTCCTTGGATTTGCGGAGGCTAACTGCCCTTCGATTAAGCTCAGGGACAGGCCTGAGCTCCCTCGCAGCCGCGCCTAAAGCCGTACTGGTTTCCGATCATTCTTGGGAGAGGACGACACATTCAGTCCCCCAAAGTTCTCTAGGAGGCCGCCAAAAGAAATTGGGTGAGGGCAACATAATGCAGCAACGTAATACAAACACCCCCGGGCAAAGATGCGTTCCCGGTAGAGCTCAATGTGGCTGCACTGCTACCATAGCAGCCAAAGTACAAAATCTGTTATCGTATTTTTTGTGCGAAAGTAATGCAGAAGGTGACCAATGAAACCACTACATAGACATCCGGATTATGGGAATCTGCACGGTAGAAAAATAAGTTTGTAGAATCATGAAAACTCGAAACGGACACCGGTACCACCGCGCCCATACTAGACGTGTATGCCTAGACATTCAAGTCCGTATATGTACACATTTGCACACCGGAACTAAAAATGCCATATCGAGCGCATGTGCACAGAGGCGTACGTGTGATTACGTGCAACCAGATCTAAAACTTAGGGAGTGGTATCTGCGGCATCGACGCTTCATGCAGCAAGCCAGCCACCACTAATGGGCCCTACTGCCAATTCCTACATGGCTACGAAGGGGTTTCAGCCGCGCCAAAGGCGACGGATTAAACATGAACATCCGAGGACTCTAGGCCACCAACTGAAACGGCGTGTTGCTCTCGAAGCGTACACAAGAAATGCAAATCGAGAATACGCCATACTATACAAGTAGACGCATACCCCTGTATCTGTGCCTATGCACGTGGAGGACTTGTGAGAATAGAGCTGCGCAGCACACCGTAATGGCCTTCAAAGAAACATTTCCTTTCGGCAACCGAATCCCTCTTTGGTCAACTAAAAAACTTTCGAACTCTCCGCAAATTTATGGCGATTAAATGTGGAAGTTAGTGTGGCTGCTACAGTTGCACCGTAGGAGCTGGGGTGTATATACAGATTGCATCATGAGGGGCAACTTCTGCATGAGGATCTTCCTCTGTAGTAATCAGCGGCAATTTTCTCTCGGACAGAAATACATCCCAGAAAAGGCGTACCCCCGTTGGAGTTGGCTGTGTTTCGCCAGACGCAGCAGCGTCTGACTGCTCGGGTCTGGCCAGCTGTTGGAGCTGCCGCAAGAAGCCATTAAACAATTTTCCTTCTCGCTCTCGCACACAGCCGGATCGAAGGGCCTCCATGCACATCATGGCCCTAACGAGGTACCGAGAAGCCATCCCACCACACACTTGCTGCTGCTGTTGGAATTTCACGACACCGCTAGCCTCAGTAGCATCAGCAGCAGTCTCTTGCTCGTCGGCGCGTCCCAGCAGCTCCAGAATAATTTGTTGCATTTCTGTAATCGCCCTTTTCTTCGTGAGATTGGTTTCTCTGCTAGCGAGCATAACTTCAAAGTCTCTTACGGGATTTATGGACCCTACGGCATACGCCCGTTGGTCATGCTGCTTTGGCTGCTGCTGACCCTGCTGCTGCTGGCTGTCTAGCCCCGTGTAAAGTGAATCTGTATCCCAGAATGCTGTCTGCGACTGCTCTTGCAGTTTGATATCGTTTAGACTTAGTACTTGTTCCTTGCGCGAGAGCTCCTCGGAGCGAACCCCTGCCTCTAGGCCTCGTGCCGCAAACAGTGCAGCATCCACATCTACCAGAGGGCCCGCCGCCACCAGCGGAAATAACTGACACAGTAGAGGGTCACCTTTGGGACGACTGTCTGCACCTGCAGCAGCTGCTGTAGGTGCTGCTGCCTCTTCCGGGGTGAAGGCCGTCGCCTCTAGGAGGTCATCCATCGCCCTGAGCAGCTCTTCGTATCCTGTGCGATAGCCGCTTTGCTGTTGCTGCGGAAAGCCGCGCTGCTCGTCCTGTTGCTGCAGGCCTGCAGCCGCAACGGCCTGGATCTTGTCTGCAACGAGTCTCAGAAAGCGTTGCATTGTGGGGTTGGGGATGAGCAGGGGGTTTAGGAGGGTTCCCAGCTCTCCGAAGGCTCTGGAGGACTTAGGCAGAAAGGAAGGGTTAGCGTTTGTAGAGAAGGGGGGGTCCTCTGCTGCAGGGTAGGCCGACAGGGGGCAGCACAAGGGGTGTATGTGTTTGCAGACGCTAGAGCCGTGACAAGAAGGTGTCTGCAGAGAGCCTGAGCCAAAGAAGGGCGCCTGGCCTGCGGGAGGCGAGGCAGAAACCCCACTAGGCGCATCTCTAGAGAGCGCAGTTCGAGAGGCATCAGGCCGGATGCGCGGGCAGAGGCTCAGACGACCAATCAGCGATTTCATGGCTGCCACTTCCGCAGGATGCGAGGGGGGAGGCATCGGGTGAACAGTGGATGCGACGTCATCTGCAAAAGGCAGGAGCGCCAGGCAGAAAGCTTGCTGAATGGTCTGGCTCTGAAGGCCACTCAACACGGCTTCCTTCCAGTTCTGCTGGCAGCAGAGGCGGGGAATCAGCAGCGCCGGTCGGGGGAGGGAGTTTGGCCGTCCCGTATAACGACAAAGCAACGCGCAGTCCAGCCGCACGCATGCCCAGAATAGGGCAGACACCGCAACACCGCTAGTGGCATCACCCTCACTCGCCACGACCACCTCGCTGCTACCCGAGAACCACCTGCAAAGCCGGGCAGCCGACGCACTGGCGAATGCAGAAACGGGGAGCAAAGAGCGACGGGGAAGCTCAATGTCGAGAGCAGAAAATTATACGGAGATCAGACACTGGGGGAGGGGGGGACTTATAAGTGAGAATCTCTCTCTAGCTGCAAAGGACATATATATCGTCGGCAACGAAGCAGAGACACTGAAAAACATAAGGCCCGTTTTAACATGCCTTAGGCTTTCGGGTAGAAACAGGACAACACTTTCTGCTCGCGGGGTGTATAGACAGATAAACATATGTATATGCATGCATATATATATATCTGTGCGTGTGTGTGTATTTGAATTCAAATATACATATTTAGAGGTATTCCTCCTTTCCCTACCATCTCTTGATCTTAGCGATCGGAAGAACGCCCAAAAGAACAATTCCTTTTTCCGTCTTGAGCGCCAAGTGGGCATTGACCTCGAACGCAGATACGGGGATGAGGTCTTTCCCTAGGGGAACGGCGTAAGCAATACTTTCGACTGCGGGAGTACCTGCGGCTTTAGTAGGACGATAGTCTACTCTCCCCTCTGCACTGTCATCGCCCTCGACTTCCTCGATTGCTTCGCTTTTGCATACAGCCGCTACCGGCTGCTGCTCGGGATCATCCACTCTGCAGAAGAATCTCTCTGATGTTAGAGCCACGTACTGCGGTGCACGATGACGACCTTCACCTCTTGGCCCTCCCTCCATCAGCCCTTCTCGAGAGGGAGGAGGGCAGACTTTGAGGCGCTTGCGGAGTGGCGGAAGCGGCTCTTGCTTCGCCAGAATATAAACAGAGACAGCAACGCCAACGGATGGCGATAGCTGCAAAGGCATACGAGCCTTGGCCACAGTTCTTTTTGCGCGCACAGGAACATACAATCGGCACAGGTTCACAAAATCTGGAAGATATATCTCGCTGTCAAAGAAGCCACCTTCACTATCCCTCGACGCAGGTTTACCCCCTGCGGCGCACATGCAGACCCTCCAGGCAACACAAATCGTAGAGCCTAGGGAGCAAACAAAGCCACTAGTTAACTGCACACTGCGGATGCACGGCTCTCTGGAGTCGCCTGCCTCAGCCGACGCTTTCTTTAATACTGCCCTGCCGAACCAAGGGCCATGACGCAACAAGTTCAATCTCGAGTATCTTAAGCGCTCGGCATGCGATTTCACACACCCTCGTTGTATGCGCCAAACTCCCTACCCGTACTACCAGCCATAAAGACTCTGCAAATCTACCTTCAACCATGTGCAAGGCCAGCATGTACTCTGCTAAACGCTAAAACCTCTGGATTAAGCCCTTACAGTGTGTACCTGCAAAGATGCGGATTGCATAAATGCCAGCATCCCGCATATATTGCCTGACGACTCCCGCATCCCCATCTGCCACGAAGGACTCGGGCCCGCTAAACAAATAAAAAAAGCATTTAACCTGTGGGGAACGTAAAAGGCGCAACAATGCCGCAACAAAAAACGGCGATGCCAGAGGATGCGCGCTAACACCCCAACGTTCAGGTGCATTAGAATTCACCGCGTTACGCAGCGGCGCTAGAGAGTTCAAAATCTGCACGACCAAGTGCTAATCCTACAGCTGCGGTTGTTCTTTGTCTATCATTGACAGCAACCCCTGACGCTACCACCCATCTACAACTCTCATGATGCGTCCTAGTTGCTGTGTGTTCGTCTGCGTTTCAATGTGCCTCGTGCCCCTAACCTTTTTCTGTTCTATTTGTTTCGCGTAGGCCTTTTGGTATAAATCAGTCGCGACGATGCATGCATCCAGGAGGTCTCCTGGCTGTCCTCCTGGCTTTAGGGCTTTCCCCAACTCCGAGATCAGCTGCCAGTCGATGGGCAGAAAGTTCCTCAAGACTTCGATATGCAGGTATTGCTTCGCTTCAGCATAGGCCGCAGCAAGAGGGTTGTGTGTGGTACTGCTGCCATAGGCGACCACTGCCGCCACATGCTTCGGATCAGCAGCAAAACGGTTGCTCAGGAGGGAGAGGCATGCTTGGGATAGAGGATGGAAGCAACCGCTCGCGCAAGCTCTTTCCCCAACGTCCATCAACAGGCAGCTCACAAAGGTAGTGCTGCTCGTCATGATTCATGTGTCGTGCTGAGTGTCTCCCGTGTTGAAAATGTTAGCAGAAGCCAACTAGAAGGGTGGAAAGAAGAAAGGCACATGGCAGCCCTAAGGCCCGGTAACGCATATTCGTGGGAATTCCTTATTTTCTCGCAAAATGGAAAGCACGTTAACACCAAAAAACATAATAACAGACGGGAAGCAAGGGCCCCCAAGCGCCCCAGGGTACCGCTCCTACGGGCAAGAAACCCATGGAAGCAGACACTCGACGAACGAGAACAGGAAAAGGGGGGCAATGGAACAAGCTAAGATAGCCCGAGTTGTGAATAACTTATTTGGGAAGGGTCCATCAGGGATGGGCTTGGGAATATGCAGTTCAGTACAGTTGTGGCTGTACCTGAGAAGCCTGGGTCGAATCTCAACCGGCAAGAGTCAATGCTAACGGAAATGAGAGTACGGCCTTACTCAACCTTTGGCGCCACGAAATTCAGTAAGGAGTAATTCTAAGATCAGCAAAAGAGAGGATAAGCGGACACAAACGAGAAGACATGCCACAACTCGCGGAAGTCAACGATGCCACGGCACGCCAACCGACGTTGGGGGGGCCCCACGACGCCCTCGCAAGTGCCGCGTGCAAGAGGGTAAGCCATGAAATTTAGATGTAGCACTCTTTAACATGCTGCTTACTTTATGTCTCAATTTATTGGCCTAAGAGATCGTCGTCTACATATATGCTTCTGAGGTAAGGTGCGCACGCTGGTTCTTATGATGCAATATTCATGATAAGAAGGCCTTCAAGAGCGGTTTGATTCTCCATTTTCTCAATACATCAACATACTAGCTACCTTTGCATCTCTCTTGAGTAGTGTACCCTCCGATAGCGGCAGTCTTCCTCGTAACATAATCCTGGTGTTCCTCGAGCCACCACTCCTTTTGAATGCCGGGCTTTGAGTTCCACTTTTTCATTCGCAAAACAGCCCCACTTGTATACTGCCAGCAGAGGTCTGAAAAGAGGTTTGGAGACGTCCGCACACGCATACAATTCGCACACGTATGAACAACATAAATCAAGGCTTTCCCGAAACCTAAAAAGACAAGGAGCTTGTTTAGTCATAGAATAGACGAGTAGACGTGTATGAAAAGACACAAAATGCGCTTGTTATAACGTGGGAAAAAGAGTTCACCACAATGGTCGTGCTCAGTCAATGGGGACCTCAATGGGTAGAAATGTGTAAACAAAATATTAGGGCCGTCGAAACTGCACGATTGGCTATGGCTGGGTGCTGATGATGATTGTTAGCAAAGTCTTATTTGCTGCGTGTTGAACAAAGACAGGCGGTCAATGAGTTAGCCAGTTAGCATGCGGGAGAGCTATGCAGTTCCCAGTGGAGCCTGAAGGCGTGTTGAAACCAGGCGCGCTCGTTAAGGAGCTATTTGCTGCATCCTTTCTGTGAGGTGACACAATTTTCATTAAGGAATGCGCTTTAAGCGGCTGGCTGCAGAGTGTCCAGCTGTGCCACCCCAATCCTACAAAGAAAGCGAGCAGGATGTCTGGAGAAGAGGCAGAAGGTTCTTCGCTACGGCAGTGGGATGTCGTAGGTGGCCGGCACCGCACAACCGTACACAGAGAGGAGAGAAAATGACAATAAGTATTGTAGAGTGAAGCAGGGCAGGAGCTGAGGCGGGACCTTCTGCAATACCAGAGTCAAAAACATCAGGGGTTCCATCATGCCATATACTAATAGAGAGGAAGACCCTCTTTCCTTTGCATAAGGCATAAAGGCAGAGGCTGAAGCGAAAGCAGTCTAAAAGCTTATTCCTGTGTAGTGATCAATCTGCCACTAGAATGGAACGTCAAGAAGTGTCCGCTGGAGATGGAGAGCATGTAGGAAGTAAAAGTGTAGTCTGCTTTCGGGTAGGTGGACGCGAATTGAGGAAAAGGTAGCCTTCTAGCAAAAAGGGAAGGGCAGGCTAGCTTGAAGCGCAGCGAAGAGGAGAGGCTGGCGTGTGAAGAGCTGAGTGTTGGCAGAGGGTTATCTTCTCCAGCGGCTCAGCTGAAGGGGCTCACTCTGTGCAGCTAAAGGAAAACAGCCAGAGAATCCGAATTGCGCAGAAGAAGGCGGAAGGTTGATTCGCTACGCACAGTGGTTTATACAGGGGATGAGTTCCTACAAGATGTGCGCCCGAAAGGAGAGCCCTGCTTCTCGCTGCGAGCAAGGGGCAAGCACAGACACTAGCCTGGAATGAAGCAAAGTAGCCAGTGGATACTAAGGCACAGGAGAATACTCAAAGGTGACAGACCATTTGGGTCTGATCGAAAGCTGCAAGAAGAGCAAAAGGATCATAGGGGCTTCCTCTCCTATTTGTAGGCGTGGACACTGCTGTTGACTGAACTGTATTCCGAGGGCTTTGAAGCGTCTGGGGGAGTTGACGGGCATGCCTCCTAACGCACTTTTCGCACGCCATTTTTTGTTCAGCTGCCGGTTCACTGCACGCTTGGTGGAAATCTTTGTTTATCTCATACCACTTCACAAAGTGTGGAGTGCTCTCCTGCTGTCACCTTTTCACGTTGCTTAAACTGCTCATTGCAGCTCATCTGCTAACGGGCTATGCGACGAGAGGGCTGTAGGAGGGCTGCCTCGAACAAAATGCTCATTGTTCTGCTGTCTACTATCAAATTTGGTGTCGTTGGTGCGCTGAGGCTGAGGGCGAAATTTCGCCCCATCACCGCTGCAGCAACTGTTTGCATGCTCCCTAGAATGTCTAAAATAGCCTTCGTAAGGCTGCACCCCGCGTAGCAGTCTCAGTGGGGGTACGTTTGCAGCCACTAAAACAAAAATATAGCCCTAATGCCCTCAGTACAAAAAGCCGAGATAGCATCATACAGCTGCTGGTAGTACTAATTTTGATACCTCCGGTGCCTGGAGGTAAGACCACGGCCTTTGCCAGTGAAGCTGCTTTTGCAGGGACTCTTCTCTTTCGCCATCCAGATCCAACTACCCAGAATAGCATGACGAAAGTGCTGCTCGTCCACATATCTTCATTCGCTGATCGTTGTGCAGTCCGTTGTGCATAAAATGCCGCAATTAATAAAGGGCCGGAAGATCGCCTTCGACGAATATGCATCGCTGGAAGGGGCTACCAGCTGGAGATGGAAAGCGTTATCTTACTTGAACTTTTCCCTGTTATGTTGGCTGAATCCAGGTGTAACGGATGGTCTTAGTGAGGGCCTTGAATTTTTGATAGGGCGTAATATCGCTTGGATCCAGATGAATCGAGGCTGCGAAGGCCCTTATGCAGTTCAGGCTTCTTTGCCCCTCACTGCGGTTTTCACGGTCATGGGCCATTTATCTAGCTGCTGGCCACTACAAGACGCTAACTGTGCAGGTAGCGCTTTACCTTCAAATAGATACGCAATGCTTCTAGCACTCTAAAATGGGTGACTGTCCACATGCTGCCCATGTTTGTACACTGCTTGTCTCGGTCAAGGGTCTCATACACCAGTAACTCCAACTGGATCCATGTTAAGTACGGGAGTTGACAATTGAAGCCACCTGAAACGGCACATAGGCAGAAAGAAACGACTTAGAGAACGCGCATGAATAAAACTTAAAGCGTAGCAAAAACCCCTATGACTTTATACTAATAGATTACCCAAAAAAGTACTTGACCAGTCCAAAGAAACATATTGCTAAGCATTAGGAAGCAAGGAAATGGATAGAAAAGGCGACAGACACACAGCAGAAAGACTACAATATCATACCTTGCCTATGCTATTCAACATTCTATATCTAAATCATCTTTCCAGTTGAGAATCTTGCATCAGTACCGTCTCCTTATCCAGGAGTGGTAATAGTTGACCGACTCAGTTGCACAGACTACTAGTGCAACTGGAAACTTCATACCGTTTGATAACTACTGCTATATGTGAAATTTTCGAAAAGGGTAACATGTGCTCCAACACCGCATACCGAGTGACTGCTAACGAATCGCTAGTACTGCCCAAAACTACAAACGCGACCTCTTGGATTATACAAACTACAGCTCACGCTTGCGCGTTACCCCAAAACTCGAACTCTGCAGGCTAGAGAGGCACTAGAACCTATGCCTCAAGTCCATTGTCTCGCATACAGCAGATAAGAAGTCCGGTGCAGCCTTCTGATCGACAAAGATTGCGGGGAGGCGCGTGACTTTGTAGGAAGACTCGAAATGTTTCCGCACGTAGGGCGCCAGGCGGTGACCCATCAGTTGTACAACGAACTGAAGTAAGATAATGCAGCGGACGCGCAAGCACACCCAAAAGCCTCCGTGATATGGCCGCTCACTCCATAAACAAACAGTGGAAAGATCATTCCGTTAAATATGCTCTATTGGGGTAAGAGGGTTAATAGAACCAAAATTTATGGTTACGACTGAGGGTTCATCTGAGCAGACGCAGTTGGCGTGAACGAAAGACCTCGCTCTATCTCCCCCCTGAACAACTTATGGTTTCCCATCAAAGGGTAGCGGCGACAAGCACAACGCAGAGCTTATTGCGAAGCGCAAGATAGAAAGATGAACAACGTAAGGTAAGCACTGAGCAGTGGTAAGTACATGATGCACGAAAAAGCGAAACACGATGGGCACAGCAAGTAAGACAAGACCCATGCAATGGGAGCTACATAACTAGGTAAGAGAGGAAGAAGACATGTGACCATCTTACGGGTTTTCCTCCGCATTCGGCGAGTTTCTTGACGCCCGCCATGCAGATCACGCAGGAGCTGCACAACAAAGAAACCAGGATGCACGTTGTTCATCAGAATAAACTGAATGAATAAAACATCAGGACCCTGAAGCATGAGCAATTCCAAGAGAAGCACGTTTACACTCGCAGTTTTGTTAGCCTTTGGCGTTCCCTTCAGCAAATCTTGACGCCCGACCGACCATAACATGCATCCACCATGAAGAACCGATTGCCCAAACGAAATACCAGTACAAGCACCATACGATAGTATAGAAGTAGGAGAGTCCCCCAGAAAATCTATTTACGCTGGCCTGATCACTCATTACGGACAAAGAAAGCCAAACGCGCACTTGTACAGCTGCGATTCAGCAGTGCTGCAACTTTTCCTCTCCCAAAGACACGTGGATGAAAGTATATGCCTAGCCAGCGTACTCATTCAGAAAAACTACCGTCTTGTGGGCAGCCAAGATACTATCAACGGCAGAGGGGACATCTTCAGGCACGAGTGTGGGAGGAAACACGGAACCTGCCGTCACGACCCCTCTCTTATACTCCGAGATAAAAAGCGCAAAAATACTTAGTAAGGCGACTGCCATAAGGAATGCTGGGAAGAGCTGTAGCACTTTCATTCTGCTGATGCCTGTTTTCTTGTGAGCCTCTCCATGTTGTAGGACGCTGTTGTCCTTATGCTCCCGAACCGTTCCCTTTTCCCAACCTGGAGAGCGTCGCCTCGCTTCAAGCTGAGCACGAAGCAATTCGGGTGATGGAATGGCAGAGACTCCTCCTGTTCCTGTAGTATGAGTGACCTCAGTTGGAGGGGGAGCCTTTGGCGGGGTGAACGCCTCAGAACTCATCTCCCCCCTAAGTTCAGAGGAATGTTCATCTCTAGTGCCCGTCGCCGCGCTGACTGTTGGGATACTCAGAAAGAGCGAACAGATGCAAGACAGCAGTAGCAATAGCCTCATGGCCAATGCTGGAGAAAAGCTGCACCGTAATTCGCGTATGTGTTGCACGCCAAGGGCAAGGATGGCTCACTCCACCTGAGGAACGGGATATGCTGCTGTGGAAAGACCTCTACCATAAGGGCCTTTCAAATCAAAATATGTTGCGGATATTCGGAGGATTGGCTCCTTCTAAGAAGGACGCCTAGAGTCGATGCGTTCGGACTCTGGATGGGACTGTTGTATCTGCAAACTTATTGAAGGAAGTAAGGAAACCTTCAGCTCCAACGCAGGTATAAAGCGCGGAGATATCGAAGGAAGGAGTGTGGCGCTCCAAAAACGTGGGAAGAGGGAAAGAGGAGGGCGATGAACGCTGTCCGCAAGAGGTGATGCCTGGGCTGCAAGGCTGCTGAGGAACAACTGCATACACCCCTAATATCTGTGCGTCAATAAATTAAACAAGAAATCGAAAGAGTGCATTGGTGAAAAGGGAGACAGAGAGCTCTCACGTCTAATAGGTCAAAATCATTGGGGTGGGGTCAGGGAAACAGCCCCGTCGAGAGCCACTGAGAGATGTTCTACAGATCCGGAAAATACTCGTCTCGATACTGCATGTGAAGGCTTGTCTTCTCCGTTATATAGCCACTTAGAGAGTATTCTTATGAATTTTAGCTTGTTTGTTCTTGACTTAGGTGGCGAAGAAGGAAACATTGTACCGGCTGGTGTGCATTACTGAATGCAACCCTAATGGTAAGACAACGTTTGCTAGTTAAGATAACAAAACAAGAGAGCACTTTTTTTCTGCTGATGATAGACTACGATGAAGACTCCCGAAAATGGTCATCTAATCTTGTTTATTTGCTCAGTGTAAGAAAGTTTCTTTCCCGTTGCGCAGTGCATGCACGCCTATGCGGAGGGGCACAAGAAGGCGAGTCACATTATCTACCCAAAAGTATTCATTATGCCACTACCAAGCTCTCCATGCCTTGTCTCCAAACTAGAGGGGCCACCTTGCGAAAGCAGCATCATCCCAAGGGCCTTTTCTCCCTAATGCCGGTATACATGCGTAACTGTAGATGCACTAAGACACCAGCACCGTGAGTAAGTCTATTCACTTCGCCAAAAAGCGCTGTATCAGCCGATGCGTCAACGAAAAATACAAATGTCAGGTAGCACGGCACTGCATTTGTCCTTTGTACCTCTGGGAGGCGCTGCAACGCTCTGCAGGGGCAATTGCAAATGGGACAGTTTCATAGCTCAAGCAAAGAGCAGAACCTAATTACAAATTCTTCCGCCGTTTGAACTCTAGACAGATATGAAGGCTGGGGGTGCTGCCCCGCTAAAGGCAAACAGAGAGGAGGGGACGAAGGTCGTTCACGAGGGAACAACGAGGGGCATTGTTATTGCACTACTGGCTAAACCATCAACGGCCACGAAGGGTTCAAATTGCTTGCAGGCCTGACACAAAGAGGCATACTCAGCGAGAACACACTCCCGTAAAACCTGGGGATCAGACACAACCCCTTCGTCTGCTGAAATGCAAATACTGACAACCCCTCCGCAGGAAAATGCAGATACGCCTACTCCCACCTGCACAAGCACAAAATTCGAATAACGGCAGCAAGTGTAATATACCACTTAGCCATACAAAAACCCATGCAGCTATGGAAATGTGAGCCTCTCTCGACTGCCCATCATTCGCATTCTCAATATAGGGTCTGCTGTCTCCATTTTTTTTGTAGATGCAGTCATACTGGTATTTTTTATGCTTTGCATTAGCTCAACGAAAACATCATCAGCTGTGACGACCAAAGCTACGGGTTTCTGACACTTTGGGATGATTGAGGGTGACAAAAAACAGTAAATCCTGAAGCTGAGGCAAAGCACCCTCAAGGTGAAAACTTTAAGCCGTCAGCAGTACTTGCCTCTCCTGGCTGAGGTACCACGAAGTGCATACTCTGGGCGCGGCTGCAGTGGACATATGGCAACGATGCAGGGCCAATGACGCTGCTAAAAATAACCGAGATCTGTGAACAACAGAAGCATGCTACAAAATACTTGAGAATTCTGAAGTGTCATGCAAATCAGGCTCTAAGAAACTAGACTGCGATCATTCTAGAAAGCACGGCGAAACGCCTAGAGTGTTTCAACAATTATCTAAGAGCGGAAAGACGGGTCAGAAGGCCCGTGTGGGCTCTTAGTCCGCGCATTGTCAATTATATTTGCAAGTAATGCATAGGAGGACGATTATGCTTGCTGCAACCCTTATGCACTTTAACCATAAATGCTTAACATCACGTAAGTGGGCGTGCAGACACAAAATGTTATTTCCTAGACAAGTACACTCGGGACTGCAACGACGCTTCCCTAGGAAGAATCGCCAAATAGTCGGCATGTGTTTATGAACTCGCTCAATGTTGTTCACTAAAAATATTTCATACAAATTTAAAACTCTACTTCGCCCTCGATTTGTCTTCTTGTGTGCCAACCCATCTGCAATTTGTACTCTTTACCTTGTGTGTAAGCCGGAGGAAGTAAGCCATGAGCAAGTCCGGCCATGTATTGTACAGCCAGTTTTCTAGGCACATCACCATGGGGATTGCGAAGCTCTGAAAGGTTTTCCGTATTGCCCCGTGGACTCCAAGCATCCTGAAGAGCAGAGCACTTGATGCGCGAATGGATGTTTGGCACTCACGCAACCGAGAAATTTCACAATAAGCAGTTAGATACGCATACTGGTGGGGGGGTGGATTTATTGAAGACGGCTTCTGAGTGCAAAATGGTTTTATGACGAGTCTGTGGGTGTGGCAAACACCTTTGCAAGGAATCTCCCTGCGAAGTAACTGGCATCTGGAGTACAAGCGACGCAAAGCGGTTTCGAAGATCCTTGGCTTCGTGGTCTTGCCGGCGGAGATTTACGGGAATAAGGAAGTTTATTTCCTCTTTTAGGGGATGCTTGCTTATAGCTCGAATGCTACCCTCCATGCTTTTTTCTTCGTTGCTTGAAAGATTCTTTTTCATTTTTTCTTCGTAACGATGGTACCCCCCGACAATGCATGCAGCGAATATGTCATTCAGCGTGACCCTCAAGGTTTTTGCGTTGCTGTGCTCCTCTCTGACCGTGGGTGTTTGTGCGGTCGCACCAAGCGCACCCCGGTTACCTGCGCTGCTACACATTGCTTTATCTTGTCCTGCTCTCGACTGCTTCTTGTCCATCTGCTGCCTATCTTGGGTGGCACTGAACGGCTTGATCCACTGGAGCAGTCGTCTCCCAACTGAGCGTCTAGTGGTGGCCGGCTGAGTTTCCCGCTGCAGCGCCAACACAGCAGCCAGTCGCGTCTTGAGGTCCTTAAGTTCTTGCAGAGGAATGCATATTGGCTTGGCTATTCTTGTCCTACGGGCACTGCCGCAGCGCGGCGTCTCCAGTAATTCATCATAGCTCATTAGCAAGGCCATTTGCGCTGCATAAAACGGTATTTGTAACGCGAAGCGAATCGCCAGTAGCACCTTCCAAAAAGTATTCTGGGGGATCGCACAGACAGAGGAATATGTTTTTAATGGCGAAACTCCAGGGGAAGTTTTCGAGAGTACGCCTTCGTCTCTAAATTGCAGTGCATTTCGATCTTGCATCTGGGCCTTGAATGTATCGTTTGTTGTTTCGTTTGCATCGGCGGCTGCTTTCGAGGAAGTCACCGAAGCTGTCCAGATAGTGCTGGTGCTCGCGGCGCTTACTGGGCTCCCAACTTTTGGTGTTTGAGCCGCTTCTTCAGTGTTGTCATGAAAAACATCGTTGTCGCCACTAGTATCCGCTGAAACGGTGTGTGACAGCTGCGAGGCTATAGCAGTCGCGGAGCCCTTATCAGGCAAACTTGCCGCGCCCATTACAGAGACTGTCTGCCCTTCATACTGCTGAGCACTTGTGCAATCATTGCAAGGTACTGCTGGGGCTGCACATAGAAAGTCCCTAAGAAACATGCGCGTGATGGACACCCCATCCCCCACTGCGTGGTGCATGCGAAACACCACCACACTGCCAATGCATTCTTTCTCCAGGCTTCCAGCCCCATCTCGGGGGGGCAATATTACATTTTCTATCAGCAGAAACTGCCAGAGGGGCTTTCCAGGGTCCAAGGGCTGAGCAAGCGCTTCGTTCACAAGGCAGGTGACGTCTGCTTCGTCCAGCAGACAGCTGCAATCGGAGGCAGAACTGCAAGAGCACAGCTTCTGTGTTTGGCTCATTTCCTTGGAGTCCGCACTGCCTTTACCCACAACGAAACGTTGATCGCGAAATGATTCAAGGCCTTTCCTTGTAAGTTTCATCACATGTTGAGACACTCGAAAACCTTCCTGTCGAACCCAGCAATATCTGCCCATAATGCGCTGTACTTTTGCAAGTAGCCGGGGGTGCGCAAAAGCCGAGAGAGGCAGACGCCCAAGTGTGGTATCATCTGCGCTGCAGTCAGCAAAGCACGAAAACTTGTCCACGGGCTTTAAGAGGTTCGTTGTAATCGCTGAACAGAGATCTTGCAGGGTCAGCCTTTCGCAGTACGAGAAAGCAGTGACAGCCATCCACGGCATTGAAAAAAAGAGCTTTTCTTGACTTTCCATTAGGGATAAAACTTCCCTAGAGCCAGTGAAAAAGCTTGATTGAGGCTCTACAACACTCTGCCCCTCAGCATGCATCGGCTGATGGAGGAAGGCTTCAACATCCTTGGAAAAAACATACGGACTGAACCATCGCACGGCTGCTTCCCACATCAACAGGCGTAACCGACGTAGCACAAATAGCAGAATCAAAATTGGCCACAAGAAGCCATTGAGGCTGCACAAAAAACCTAAGCTTAAGAGGCCCCATGCCAGCCAAATTAGCAGCGGGTGCCGGCGAGCGAAACGCACAACCGAGTGGTCTAGATGATTCATAGCTACCCAGAACGTTTTGCTGAGTTTGTCTGAGCCATGTGACCCGGGTAGCTGCTGAAACGGGCGTTGCCCCTCGGGTGGCTGCGAGGGAGCACCCGATTCTTCCCATTTAGCATAAAGCGTGTGTATCTGCTGGCTTGACAAGGCTTGATCGTTGATTGCGATAAGACTTTGTTCGTTGCGGCTGCCTCTTCTTATCTTGCAAGTACTCCTGGGGTGCTCGCTTTTCGCTATCTGCGTGCAGCGCCGCGCAGTAGCGAGATGCATTCCAGCCAGCACACCGGACGGTGGCTCTAAGCGGCCAGAAGTCGCCGAATCGCGGCTTCTGAACAGTGCCATATCCCAGCAAAAAGGACGAGCCATGAACTCCACAAGGGTTAAGCATGCATCTGCGGTCTTGTACAGGTACGACGTCCTGTAAAACCGCATAAAGCCATCAGGCCTTGGACCACATTCCCGGCACAACAAAGCCCCCCCTAAGTCGCTGCATGCCCGACAGTACAAATTGCAGCTATCGTCACCGCTGGAATGTGCACTGTGAGGAACACCCCCACAATTTCGCCACGGGACACGCCATACCGGGCGCTTGTCATGTGAGGAAGCTGTAGCCGTGGGGCTGTCACATTTGCAATGCATGCAGTCTCCACTGGCGCAAGCTGTGGGGCTTAGGGCTGCGCTATTGGACACAACAGGACACAGCCATGACGGCCCCCCGTCGCGGCCCTTACTGCGGGGCTGCATGAAGGTGACAAGTTCATCTTTACTGGCATCAACTGAGCAGGGATTGCGGGTGTTGAACTGTTGTGATGTGCGACTGGAAGTAGAAAGGTAGCCTTCACGTTTGTGAATGCAATTACACGCAATGGAATCGCACTCATATGGGCTTTTTTCGCCTTGAATACGGCGGGATACTTGCAGAAACATGATAAATTGGCTCGAAAGACAGTGGAGTCAGTGAGTTCTCCCTCGGTAGATGATGTGTCCGTATTTTCAAGACAGTCACCCACTTCCCGAATCACAGCTAAGGTGAGCAAACACTCAGACAATCTAGACAATATCCGTCAAAAGTGGAGAGTGTGGACAAGCCCAGCCAACCTCTCACCAGCCAACTGCACCGCAGGTAATTGTTACAATTTTTGGAAGCTTCCTGCCTTCGCGCAATAGAACAACAAATTTCAAAGACCTCAGTGCTTGCCTACGCTTGTGAACGAGCACTATGCTCCTCGCTCAGCGTGGTTCCACTCTGGGTGGCCTCAATTTCTCAGCTTTCCTGCTGCCCTGGTATTTGGTAGTCCACCAAACTCTTTGTTCCACTGGGTTGTTTGTGTGCAGCAACAAAACCAATGCATTTGATCCTTTTCGGAATAAGCCTATGAGGCTTCAAAAGAGCTGTAGTTCTCAGGAATGGAGGATGGCTGCCTTCGTAAACTCTTGGCAGCCAGAGCAGGCAAGGAAAAAGAGACAAAAATGGCTTCACTGTAGCATACAGCCACGCACAAATGTAACAGTAGTCAATAGAGGCCAACTTGATAGCTTGTTAAAGGACGTATTTCAGAGTGACCAAGGCCACCATCACCCCTTTGTTTCTCAGAAGCCGGAACAAGCCTCAACGATCGTGCTCTGCTCGTCCGGTGTCAGTGAAGATATGACAGGAATTCGGCTTTCCTACGCGAAGAGTTACGATAGAAGTAAGTTTTAAAATAGCAAGCACGCTGAGAATCACCGTCCATAATGCAATTCATTCCGCCCTCTACGTCTGTTCGGCACTGGTGCGAGGCTCCGTCACGCCCAGCGCCTGCCCGGGGATGCCACCATAGGGCTTCTTGCAACCTTTTTCTACGACGAAGGTGATATGAATACGCTGTAAACACAAATAGCCTGGCACCAACCGTGCCTAGTTCACCTTCGTTCTTTCTTAATAGTTTTACCGCCATGTGCAACGATAGTTTCACCAAGGGGATACGCAATAACGATGCATAAGCTTCATAGTGAGTGCACTATGTGCCCTGAATGCCAAATAACGGAATCAAAGGTATATGCTTGAGCGTAGGACTATTCTGAACGCTCATTAGGTCCCTAAAAGGAGGATTTCGCCCGCAACAGGATGTTTGGTCAACTTACTGCTGCATGAAAGACACCGCAGATCGGGAGATTCGTACACCCCAACGCTAAAAAACATTTAACAAACGCTTCGTGCTCAAATCTTTGTGCGTTGAACCCTGAATTTTATCTGGAGAATCGTCATTTGCTGCGCCGTTGCATTCCTGTTCAACTCGCCGCCCGACGCAGTACTGGTGTCTTGCTACACCGCTCGCTGATCCGACGCCCTTGTTTTTTGCGGCCCTGAGTTTTTGTAGTCTTATTGCACATGATAAAAGGAGCATGAGATCTCGAAAGCCCAACGTTGCTGAAGCTTATGGGGGAATTGCTTTAATAAAAGCTGTGGGAATTATCGACATGCCCGGGCGCAGGAAGAGCAAATCACAGCCAGAAGCCGCGTTCTCCTCCTTGAAATATATATGAAGCTGTGCATGTTATATCATTTTTCTTAACTAGGTAAATAGCCTCATCGTCTCCATTTACACCACAGCATCTTCAGGTGGACCAGGAAACTGTTGAAGCGGAGCTGCCCCACACGGGGGAGTAGAGCTAACCCTAGTAAGCACAAGCCAGCAGTTTCCGTTGAAATATTATGTGCACCTGATTTAAACAAATTTTCAATTATTTTGAAGAACTCCTGCCCCTGTCACGGCTCGGGGGATTGCATTCGGGAGGCCCTGCCCGATGAAATTACTACGTGGCGTCTCCCAACCCCGACAGGAAATATAAGTCGTTCGCAGATCCTGAGTCCAGCTTTTCCTTATACATTGATACCTTACCCAGGGGCATGCAATTCGCTGATATTTCTTGGTAGACGTGTTGCCCAAGGTGTTGTGGCGTTGGAGCCATGTGGAGAAAGCTGCTAGCCGCTCCCCAAATGCGCAAACGTGATGCAGAAGTCACGTGTGACCCGCGAAACTCTAAAAGCTCAAGCAGAGAGGCTGGGAATGAATGGGCGGGGGCCACCATGCGGCCTCTGCCTCTAGCATTTCCTACAGCCTCTTGGTCTTCGTACTACCCTAGCGACTTAGAGAACAGCTATGATGACGTGTCCTCCAAGTCCTATCAGTTCGGTAGCTACTCTCATTCTTATGAGTCACCATCCCAAGGCTCTTCGGAGAGCTCTCAAACGGCTACATTCCCCAGGCTCGCTACCGCCCTATCGCTCCCAGCCAGCGTGGCGCCCGATACGTGTTGGCCAGAGGGCAGTCGAACACAGCTCAAGGTACGCCGCAGCTTCTGGAAGAGCCCAAAACCTTGGAAGTGTGCTGGAGGTAGAGAAAGACGCAACACCACACGAGCCAATGCGCTCCTGTACCTAGCATTGACGGAACCGGCACTCTCTACATCGGCGCTATTGGTGACCCAGCAAAGAAATCCTCGAAGTATTGCACCACCCCCTGTCAAATCAAGTGGGCTGTACTAAGCTTTGGCCTTTCACTACTCTTCTGAACCTGTTTGCGAATTTTAAAATGCTGAATTGTCTCCGCATTGTGCGCTCATGAGAGTTTCGGAGGAAGCTTACACGTGGGGAGTCCCTCACTGTCTATACTCTTCGCGGTGGGTTCGTCGTGTGTGCTCAGAGGAAGCCTCGAATTCAAACGCTTTCTCGTTGTTTTCACTTCTCTGTTTTGCATGCATCATGGTCTTCCTATCGCTGGCTCTTGGGATCGCCGTCGGATGTGCACTTGTGAGATCGCGACCGTCTATGGGAGCGGTAACTCTAGCTGTTTTACCCCTGAGCAGTCTAGAGGCCAGTGTAGTACAGGAGTCTCAAGATATATTTGGTGCTAACGGCATGTCTGCATCTGCGTCAGGAGATGCCGCAGTACACACCACTGACAGTGAAGCAGCTTCCAAGCAAGGGCAGCCCGAACAGCTGACTGAAATGCGCCCCAGTACTTCTGATAGCGACCCTCAGAAGAACGTAAGCAACGGACTGGCCACATTCGTCTTGGAGGTGCTTCATACCCAGCCAAAAGCTCATGAGCCCTTCGCTGTGCTTAGCGGGGGGTTCAGACTGCTACTGTCGCTTTACAATCAAAGTAAGCTCGTGTGATGCAAAGCGGCAGTGGCAACATACAGATTTCAAAGCCCTCCAGAGAGCTTTGGAACTACCAAAAATGTTGGGGTAGGGTCAACTATCCATTAGGAACTGAGGCAGAGCTGACTTTCGAGCGTATGTGATCCTTCACTCTTAAGTTGTATCGTACCTTGTTGCTGGGGGCGCAGGTGCTTTCGGTGGGACGGAGTCAGGTGTCTCCATCCTGGAATATATTCCAGCCCCACTAGCGGGGATAAGACCAGAAGACGCGTGTTTCACTCCATATTCGACTGGGTTCGACAAAGTGCTTCCCACCTCTCAGACCGCGGATCCTGAGGCTTCCCTTGTCGCTGGAGAAGAGTTTGAGGGTACAGGAAAACGCCATGAACTAGAAGGGGATTTAGCCTCGCCCTTTACGGTAAAGCCTCTAGATGCCGTCGCCACGACGGCTACGGCGCCAGGCGGAATGGCCAGCTTGGAACACCTCGGACCTCCATTTGAAGCACTGCCAGATCTGCAAGACCTCGTTGGCGGATCTATGGTGGCGTCATTCCGCCGCAGTCCAGACCACACCTTGCAAGAGCTTCTACATGTGTCGGCAGGAGAATCTGCCAAGATGCTGATGATCCGGGGCTCCTTTCTACCTCTGCATGGAAACTCAATCGTGGCTGTAAGCCAGATCAAAATAAGCGGCCGTTACAAAGTTCCCCTTGCTTTTTGGTACCACGCACACCATATGCTTTCGTGCAGGTTGGCCTCAAGCACCCAGGTCTGAAAAAATAGTCCACTCCTGCATGGCTGCTCTGGTCCCCACTCTAATGTGCAGTCCTTACATTGCCCCTACTGCGCACCATGATGTTTTTCCGACTATTCGACCTGCATCATCGGTGAATATCTGGATCTCGGTTTGAAACGTGCGTTTGGTGACTCTGCTCAGCACACACTTGCCCAGCTTTCCAGCGGATCGAATCCGAACGAACCAGGGAATGCCGAGGCACAAACTCCTGGTGCTCGCCCTCTGCCTCCCCGTACACTTTCTATGGCAGCAGACGGCAGCCGTGGGCATCCAGTGCGAGGCCGTGGGGGATTTGAGGGAGAAGCGAATGAGGTACAAATGACAATTCCAGATGGAGACGATATCGATGGCCGACGTAACGACCAAAGGGCAACTACGTTGGGACTCAGTTCCACAGCAAGTTCTGAAAAGCCATTAGGCTCTCCTTGCATGCTAGGCAGCAATCTGAATTGCTCATCGCAGCAAGCATATAAGGGGCCAGACGACGCATCATCAACAGGGACCAAAGGCCCGCATTTATTGGCCGTTGCATTTCATCCTGTAGTCGATGCACAAGGTAAAGGGTTCCATTCGAAGGAACTTTGGGTAAGCGTTCATCACAGAGTCAGATCTCGCCAGATGTACGAAGATCTAATTCAGGACTGCCGACTGGGACGAGTGTACGTGCAACTAAGCGTTGCTCTAGCGTATTACTCCCTATTTTATTGGAAAGATGTGGAGAGCCACCGGTTTCTCCCACTTGCCATAAACTGTGTTCTTAAGCCGAAGATTTAAGCTCGACCGTAAAAAGGGAAGCAGAGGATGTTAAACAGAACACTTCGCAGCACGAGTCCTAGATCCAGCAAGCTTATTTTACGAAGCTCCCTTCTGTAGTAGAGACGTTTGATGACAGGCACAGGCACACATTTGCACGAAGTTACACGAGAGCCCGAGGAGGGCAGAGAAATCTTGTGCAAGGACCACCCAGGTAGTGTACAAGGGCATGCTCGCTGAGGAGCAGTGGAGAAACACAGATGAGAAGCAGGGCAGATAGCACGGACTTACTAAGGAACCGGCAGAGGGAAGGCTGGACACAAAGCTCTACATAACTCAAGTAAAGCAAAGCTGAGGCGAAGAAGTTCACAATCTCTGACGCTCCTGGTGGCGCATACGTGCTAAACATCGTTGAGGCGAGTAGCATAGCCGGTGGTGCAAATACATAGAGAATTAGGGGCCCATTGTTCACTATGCAGTAACCTAGTTTTTAATTTGAGACATCTTGAATGCTCTTGCTTCTGGATACCACGGCTTTGTAATTGCTACACGGGAAAGGTAAGGAGCTGCTCCTTGCATCGGGCAACGTGCGGTCACTTCGAAGGCACAGGCCTACGGCTGTACACGGCGCCACCGCCATGCCACGCTAGCTGGATAGGCGTTTCGTTTTAGGCCAAGTTGTACACAGTAGCGGGCATTCAGGCGTCCACACAGCGGGGATGACGGCCTTCGCCGTTAGTAAAAACGAAAGACTAATGAGGTCCAGTTATTCCCCAGTGAGGCCCTGAATGGGGTAGTATAAGCATGGTTACATCATAAAGGAAGCTCAAAGACCTGGTAGAGTAGGTGTGAGAATACTTTTGCACCGCCCCTCCTTTTGGCCGTCCAGCGGGGACCTTTGTGTTGACCATTTGGCGAGTTTGTGTGTGAATGCCTTTTCACTTGCCAACTCGCTCTAAAACCCAGAATGAGAAAGCGTTCTTCTTCAAAGCTGCGCAGTCGCCGCCTCGACGCGGCAAGCGATGCAGAAAGGAAGCTCTTTTCCGCCTGCGTGGTTGCGGTTCGGTGGAGTAGCCCGAAGTACATCTCCGTTTGGTGATGACGAAGGCATGACCTGCTACGAGATGCAGCGCCCAGAAAAATAAAAAAAAGCCTCCTGAAAACGATTACGGAAGCCCCCAAAGTAAGCAGGCTAAACCAGCGCACACTACCACACAGCCCTCCTTGAGCCACAGCCCCGACAAGTGGCACGGGCTATGGCCGAGACAACTCAACGGGTGGAACTCTCGAAAAGAACAAATGGTAAAGGCTTTCGACGCTTCAATATCCTTCGTTACCTGAGCAATTCTTAACTTTTCCCGCTGCAACCAACGGCTCGTGCCGTACAGATTCCGGTAGCGATGGCGTGGAGTTAACAAACCTCACCCGACACCACATTGAACCCTGTAATCATGAATGAATGATCCTTTGACAGAAACTACACATGCTTGCCAGGAGCCGAGCTCCTGCCTCTTGAGGATCGCTCTTGCCGCAGCCTTCAGGGGGCCTCGGTATCGGCTGTTTCTACGACCCAAAACAGAACTTCTGCGTTCGTTCCTTTTTACACCCAATTCTGGTCAGAACAGGCCATGCCTGAAGTTTGGCTATGTATTGTTTCCACCAGCAGGAAGCCAGCTCTTCTTGCGATTGCAATTTGAATCGTATGGTCTCAACGCCCTACGCACCGAAATCCCCGTCAGCGTCGTAACCCGCCTTCTCACAAGTCTATATGCAACGTGATATCCGCGCCTTCAGCAGTGCAGCGGTCGAATACACCGGCGTATGCGAACTATCACGTGCCGAACGCCACTGCGCCTTCGCAGGCCTCCTGTTTACTCCTTTCCCACCCCCCACTCGCTTCCCCCTTTTTCCACCAAATAAATGCTAAAATGAGAGGAACTCCTTGTGGCTCCCCTGAACCTGCCGCACTGTTTGCAGGTTAAGTGGATAAGTACCTCGGTTTTGCGATTTATGAGTTCAATCCTCTGTCAGTTTTAATAAGTACCTGCCTGCCGCTGCGGGTAGCAACACTAGTGCAGCGCCAGAATAGTCCACAAACGAGGTCTCTCTTTTCTCGGATGTACACTCCGGCCAAATAATAGGGCCGCAGCGACGGGCAAGAGGAGTACCTTGCCTTGACTACGGAGATAGACTGAAGCGCCGAGGCTTCGGTCTAACTACCCTTATCATATAATCTTTGATATCGGTGGCATGTCTTGGCATTGGAACTCTTGAACTCATCAGCCATTTTGCGCTTCTGAGAAGCGTCTCTGGAATCAGGGGTTCAACAGTGTGCTTATCCCGTGTGAAGGCTGCATATACAGCAAACAGCTGGCACGGGCGTCGGACGCAGTGTCTCTATCCGGTGGCTGCCTCTGCTCTGACGGAAATGCAGCGCCTCCGCACAAGTTTCAGCCGGCCTTCGGCCGGGGATGTGGGAGTCAGCAACTTGGAAAAAGTTGCATCTTTGCCTGTCCAGGCGGGAGAGCAAGGCGATGAGAGTGGTGAGGCTGCGATTTCTCTCTTGCTTTGGGGTGTACCTGTGTTTCGCTACTGGATGCTTAGGCCCCCAGTGTAAAGCCAAGGATGTGGCTGCGTTAATGATACCCTCCATTTCCGGAAATGGGGGAGTGGCTTTTTCTTATTAATGGGGAATATGCAGCTCTGCCAAGACCCGAGGCAGCCGGACTTCTTGGGGGTCTTCGTGTTGTGCAGAAATGAGGCTTTTATGCGTATTGAACCTCTCCATTCTGTAGTGTAGCATGATTCGAAATGTCGAGACAGCCTCAAGTCTGTTTTTCGGCGTGATTAGAGGAGCAGGGTTAGCATATACAGTGTTCAAACCAGTCTATTTCTCCATCTTCGCAACTGTGGATGTAGGTGTCGGCTCATGATGCACAGCCATGACGTCTGCCTCGATAACGGAGGCTTTCGTAGCTAGTTTTAAGGCGATTTATTTTTTTGTTTGGAAGGAAGTTATCGTGTGTGCGCTAGAACGCTTATTTGAGGGCGGGACCGTTGGTATGCGTACTCTTTTAAGCGAAGGTTCAGTAGGTGGCTCTTGGACGATGCATGCATTCAGTTGTTCCCCTTGCTGCTGGAAGCTTGCATCTGAATTGGGTGCTTGGCATTTCTGCTGATTTCAGGTCCTGAAGATGTCACCAGAGAACTGGCAGCGGCAGCTTCAATGGCTGACATGCCACATGAACTGCGGCGGCAGCTGTACCACGAAGCCCACGCATTCAGGCATTCTCCGCTCTTCACACAGAAGGTTCGTGCCGTCTTCAGCACCGCTCAGTGATGCTTCCTGTGGCCTTGATAATCTCTTTGCGAGGGAATGCTCGCGCATGCACCTATCATGCGACAGGCTCGCTGGTTTCCAAGGCGGGGCGCATGCACTTCCAGTACGCTAAATTACGCAGATTGCGTCATGATGTATGAAGGATTTTCATACACGGCATCAACTGTAGCTCGACTGTCGACGTTGCAATGTTTAGAGTGCGATCTTGCACTCGGGCTTGCATGTTTTTTTCTCGCCCTGTTCAGGTGCGAATGGAAAACAAGATGGATGAACATGAACTGTTGCGTGTCCAGCTTGAGGCGCTGGATTACCAGGAACAAAACGGAGTTTTGTTGACGGAGGGCGATTTTTATTACCGCTATCCCCAGTCTTTTGACCCCTCAGCAAGACCTAGGCTAGACGGAGGGGACGGTCAGCCTGAGTGGTCGTCACTCAAGCAGCAGCTAGCGCCAGGCCCCACCCTGTCTGTTATTCCGCAGACTGGAGGGCAAGCAGGCGCTCTGTATGGAACCCCTGAGGCAGAAACACAAAACCAGTGGCAGAGTTGGCTGCAGAGACAGAGGAAACGCGGCTGGTATACGTCAACCACGCTGGTGTATTCGACGCTCTTCGGCGCGGTGGTGGGGGCGTCCAATTTTACGACGTACTGGCAACAATTGCAAATATGGAGGAGCTCAATGTTCCTCCTGCCATACCTCCTTTTCCTGTTCACTGTCGGATTACCGACTCTGCAGCTCGAGGTGTGCCAGACAGACACACGAGCTCAGGTCATCTAACGTCTCTTTCCGTGTGCCCTTTGATTTCCTAAAAGACACCACTTCTGCCACTCTTCCCTCGCGTTTCATGCTTGTTGGGCCGTTGGCATGGATGTCTGAGGCTTGCGCGTTAGTCGGGGCCTTACGGGATTAGCAAGATCTCGCTGATGGCTAGCTCTCTTGCGGTGTTGGTTTCCGTGTTTACGTGCTCGCTTTTCTTCAGCTCGTGCTTGGAAATCTCCTCCGTGGAGCGGCTATCAAGCAAAATACGCAGCTTAGTCGATGGCTTGTCGGTTTAGGGATTTTGCAGGTGTTGACTTCAGTCTCCTTTGTTATTCTCACTGCGGGTGCGCCGCCTGTTCCCTGCGTCAGCAAATATTACTTCCAGCCGTTGCGCGATCATGCAGAGTTTGTGCTTTCCGATGCATGCATAGGCCATGCAGCAGCCCTCAGCTGTCAAGGACTTTATCCAGTTGCTGAAGTGTGTGTCGCCTGGCAGTCCTCTGCACGGCATGAGACGTAGCGCTCGCCGCGGCTTTTTATTTTCATGGAATTCATTGGCTCCATGTTAGGGTGCGCTTGGCAGTACACGTTTTCTCTCCGGCTGTGTTCTGCCGTGCGAGTTTTTCTCCGCAGTCGTGAGCAGCCAACTTTTAATTTACTTCCTTTCAAGCTTCTCTAGGCCTCAGCCGTGGCAAGTCACAGTGAGCGACATGGAGCTTTGTAACAGTTTTCATGGAAAGAGCATGGATTGCAACGCAGCGGGGCACGGTGTACTTTGTTCCTACGTTCCCGACGCCAGTGTCTGCATTGCCTCGCCTACGGGCAAGGTGCGCGCTAAAGTTACGGGTCCACGCTTTGGTATCCGCTAAAAGCTGAACATACACCATTGCCTGGCAAGCAGCAACCTCTTGGCAAGTAGTTGCCTCTTACAAACCAAGGCTTGTGCACTGATCATTTTACGTAGAGGGGGCTCTGGTTCTCTCGTGTGATGGAAGGGTCATTTATTGGGTGTCAGCAATGGAAGCAAATGCGCAATATTCCCAAGTCAAAACACGCAGCTGTTTCTTGCTCTATGTATAGCATAGGATCTTGTGACAGGTACTGTTTCTGGATATTTCTTCCCAGGCAACACTTTACTACTTACAGGAATTGCAGCCGTCCACCGTTAATCCGGACTTAGATCCTGACCTGCTGCGGCCAAAGGCCTTGGCTACACTTGCCTTTGTATGGCTGTACATCCTCGCATATATGTGGAGAGGATTGTTCAAGGCGGGATTCCGTGAGACTTTTTGTTTTCGCTTTATTTGTTCCCTCTGACTTCACTGTCAGCCAAGCAACGAGCCAGCCTATGTACGAACTCGGCAGCGTCTCATGCCTGCTTCCTAGCTTCGTACACAGTGTTCGCAGTGCTCGATCATTGTTGCTGACGCTGAATTTTCGCTGCAGCATCGTCCATTCTTATGATCATTGCGATGGTCCTCTGCGCCACGCTTGCCGTTGTATCCTTCTTCGTCGGGGCAGATGGCGGCGTGCACGTGGCCGCAGCTGTAACTGCGACTTTCGACTGGCGGCCACTCATCCACGGTTTCTTTGATGCAGCTTATTCTGCTTCGCTAGTTCGGCATATCTGCCAGGATCTATGTCTTGGATGCTGCATTATTGGCACAATTACGAGCTATACTAAGTCAGTAATGGCATTCTTTGTATGTAGAGTTTTTCTGGATCATGTGGCCTCCTGTTGCCATGCTTAGAAATTGAAATAACACAAATTTTAACTGGGAGAAATATATCCGCCAATATTGTGCACTTCATGGCAGCACGTACTCGTATTGTGCCAGTGTACTCGTCACGCAAAGCCCCTTTGGTTTTTATCGTCGATTGCGTTCATTGTCCACTACAGGATCGGCTTCAACACGTACCCAGGCGGCCTTTATACATGCATCCTTGAATTCGTGATGGCTTTTGTCCCTTTTGTGTCTCTGCTCTCCATTGTTGGAAACCTTCAGGTATGTCCCAGTAGCGCACTCGTGAATGGCCTTCCAGTTGTCTGTTCGGCCAATCAGAGGAGCCTTCTGGCGCTCTATAATGCCACATAATGATGGCTTTGCCTTGTCTACCCGCCTCAGAAGTAGCACTCTTCTTCGTGTCTGTTAGGTTGCTGCAGCTCATGAGGCCCCTTATCGCTTGCTTTGTGGCTGTGCATGGAAACTCCTCGTTATGGCACGGACTTACTGTTGCGTTTTGCATGCTACAGGCAGTAACTGATATTCCGCTGGTCGATATTGTGAGGAAGACGGGCAGTGCCCCTGCATACTTTGTAGTTTTTCCTGCTGCATTCGAAAAAGTGTCTTCACCCTACGTAAGTTTTTGGAACGGATGTTCGTGACGCCTGCTGTGAGCTCTGCACTGCTAGCTGCAGGGCGTCCCCTGCGCTCGCAGATGGAGACGCTCGAGGGACTACCTCCTTGCTGCAACGCCTTGTCAGTTGCGGACTGCCGCTTTACTAGAGAACTGTGCTGCGTTTCGCTGCCGTCGCGCTACTTCGTTCTGGACGGCTTTTTTCCGAAGATCGAATTTTCGGCGGGAGTAGTTGTGGCATGTGTTTTTCTGATTCTGTGCCTTCTTTGCAGCTCTTTGGACTCTTTTTCTACGGCGGCGTTTTCCTTATCAACACTCAGGTTGCAGCCATCGCAGTTCATTCAGTATTCAATGCTGTCCTAGTGCGTTACCTGTTGTAAACATTTTATCAACCGTGCGACTATCTGTTCAACGCATGCAAAGTGAACCGGAGGGGACTGAACCAATGCTTCATGGAGGCAGTCTGCTGCCTTCGATGTGATCAGACTACATTTGTGGATAACTAGAATACTTTTTGAAACTGTGCACGTTTTATTGGCTCAGGAGTCACGTGTTATCAACAACAACTGGCGGCGGGCCACAAGCACCGTGATTGTAATCATTTGTTACTGCATCTCTCTTCCCTTCTGCGCCAACAACCAACAAGTTGTGAGTCTACATAGTTGCACCTCGACGGAGCACTGTCTATATGTTTCAGCCAGTAGCCATCGGTGTGCTTTTGTTGCCGCGTAAGCTGTTTTTGCCTCTCCAGGCCTCCGCTCATGACACGCTACCTATTCTTGTTGTCACGTGTGCTCAGAGGTTGGAGTACATAGTGTACATCGTAGAATGGCTTCTTGTTCCAATTTCTGTTCTCTGTACCACTTTCTATGTCGGCTGGGTAATGGGGTTTCAGCAACAATCAAAGGTCGTGGGTCTCAAAGGTAAGCTTACCAGCCTACGAGAAATCGTTTCGATGTAGCAGGCGAGCGCTTTATAACTCAAGAACATTTGGGCTCTCTTCTGGCTTATTGCCATTTAGCATTCATAGGTTTTCTCTTGAATAAACTGAAGTGTTCTGGCATCTCGCGGTTCTCTACACATTGCTCATGAGAGAGTGCCCTGGAGTTTTAGGAATGTAGAGTGCACGTGGCGGGTTTCATTGCAGCATGTATCCTCTTCGGTGGACTCTGCCTCATCGTGGGGGCATCGTACATCATTGCAGTATTCTGCCACCAGGAAACTGCCTTCTTACCAATTTGGATAATGGTGTTCGCTAACGCCGTCATTGCGATTGTCGTGGCCCTGCTTGTCAAAGATCCCGACTCACAGGCCAAGACTTTTAAGGTGTGCTTTTTAGTGCCTGCTTTTCATTTCATCGCTTTGGGGCAATCTACTCTAAAGTTTGCACTTATCGTTGGTACCAATGCTTCCCGCAGTCGGCTCCGATCGCTATTATAAGCTTGGCCCTAGCGTTGCATGCTGCAGAAGTGGGTAGCGGACGGGCCAGCAGTAACCAGTGCAGGCGCTGGTGCTGCAGTTCTTGCTAGCTCGACGACTTTCCTTTTCCGTGAAACAGGTTCCGGATACCACTCCGGAAAAGCGTGTACAGGAGCTTCATGCAACTGTGATGGCCCTTGTGTATTTTCAGGAACGCTTCCTGGCGTTGTATCTAGGTGGCGTGCAGGATCTGGGCAACGAGATCTCGCGAGTCACTCTGTTCTTTCCACAGCACACCATTGGTGGCACATCTGTGCTAGGTGTTATACCAACGCTATTTTGTGGATGCTTAACGAAGCCGTTTTTCATATTCCGTCCATCAACGTTTTGGTGTGTATGCATCAAGCACCTCGTGCCTGTCGTCATGCTAGTTTCAATTGTTGATGGTAAGTAACACCTGGGGAAAAGGTAGTACAGTGCTCCCCCCATAAAGCAGTGCCTAAACTACCCTGTACTGTCGTACTCATTAATGTGTCACTTTACCGAAATGGCCGATGCTTAACGCCGACGGAGTAGAATCAACAGCAAGAGAGAACGACGATTGCTGTTTCTCTGTTCACTGTACTCAACGCCAGTGTGTGTGAACTTGGTTTTGTAGCCTGCCAGCATTTTGACATTAAGTGGGAATCGATGCAGCAGTCACCAAATATGAGAAATCTCGGTGCCGCCTTATTGGGAATGGGAGCTGCTTTCCTGTTAGTAACACCATTCCTACCTAAAGTAAGATTCCCCGTAACAAAGGATCGCTGTGGATACTTTCAAAATATGCTTCCTGCGTAGCCGACTTCACTGTGCCTCGTGGCCATCACGGTGGACTGCTTTTATGGGATAGTTCATTCAGTTCCTTTTCTACCGATACATGGAATTTCGGGACGTGGCGGTTGTATTTGCAGGTCCGCGACTGGGTTAGGCCTGTGGAAGAGGATTACATGTCAACTTCAGCATTTCCGAGCCATCCGTTTGTGCCGTGGCGCCGAGTAACTCCATTTTCGCTTATCCCTGCACTATTCCGAGAGCACCTTGCCCGATCGAAAGAGCCCGCGGCCAGCGTCAAAAGTCTCATGCTCGACTACAAAAAACAGAAGTTACCATTTATGCCCTCCTTCGCTCGTGAAGGGGGTGCTGGGCGCTCGGAAGCGGAATTTGCATCTCAGCATCAGCGCCGTCACGAAAGGAGCTCGGAAGTTCAGACAAGGAAGCAGCCAGGCCAACCGCTTTCCTTTGCCAGCAAGTCGTCAGAGAGCAGTGAGACCTCCCATCATGATTATGCAGCTATGGATGCGACAGCGCATGTTTGAGCTATTTTGCCACATCTATAAAGTTGAAAAGAATGCTGTGCTGACGCTTGTGATGTCTTGTGCACGTCTTCGCAGAAAAGCAGTGAAAAAATGGGATTTAGATCAAGATTTAGCAACGATTTTTTCTCGAGGGAAGAGTTTAATATGTCATACAAGCAAACGATGCATAGAGCGAACACCTACCTATGTGCCTTGCATCACAATGGCACTGCTGTCTGCCGTCGCGGCTACATGCAATGTGTAGACTTCAACGGCGGCGAACTTCCTTTCGGTGGCTCCACTGAGTGCCGGTGCCCAGCAGTATACCAAAATTAGGCTGCTGAGAACAATATGTCAATACCTATGCTGCCCGCTCCCCGGACGGACCCGCATCGCCAGTGCCTTCGGCAGCAGGTTCTTCCAGCAATATTTATTGTATGTGTGAAGTAGCTATGCATGGTTACACACTCAGTAAAGCCTTTACTGCAGCACATCTGCATTAAGGTTACCTTGCAGCGTCAGTGACATTGTTTTTCTGAAGTTTACCATGTAAATGGGGCGCTGGCACTACAATCATGGAGCATTTGGTGGGAATCAATGCAAATATACTTCACAGGGACTACGGGAATTTGCGAATCAGTTCGCGATGGCAAAAACACATCTGCCCAAAGCGTGGTAGTTTTGTGAAAACTTGCACAGCGGTTCGGCCTGCAGGCGGTGCAACCGCAGAATCTCAGCACTGAAGCCGAAGTGGTGACTTAGTGCCCTATCCTCCTAATTAACTGAACCGCTCGTGCGAATGTCAAGAACGCCGACATTTTCATTCCCCCACTTCTCATTCACAAGGCCAAATATGTAGCGGCCTCACTCTGTGAAAGGGATGCTAGGTCCGCAATAGTGGAACTTGTAAAGGCCCCTTATGCTGCTGCCCAAGCCATAAAGCGTGAGGGTGCAGTTAACTCCTACAGAATTCAATACAAGGAGGCTGTGGTATTCTTAGGCTCTGCGAGGCACTAATAACCTACTGTGACCTTCCATCTACTTTGCGCAGTAACGAACAACCCATACGTATTGGGTTACAACGTTCCTGAGGCAATGCTCTGCAGCAGCCCATACGTAAACAATGTGCACGGCATGCTCAACCCAGGAACGTGATTACGGGTGCCCTCAACAACGTGCATTTGAATACTGTCGGAACACAAAACGCACGAGGCCGCCTCAAATAGTCCTCACTGCGTGGGCTTTGTTGCTCGCAAGACTTCAAACAAAATACTTCACCAACACTCAGCTGAAGACATACCTCTAAAGAAGCTCCGACAGTGTACGCGACAGTGCCAGCGCACGTTCCATTGAGAATCATGAGAAGCCCAGATTTCAGAGAACTTTGATTGACAAAGCGACCCTGAGGAGTCTCATCCACCAGATTGTAAACGCGAACTCGTGAACTCAACCAGGCAACAACGGTCTCGCATCACATGAGTGCTGGGTAATGAAAACACATGACTGCAGCTCTTGTGTTTTCACGAGGACAGTTTTTGCATGAGTACTTCAGCGCGATAACCTCCATCCTACTCGATATCAAACAAAGAAACTAGGTTTTTTATGCTTACCTTTAAAAAGCCCAAAATGAATAGTGCCACGCCCGATACAGCGCAAGCCATCACAAATGCCAAGCGGCTATCCGTGCTCGTTCCCGACATAGTTATCCAAGCAACAAAACCCGCCAATGGAAGCAATCCAAATGTGGAAAAGGCAGTAAACATTACCGCGCCTGTGACATAACACTGCATTGGTTGATGGAATCAAACAGAGAGAGGCAAGACTTTCCGGGGGCATTAGCTCTTGCATAAAGTGGTAGAACACAGACACGAGCGCCAATAACGACCCCATCTTCTACAGAAGAAAGCTCTCAGGATTATACAGTGCCTGCAATAAATGTTTTGCATCTATACGCTTGCTGCCTGTATCGTGTAGGTCCTACTTCCAGGATGGCACCGCTATCAGATAACCGGAATAGGAAAGAGGGCACCGAAAGATGAACATTACCTCTTCTAATCGGGCTCGGACCCTCGACTGGCATTAATCCCAACTCTTCGACCATCATGTGTCGCACAAAGAACTCTCTGTACTTGAACGAAATTCTGACAAGCGAGTCTGCGTCCTCTTCCGTAAAACCATAGCGATCCCTATAAATCTCGATCATTTCTTGTTTTTCTTCATCTGGACAGTTTTCTATTTCCCTACATCGCACACATTGCAGTCAAGTCATGCCAACCGGTAGTAGGTGGTTCGAGTGAAAACCTTTAGTATCAAAGGCACCATGTATGTGATACAGGTACTCCTGCATCTGCCCTGAACTCTGAGGGATATGCCTTGTGTGTATATTTCTCTACTTTGTCGGTGGCAAAAGCAAAGGATGATGTGGGAGGTATCATACCATTCCTCGCGCTCGCGTTCGCTCTTAACAAAGTCCTCTTCTGCTGCAGAGCTTACAAACTCGCCGAAGCCCATGCTTATTGCATCAGCTAAAAGATTCCCAATACCTATAATAACAACCTTGGAGGGGTGTAAGTTCGCACCGACGCATCCAGCAACAATCGCAAAGATCGTCACGATTCCTGCAGTCACATTCGAAGCAACGAGGGAAAGTGAGAACGCTGCAACTGAGTGAAATGGTACCATCATTCTACAGTCTCGTCATTGCTTAATAGGAAACCACATTGAGTGGAGATGTAGAAGCCCCTGTGGAAATGATTACTTTACCATCGAGGCCTCCGAAAACAACAGCTTTTAGGTACTCCGAAGAAGTTGTCTTGTGTGCTTCTCTGTGGACACCCGAGAGTTCGTCATAGCCGTTTTGCTCGTGGTTGTGAAGATTACGCTGTTGATGAGCAGCTCTGAGAGGCACAAGCCACGGCACACATCAGATAAGCCACTTTACCACTGATACGGCCCAAACGACTAGGTTTACAGGAAGCCCCCAAAGTAACCTCAAAGAGCCGCTAGCACGGCTCGCCGCAGGAATTGATTGCATTGCTGCCTGGCCATCTACCTTGTGGCGTCGATGTCTTTGGTTCTGAAGGCCAGACGCGCCTTTTGCAGGTCTCTGAAGGGTACACTAGCTCCTTCGCAGCATGGTAGTTGATTTGTTGCAAAATTCGCCGCCTCGATGGCCCCAGGGTCTTGCAAGAGGGGCAGTGACTTGTCCTGTTTCATATTTGCCGAAACTACCCTGCACGTTTAATTTTACCGCGTGGATCGGCCAGACGTGGATTCCCCAATAAACTGCCGCTAAGCGAAATTTTGGGTAAAACCTGCTTACAAAGCGTCGATAGCTACATGCATGCATGGATACTGGTGATGCTGCCGATTCCTGTGCCCAGAATAATGGTGCACCGAAATACTTGGAAGGATAACAGCTTAGGCTTTATCCATCAGTTACGACCTTTGCTTCTGATAATCTGGTGAAAAGAATACAGAGGGGAGCACCTGCTGCAAATGCCAAGATGGCACAACAGAAGCCCAGAATGGAAAGCAACGCCTTCGCTAGTATATCAGGAAGTATGCAGGATTGAATCGATATGATGTTCACAGACACAGCAGTCTCTGTGTACGCGGACTACTTTCGAACTTTTTCCACGTGGGTACGCAGTGTTGCCATGTTGCTGGAGAGAACTGGAACACCCCTCAAAGCCCCATGGCACCCAGTACCGTTGTCCTACATTCCAAAAAAGAATTTCCAAATTCAAGTAAATTAGGCATTCATTTTATTGCAGCTTTCATTCTTACTGGCTAGAGGTTTCTAGCTAGTAAAATGGTAGAAGGCACGGTACCACTCCAGTCGTATGGACTTTGGTCCAGGACTGAATGGATTGTTTCATTTTCAATTCTGGCCTTCCTCCCCCTATTTGACACCCATCGCTGTTTCCTTACTCCAATATCTACCATCTCCTAGTCTAGTCGCTCAACCTGGAGAGGGAGTAGCACACGGTCATTCTTAGCCAGTGATCACTGGCTTCGGAATCTTGCCCGCGTCTGCGTAAATATCTGCTACCGAAACTTGACACTCCTAATATTCTCCATCCGGCACCAGTGCTGCAGTTTCCTTGCTTCTTTTAAAAAAATTTGAAGTGCACCAAAGGTGAAACGCTTCTTCTGTTTCCACCACGACACTGTACTGCGTTAAGTTACACTTCAAAATTCAACGCTACACTGATAATGTTCAGTTGAGAATCGCTAAAAAGTTGAATAATCGACTTGTCTGCTCGTATACCTCATTTTAACTTAGTAGTGCTTGTGCTTTACAATAAGTCGCAATGTTCTGTGTGTGTGCACTAAATGCTATTTGAATGCAGGTGTGAGTGCTGAAGAGTGCTCACCAGGTACAGCTATGCACACTGATTCCCTAGCAAGTGTAGGAACTCCGAGACGCTGGGCACGGGAAGAAGGGACGCCTTTTGAAATAATAATAACTTCCTGCATAATTTGTGTTGAGTCTGGAGCCCAGTGTCACCCTCCGGTGTACTTGGACCGAGCATACAGACGATTTCCACCGCCATCAGGTATTTCTTCCACCACTACATCCACAGCCACTGGATTGGCAGGAAACAGCTGCACCGAGACATGCGACGTCGTCGAGTTGTTAGGTTTTATCTAGGCTCTCGGTAGGAAAACTTTTCACTCTCCCCTGAATAATAACTTGACAGGACTTTATACAGTGCTATTCCTAACGAACTCCCTCCTTCCACTGCTAGGACTCGTCAGAGCTTTGCCTTAAAGAAAGAGGAACAGCTGGGGCTACATAATTTTCCACCCTCGCAGCGATCCGATAGTTTGGGAGCTTGTTGTGTCTTTCATCTACCGCACACGCACTGAACCTTGATATGAAGCTTACTGCATGAAGCTAATCCTACTGTGCAAGAAATGCCACTAAGCTATGCAGCTGTACCCTATAGGTACTCCAAGCATTCACAGTCAGTGTGATCTAGCAGCTAGCCCGCATGCACTGGAAACCGCGTCATATTGTATGAATTTACCACTCCTTTGCGTGTGGGCAAAGCCAGAGTCAATGTCCTCTTCTTTTTGCTACTATATTCTGAAGTGTGCAAGGGTGGCTGGTCCTGTTACATGTGTGCGAGTATTTCTGCTAAGAATCAGCAATCGATAGTTCCGGTGCCTTGAGAATGACAAAGCCCTTCGGACAATGCTCCCAGCTCCACCACCGGACTGAGAACCCGTTCGTGCAACCCACTCCAGTGGCCATGAAGAGAGGTCCTTGGCAAACACGAGCTCACAACAACAACTGGCTGTGCAAATAGCTATGACTAGCATTTTGTCGCTGAGCCCGGAAAGCTCTCACGAGGGCTTGAGGCAAGTTCAAGTAGAGATAGGTGCCGTGCCCTCATTTGTAGACGGCCAGACGCAACGCTGGGAGAACCTCGCCTGATAACCACTGCTGGGGGGTAACGAGCTTATGAAATAATAAAAATACCCTACCAAGCTTGAGTAGGCCCCAAACCAGGTCCCACAGCTCGTCTATAGCTATCTCCTCTTTTACTGGAGTCGTCCACATATCAGGGCCCCTGAAGGCAAGCTGTGTTTTGAAATGGTTCTAGCCGACGAATTCTAGCACTGTCCTGGGCCTCTTCAACTCTGTGTGGTAGCAAGTGTCTCCAAGGCAGGCTGTGAATGCATGTATGAATTTGTTACTAATTTGTACAACCAAACCAAACCTTTCGAAGCCTGCCTCAGCACGAGGTCCTCTTTTTACTGCCTAGGTGTCAATGAGAATACTTTGCGGAAAGGTCGTCAGATTTAAGCTCTGTCCGCCCGCTTTCAAGCCCACTGGCGCTGCTACTGCAGGCCTTCAATTCAAGCGTCAGATATAATCTAAAGAGTTCATGTCACAATGTCCGACTCAATGCTTCAAAGAAAGGCCGACGCAAAAAGAGACACTCCACGACTGTAGCGTCATCGACGCTGGCTTGTGTGTGCGCTGCAACACCCCATTTAAGGCATTTTCAGGGATACACTAAACTTCCTACTCAATACAAAATTGATAGAAAGGCACTGAGCATTTTTGCAAAGACGCCTCCCATTTCCTGACCTCGCCTCCCGGAGTTCCGAAATGAAGGAAGCGGGACAGCTAGGGTGCGCGCAGCTGCAACCCCTAAGCACTTGGACTATTCACGAGAACTCTCACACGGTATCTATCGCACACGCAATTCACCACTACGTCGCCTTTTACGGAGCCCACAGCATTCGGCAATAGATAAGATATAGGCATAGGCAAGACTATCGTTGATATACTGACTAGTTCTTTTGGACGTGTATAGTAGGAAGCTTTGCGTGTAGCTTAGCTCTTTACATCTTGTTCTCCATAATAAAACACGTCCTCGAGTTCCACGTCTGAACTTCGGGACCAACTGCGTGCAGGACATGGCGCGAGCTCGAGCCGTTTCCGAACTCCTGGTCGAAACGCGAAAAATGGTGCAAAGAAGAAAAGCGATGTGTGCGATAGTTGGTGAAGAAGGTTTGATGGGCAGAAAAGCACGCACACTAGCCAAGCACGGTCGATAAACTAAACAAACAGGACTGTGGCGACGCGATCACTCACTTTGGTCGCGCGCTAACATCTATTCACCTTCTACTAGGAGAAAACCGAAAATAACTAATATGCTTAAACGGAATCAAAATGAACATTGGTACAGAAGTACCTAACTGCTTCAAACAGCAATATTGGCATGCACGTACAGCAGCCACACACAGCATTGTCAATTTCTAAGGCACATACGAGACAAAAGACAGAATGTTGGGGCAACATACGTGACACTGCCTACTCATAAATCTGAAATAGAGGACAACGCAACAAGGATAATCGGGACTTTAAAGCAATACCTCTAAAGGGAGTAGTTCTTTTAGGCAGAATCTGCGTCGGGGAAGTACATATACCATGACAATGAGAGGAATAGCGCCCTTGGCAACCATCGTTAAAGCCAGCCGAATTCTACCGCATAAAATGAAACCTTTATCTTCCCCTTCGGCAACCACTGAGGTTGGCATTCCCCGCCCCATTTCACTAGACACTTCCGTCTAGTATGCCATCAGTGCTCAAGAGTCGTGGAATCCAGAGTTTCAGCGCGTTCTGTGGATCCTCCTTTTCCATATTGGTTACTTGCCTGTCGGCAAAGTCGAGGAGAATTTCGAAGAGCTTTAAAACGTCTTCAGGAAGCGAACACAAATAATTTCAAAAGTGCTCAAGCTTTGCGAAAATTCCAGAGTGAGAAAGATCATTGATCCATGGGAGAATCTCGGAATAGCTCAGCCACCTGGCCGCGAAACCTTTTTGTCTGATCACCTTCTGATGGACTTTGTAGAATCTGCTAGTTCACCAGGACTAAATGTCCAAGCTCTTTACACACAGCCCACTTATACTTTAACCGCTTGCTCTCATAAGCTTCGCCTGTGCATTTGAACGTGCTATCCAAATATTCTATGAATCCCTTCGCTGATAGAAATGGCTGCTGACCCTGGGGCAATAGCTGAAGGCCCCCATTGAAGAAGAAATCCCCAGTGCGGACTTTGGAAGAGAAAGAGCAGCATCTAGCAGGATTAATTGCCTTATCATAAACCCACTCGGGGTAATAGAGAGATACGAACCAGTCAGCTGGATTTCTTAAAGCATTGAGTGGCATTTACTGCAGAAGGGTGCAATCGGTGCGCTCTATTTGGTCATATGCCTGAGGGTGGTTCGCATTAGACGCATTATGGCCATTACGAAGGTGGGTCAAGCAAGCTCCCCAGAACGCACTAAGAAACCTCAGATCGATATTCGCAATGATACATCTGAGGAATTATGATGCCTTAGTAAGTGAATTCGGAATAATTGGTCTCCTTTCTGGGCCGTGATAGAGCTAAAGCAATGAATGATATGAGCATATTTGCAGGATCTGTTGACAACGGCGTAGGTGCTATCGTAGCCCTTGACTATCAAAGTCCGAAAAATATATTCGTAGTAAGAGCAGTCCAAATCGTTTAAGAATATGGAAGGCTCTACCACTTCTGGGGCTCAAAGTAATTGCGCGGCCTTAGCTCTGAGAATCTGGGCATGATACTGCATGCATCTCTGCTGCGGGACGCAACCCAGACCACCAAAAGGAGCGTGAGCATCTTTTGCAGTGTACTGTGAATCCCATCGTGGTCTGCAGGAACATGATCGTGGAGTCTGCAAAAGCAACATTGCCGAGCAAAGTCGGCTTTTTCAAGCGAGCAAGTCCTCGCTTTTTTTGAACCAAGCTAGGCCATCCTCAATTAACCTTTTTCGCCCTTCTGGATTTTGGCAATGCTGGGTGATGTATTGATGCAAACGGCACAGAATGTACGCACATTTGGTGGAAGCTGTGATTAAGCACGGACATGGGCGGTCGCGCTGCACGATAATCAGTCTCTGGGGCGCTGTAAGCGCGCGTCCACGACCACGTCGCTGACGGTAGTAACGTACTTCACTCTCAAGGATCACTGCAGGAGGCGTTGTAAGCTTGTGAACAACCTAGGGTTATCAAAGTTATGAAAAGTCCTCGTAAGGTATGTTCAAGCCTGATGGCAGTCTAGAAAGAAGAATCGCGTCCATCAAAATAGCGCCAGCATGTCTTCACCTTTCATCAAACTGCATAGAGCCCTATTTCCCGTACTGGATGCCGCTGATGAGCTCCGGTGGAACGAGTAAAACAACAAGGAATAATATGGTTGAGGGGAAAATTGGTAGCCTTAAAGGGTAAAATAGCATCCACCCCTACATCACTAGCACTAGTCAGAGACGCTCATAATCGTGCAGCGCAATTTCTGGAGGAATTGTAAGGCAGCGGACAAACGTCCTTGCTACGTCATTATCTTCCTCTATACAAGACACAGAATGCATTTTGCCAGTAGATAAGGAACAGTATTACGAGCCAATTTAAGGTTGGAACTGCGGTACTCAGTATCTTTTCAGCCTCCTTGCACGTGCGATAAGGTACAGGTCGCACTTGGATTGCCTCAGTTTTTGCCTGACCAGGTTGAAGTGCTGTAGCGGAAAGATGAACTCCCAGAGGGCCACCTGTTCCCAAAAAAGAATAAACATTACTGTCCCTCCATACACCACTGTCTGTCCAAGCAACAGCTAAAATGCATGCCCTGGAAGCTCCAGATGCTCTTGAACGTTTAGGACGAATGCCGACATGTCGTTTAGGTAACGAGCCACCCATCCGTCCTCGATATACTCATTCAAATCCAGAGTAGCTTGCTGCTTTATATAAGCTTGGGCGTTGCCAATTGCGCAGAAAGGTGTTGACCCATTTGATGCTTTGTCAATACTAAGGCATAGCCTTCTACTCCGGTCCTGTAGTGTCCATGTTTGAATAATTACCCATGCCGCGTTTTTCAAATGAAGTTTGTTATGAAGCTGAATACAGGGATACTAAAAATTCTGGGTGTATGTGCGGTATTGTAAAGCGTTGCAAGAATAAATACTTAATTTATTGGTGGACTGAGGGGTGTTTCTGAGGACGTTTTTGATCCTTGAGGTCACAGAACTTTCTCATTTAAGCTCCCTGCTCAGCGATAGCCATAAGGGGGACGGCCAAAGGCTAGCTGAAGGCTCACAATTAAAGCCTGTCAACCACCAGCCTGTCTCAGATACTCAGGCCAATTCATCATGCTGCGGATGTTGAGGAGCATACCGCAACCCATTGCTAAGCTCCACTCCCGAAAGGCTTTTCGGTGAATGGCACCTTTGTAGTAGGCGATTGAGTCACGGCTACTTGCCGACCTAGGTGCAAGTATCAGGAGTGTGGCTGGGGTAACCTTGGTTTGCATGGCCTGCTTGTGACCTATGTAGTCCATGACGCTGCCCATTTGGATAAAGTGGGGGACCCACGCGAAAGGCAGATCGTTTAGGCAATTCCATGTCGCGAGGGCAGCTGTTTGATCGCTTTGCACTGGTGATGAAAGTATGAAGGGGTGGCGCAGGGAAAAAAAAACAGCCATGTACTCCATAAACGTGCTGGTGGAGCATTCATCCACGAGGCCTTGTAGGTATCTGGCCAAATTTTCCGAATTATCATGGAAACCGGGGGATATATGTTTCAAGCCAGACTAAGTGCAAATACATGTGCCTATGGGAATATCACTTTAGCATTGTCCGCGGAACATAGTGAGGGATACTTAGGGATATGTCTGTTTGCTGAACACGTCTTGTAGCTCTTCAAATAGTATGCACCCATCATTGTCTGCATCCGCTTGGCTCAGCAGCTCCTGTCCAATATTACCTGCTAGATTTGCTTCCTTCAGTGCCCTGCATATGTGCTTTAGGCATATTCGACCTGTGGAGTCAGAGTCCATCTGCCGAAAGGTTTTGAGAACCTCGTCGGGTGAAGAAAGGTCGGACGATGGAGTTACCAGCTCCATAAATTCTGGGAAGGTCACCACCTTACGCCCGCTACTATCGATGATACCCAGAATATCAGTCAATGCGCAGCCTCGTACATCAAACCCAGCAGCCTGAAGATATGCATGTTCGTAATGCTAATCTCCCAGTTTGAACGTGTGCTGGTCAAAAGCTGAGCAGATGCACTGCCTCCTCACCTCCAGACGCAAAAGGTAGATGTTCAGGCTATTTATTTAGCTATTGAGGGCGAAGATACAGATATGTATGTGTCTGCTTACTACAAGCCGGCTTTTGAACTCGTTCAGCGGTACTGATCCACTGCCGTCCCGATCGCAAGCTTCGAACAGCACCCGCATGGCAGCCACTTCGTCCGCTTTCATGAAGGGACCCTCATAAGCGGAAGTATCAAATTCTACTCCAGTCGATGGACACATCTGGGAGCTTGGTTGGCGCCGGCCTACCATCTTCACACACTGGTAGCGTGCCGCCAGCTGTGGGATGACACTTCCTCACCCAAATTGGCTAAAATGCGTTCCTATGGCCGCTCTTTCTTAGGCATATAATGTCGAAGAAAAGTTTTATGTGTGGTAATCTGGTTGCTTATGACGACCGAAAAGTAATGGAGCAACGAGGCAGAGCATCAGTTGTACAGAACATGAATTGATACAAGTGTGCTTTTCTACAGAAATCGGATGTAAAACTTGTACAGTACTAATACTACCTATTGATTTTATGCTTCACGCTATCAATGTGGCACTTCTCAAACTTAGCAGACTTTGGGGCTGCCCGCCAAGTTCATCCGCGTGCGCACAGAACCAACGGACCTGGTTTTGAAATGTCTGCTTTAACAATGGGAAAAATAAATCTGGTTATGCTGGGGATAGCTTTGATGGCATATTTGGAGAATTGTTTGAGGGTTGGCTCTACAAATAACTTCAGAGACTTCAGCCTTCTCAGTCCACTCGTTGATTGCAAGCAAATGGCGCTGGTTGTTATGAACTTAGTTCGACTGACCTTCATTTTCAAAGATCCCTCATGTATTTAGGAAGACCAAATAGTAGCCGTCTTGCTTCGTGCTACCAGATTTCATGATCGAGGTCCATTCTTTCTTTGTAAGACAACAAGCACCGATGTGCCCCCAGGGTGCTCTCCATTTCAACATCCATGATATAGTAATTCGAGCAAGGTTTGGCACTCTTGTAATAAACCAGTCATATATTTTTGTGAAAGAGAATTGACTCTAGGCGTGGTTGTTCTCGCACTGTATTCGTTGCAGAAACGACTTAGCTCGATACAAGAAGATGCTAGGTTGTTTGATTGCGTTTTTAGTTGCTGTATGCATCTGAGTGTGAATAATCGGATTGTCTAGAGAAAACAGCAACTCATGCCATACGTCATGACCTTAATCAGTGGTCAGCAACGTATATAAGGCCACGGCGTGAACGATCACACAAAGGTCACCCCACGAGTAGCCTTAACATCGATCCATGCCACACTGTCTAGTAAGAGAAAACAGTTCCTTGGCCGACATGAATCCGCTTCAGCGACACTCCTTAATATAGCTATGGTTAGTGATCTGAAACTGGGCCTAAAACCCTCACACGATGGGTTGTCGAACGCTCGACGGACGGCGGGTGCATTTTCCAGCCCACCGGTGAGAAAACATCCAGTCCCACCGTCCTAATCGTGTGTTCGTCGTCCAGAACTATGGATTCGTTTGAGGTCAATCCTTAAAGCGCTCGGCAAGCTAAAGTGCAGCCAGTTTTCTACCCTATATCTTTGGCTTGCAGGTCACCCCCTCTGGTTCCTACACGAGAAAAGTCTGAAACCTAGGGACTCTCGTAGATCCTTGTTTCTCTTCATGAAAAAAAAGAGTGAAGCACATACTGTGTCACTTTAGCGCATGACTTACGAATTCTTCAAAGCGTAAAACCCATGAGACTGCCTACGGTGTGCGAGATCCGAAAGCGGGCTGTTGCTTGATTAACGTGAGGAGGTTGCAGAGTGGTTTTCTCGACGAAGCCTCAAACATCCAGGCTCCCAGGCATTGATTTTAGCAACGCCTAGTACATTAGGCTGCCAATGCTGAATAACGTGTGTGTCATTATTCCAAGCGATAAATGAAAGTTAAATCTCCCAGTACTTTCAACAGCGACGCACATCGCAATCAGCACTCCTAACGATAAAACAACTTGTACTCTACTAATAATATCAATCCTTAGCTTACTCCTGTGATTTAGAGTGGTGGATCATGGAGTCCAATATCCCAAAGCCTCAGGGATTCTCTTTCTGCAGTAGTAAAAGAAAGCAAGAAGAGATCAGAGCACGGCGAACTGCAGAGTTGGCAGTTCAGGCCGCGATTGTAGTGGACTATTGACTGCAGTCAGACTTTGCGTGCTTCCATGAAGTACGGCTATGAGCATTTCTTAATATAAGCAGCTTGGGAGAGTTTGCTTTGCTAAAAGCGGTGCTTGGGAGCCTGAATACCAGGGGCTTTTGCAGGTAACACTCCTCGCAATCATCGCACGGATGTAAATTGTTCGGCTGCCGGCGGGACTTTTACTCTTAAGTGAGATGTAACGCTTCCTCAGAAGTCACCTGCCGGAGTAGACATGTAGTCCAAAACCAATACGAAAACAACGGATTTCTCGCCCAACTTGGTGCGTGTCCAAGGGTGGGCCGAGAGGGTGGGTCGAGAGGGTGGGAGGGAGAACGCGTGTAGTTTGAGAAAGAGCTTTATAATATGATGGCAAGCTTCACGTGGCTGCCCTCGAGGCAGTAATGAAATTCGTGATTATTCTTAGAATACATGCACACGGGAGTCTTGACGTGTCAAGCCCCATAACAGGCGGTGCTAACTCGAGCACATGTGCTGCCGCTGTTGTTGTTTCTGCAGAACTTGCGCTTGATCTACTGGCAGTTGCCTGTCAAGGTGAAGTAACGACACGTACCACTGCACACTGCCCGGCTTGCTTATGTAGCATATGCTGTATCTGCTTTTAGGAGGCACATACTGAGCGTGCTGCGAGCAGGGTCGTCAGTGCTTTGTCTTGAAATTCCAAAGAAGAAAGTAAACAGGCAGGCGCAAAGAAGCAGAAGAGGATGAAATTGGCAGCCCAATGGAAATTGACAGACCAAAATAGAGGAGCATGGTTTCGTCCCATGAACCTGTATTCCCTTAGCTAAGCTTGCGAAGCTGTATACCATTGTTCTGTCCCACCTTGCGTCGCTTTACACCCTTCCTGCGCCTTGGTTTCCTCCCTACATTATAGTTCATAATATAGCCACTTTTGCAAGCGGGAATTTATCTTAATTTTCTTCGTCCTGCATTACTGCACCCTCCAAAGCATTCTGATCATGTACGTGGCATTGAGTTTTTCATTGTAATCAGCCAAAGCTGCTCTGCAACACATAAAGAATGTGATCAGCCAATAAAACTCAGTTCTTTGCGGATTTTCAATCAAAACAGGAAGTGTGATATAAAGTGCCCAGGTGTAGCTTATTTTCGCTGCACAGAGCCCGTCATCGATGAGGAAAAATAGGATTGATGTTAACTCTGCATAAATACTACCCTGCTCTACACCACTGACTTGTTTCTGGTAGCAAAGGTTCGTTCCAAAGGCGTTGGGGTCTGACTGGCAGGCGTGCCGAGTCCACTTTTGCGAGAGTGGGGGTGGGGGGACTAACTTCGATTTCTTTTGGATGCAATTGCAAGGGCAATCACGCTGCTCCCCCCCAAAAGGAAAGGTGAAAATAGATACTTGCATGGCACGGAGTTTTGCAAGGGGTCTACGGGTGGTTTTCCGGGTTCGGGATTCTCACGCGCACCCCGCCACGCATTAAAGACTCTAGCTACCCCATCGTGTTGTGGAGCCTCGGGATAGCTATTCCAAGTAAGGGCTATCGCTGGGAGCTTGAAAATGTGCAGAACGCAACTAGATATTGCATGTAAGCTACACTCCGCATACCTTTGGCTTTTCGTGGGACAAAGTCCAGTCTGGGAGAGCCTTTGAATGACAGCTCAAGCCCTAAATGCCACTTGATCCAGTAAGTATTAGGCGGGTTTCTTGCAAAATTCAACAGGTGAAATTGCGTCGAACGTGCTTGGAGTAGCAACCAGGGCATTTGTAGTTCAACAGTGTGTGCCTGATGCGTGTGCGAGTGTGACTGCTTATTTTTCAGAATCCAGAAGCTGCCTATCAACAATTAAGTGTAACTACGATTCCGGGGCTATTTTTATTGAGTGCAATATGCATATTTCTTCTTGCATTGTTGATTACTGCTTAGATTTAGGCATATGAAGCGTTGGAGGTGTTCACAGCGCACATGCCATCCAAGCTAGTGGGCGAGTGCAATGCAACCAGACTGGAGATTGCCAACTGATAGGGAGCTGCCTAGGGAGCTTGCTCGCTGATGCCCTCATTATCCCAGTAATATTTTTACATTAGGGAGATCGCAGTCTGCGTACTTTTGCCGATTGTCAAGGAGTATGCAATACTAAAAATTCCTCTGCCTAGTCGTGCCTTGCCTACACAGTGACGACTTTCTCGTATGCTTTCCGCCTGTTAGTGCTTGCTTCTGCGGGGCGTGCTCACAGGAGGCAAAGGGGAGATAAAGCCTTTCCGGGTGCTCGTATTGAAAATCGCGAAAAGCTACTTTTTGCTAGGTTTTTATGGACAATAATACGCAAAAGATGGCACCATGGGACAGCCCATCGGAGGCGAAGTTCGGTGAACTTCAATTTTTGGAGGTTTCCCCTAGTTTGAGCGCATACCAGGAAAATTTTAGAACACATGCGCCCCGCCTAACGGCGGGGCAGTGGTACGATTCATGTTTATTGGAGGTGGTAGCCGGCATTGCTGCATACTATCATGCTGTGTAATTATTCTCGTTATGCGTCCTTCGTAACAGTGTCAGAAAAACATGCTGCTGTGTGTTGACCTAGCTCCGCAAAGGTCCCTACATCATCGTCAAATCACATCAACTTTTTCTAATACGCCATCAAGTCAAAAGCAATAAACCTGAAGAAGCCGCCAAACCGGGAACATGCATGAGGGCAGCTGCACAGGCCTCAATAAAGACGCGTCTTTAACTGGGCTCTGCCTGGCATGCAATCGCCTCTCCAACTCTATTGCAGGATCAAACAACTACTATACAAGTCACATTACACAAGGAAGACTCCATCAGCAAAATATGTGGAATTATAGTACACCATGCCCTGGAATACTGACAAGGAAGCCTTTCGTGCACTGGCTCCAGAACGCAGCGCTAGGAAAAATCCAGTGAAACCGCACTACATTCTTCGAAGGCAAGCGCCGAAGTGTTGTGCTACCTCACAATAGAGTCACTTGAATGCCTACCTCCTGTTCAGCGCCGCACCATCCGCTTCGGAGTCATTGACTCTGGTAGGTCTTCCACGTGAAGAGGGCCATTAGAATGATGTTCAAGTAGAGGAGCACTTGGATGACAGCAAATTAAACTTGACAAACGAGTGCAGAGATTCGCTACTTCCGCCAGCATCTGTGGTTCCGACAAAAGGTCCACGGCCTCTTGAATTACCCGCGAGGGACCCCTTCGAGAGCTTTTCACACGTATTGTCTTGCAGAGAGTTCCATCTATTTTATTTTGGGATCGGGCTCCGGAATATCTGACTGCATGACTTATTGCGTGAAATGGCTTCGGAGAAACACCAGCAACCGCCACAGCGTTAGACTTCCCACCAATTCGTCCTCGAACACTCTGAGGCTTCACACGGGCTTGTTTCAGTACACTGCCAGCTCTCTGCTTAGACATCCCTGATACGGCTGTATCTTTGTAGCTCTGTGTTGGCACGCCATTCAACGAACGGAGTGCAGGTCGGCCTTGCATGTGCGCCGCTGATCCTTCGACTGAGGATTCGAATGGAACACCAGCTGATCCAGACAGCTCACATGTATTATCCCTGCCATCAGAGAGGCTCCCCTGATGAGGATGTAGAATGACTCCTGAAATGTGCTTGTCACGGGCAAATGCTGGTCCTTCAGGAGCAACGGGGGCCTGCTGCTCTTGGATTAGTCCAATTCTAAAGTGTTTCTCTTCAGCTGAGGCCTTCTGGCCCGTTGGTTCTGCAGGAATAAATCCGGCCTTAATCTTGAGTACCTTCTTGGGCTTCACCTTCGTTGCAGGTGCTGTGGATTGATGAGAAGGGTGCTGTGTCAAAGCAGTGGCCATACTACTGCTCCTCCGAGGACGCGAAGGCTCTGCTGGTGGGCTACGGGAGCTTGAATAGTATCTCGGCGATGCAGGCAGTGATCCCGAATTCTTCAACTTTTTCGGCACAGAAACAATACGGCTTTTACCGGTTATCTTTGTCAAGTGCTGCCCTTTAATGGGTGAGGGCGCACTCGTCTCCCCTAGAACGTGTAGTCCTGGGCACTTCTCATCCTTGTGATCGGGTGCCTGCTCATCGCAACTGCTGTCAAAGGAAATGGAAGAGGATGGCTTGATCACAACAGCGTGAAGAGCAGGCGTTCTAGGGCTGGAGTACAGAGATACGCTCAGGCTTGACCTTTGCGAATTTTCCTCGTCTTTCTGCTCATGCTGCTTATATTCTTCTGTGCCTTCTGTGATTGTCTCTAATTTTTCATCCATAGCATCATGCTCTTGCAAGGAGCTCCTGGGCCCCTTGTCCTCTGGCTTTCGCGTTCTGCCAAGGGATGATCGACCACTGGTGTCTCCAGAAGTCCTACTTTCAGATCGGGATGAGCTCAAATGAGAATGCGCGTCCTGATTGGAGCTCGATGTCTGTATCTGATCTGCCACATGTGGCATCCTCAACGCCAAGAAAGCATTGTAGCTGAGGACCATTTCATAACTTCCCGCTAGCCATATCGCCAGCGATCTAAGCTCGTTGCAGCGCCCTGTCGACCGCAGGTACCGCAAATATTTTTCGGAAGGCAGCAAAGGCATTTTGCACAAACTTTCACGAACGTGCTGTATGGCCGTTGACTCAAAAAGGTCGAGCTCAGGTGGCCCGGTCATGCTACTAAGGCAGAAAGGAAACCTACAGCCTGGTAGAATCTCGGCGGGTTTTGTTTTGGCGCAGATATTACCAGTGGACCAACACATCTTGGATGACTCCCTGACTGGCAAGGAGCTCCGACACCGCCTTTGGGCAAGTGAACGGTCTCCGTAGCCAAGGAAACTGCCCTCCTTCCAGGATAGTTTTTCCTGATGGTCTACATGGTTTTCACCGGTACAACCTCTCTCCAGGCTCCGTTCACTGGAACAGCGTGTTCCAGAGCAACAGGTACTCGAAGACTCATCTCCAGCGCCTACCGTGAAGCGTGTGATCTTCGGAATCACCAATGGCTTTTGTCGCATCCGCAGGTACTTTAAAGCCACTTCCAGCAAGTAATCCATATAATTGTCAAGGGGCGTAGGAGTCTTCGGACCTCGCGAACCTGAATCTCGCAGGAAAGCGCCATCCTATGCAGAGTTAGGATGCGAACTTTAGACAAGGAAGATAGAAAAACTAAAAGCAGTCATACACAGACATACAGTAAAAAGGAGTATACAGAGGCAAATAGTCACAGCTTATAGGCAAGATCGTTGACAAGGTTTTGCGATGTGCTATGCCACAGGTCAGCACCAGCATACTAGGAGGCACAGAAACAGCATGTTACCACCAAGGAGCTTGCTCGAAGGGCCTTCTGCTTGCAACAAGCGACGTAGCTTCTGCTCGTCCGTTTCAAACAAGCCTTCTTCTCGTAAGAAGTTACGCAGGTCGTCAAGCGTTATGGGCCTTGAGGGTACTTCGGGGTCCAGGAGATTTCGGTGGGTTTGAAGGCCAACAAAAAGAGGAGGTATAACATGCCACCAAGGAAGGTCCTCCTTTACTGCTATGCTATTGCTTTCCAGAGCATCTGCTGCCTTGTCCATCCAGCGCGCAATTAGCATCATTGTATCTGGACCATCACTGCACAGGGAGGAGACTGCACGGTGTGTTGCTTTATCTCTTGCTTCTTCTGTCAGGCCTTCAGAACGTTCCATCACGTGAAGAAATGTTATAGAGTCCTGAGCGTCCAGCACAGAAGATTACACGGTTTGGATGCAGACCATTTATTAAGTGAGCATGGCAGCCACGACAGCGTTGGCTACATGCTGAGGACTACTCTGCGTCTGTGGACACGCTTGACGTCCATGCTTGAATAGCTCACGTCTATTTGTGGTGGCGGCTCAGGGCTGGGCTTGAGAGGCAGAGTTTCCAACTCTGGGAAGTGTCTGAGAGGTTTGTCCAACATAGGAAGCTCGGCAATCCGAAGGTAAGGGTAAGCAGACTCCGGAGGAGGCATTTCTTCCTGTGGAGCTTCATCTGCCTCCTCACTTTTCTCAGAACTTTCTTTTGCTTCCGGCTGCTGTTTTTCATTCTTCGCGGCTCTGCTGCTCTGGGTCCGCTGTTTTTCAGGGGATGCCTTGACAGATTTGCGCCTCGCCCTGGGGCCTTTGGCAGTCACTTGACCTGGCGCTAACATAGCACTGTTTGCGCGCGCTCGCGGCGGAGTTCCAGGGGCGAACTTTGGCTGTAAGGCCTTTCGCGAAGAAGAGCCAAGCAGCCGGCGGCCTGTTGAAGCGGCGCTGTGAGGTGCGTCCCGTGGGGAAGCTCTGGGAGATTTCACGGGACTTTTCTGATCCCTTTCTGTGGTAGCTTTTCCCAAGGCTGGAGGCCTTTCGGGCCTAGTCTTTTTTGAAGTAGGGCTGAGTGGAAGGACGCCCCGTGGAGATGCAACTTGAATGGAAGCCGTTCTGGCCTCCCTTCCCCTCTGTTTCAGTCGGGGCACAGGAGAGCTCCCATGGCTTACAGACTCTTTGTCTGACTCAGCATCGCCCGCATCGACCGTGCGACCGATCTTTGCTGACACCGAAGCTAACCTCCCTCTCGACGCCTCGGCCACGGTCAGGTACCTCTCCCGTTTGGGGGGCGAAGACAGAAGACCTTCGTGACTGTGCACTGATCTGCGAGTAAATCGCTCCTTCTCAGAAATAGGCCTTGTCGGCGTTGGGGTAGCAGAGGCACGCCTCCTCGGTGTTACAGGGCTGCGCTCTACTAGCATTTGACTTCCACGATGGGGACTCGTGGACGCCACTGAAGCAGTTGCGGACTCTGCCTCGGGCTCTGCATGCTGCCGGGGTCCAGTGCTTATTACGCTTCCTCTTCCTTGAGTCTCGTGCAGGTCAGATGCATCTGAACGACCAGACTCTTTTGATTCTGAATAACTATGATGAGAAGCTGGCGGTGACGTCCCAAGAGCTTGAATGGAAGCGAAGCGTACACCAGGCAGCGAAGGAGGTACAGCACATCTAACAGTGCCACCTTGTAAATCTACTCTCTGCGCCTTCTCATCTTCTCCGAGGCCAAGAAGCCTGCACCCACGTGAAGCTGTGGCCTCCAAAGCAAGGCTGCAATCTGTGTCTCCCGACCTTGCTGATGAGAACGGCTCGGGTACTAGCGCGTCGGCGTAATCCGCTGAAAACCCTGAGCCCTCAGAAGAAGTTGTAAGCTGTCTTTGCTTCTCAGTGGACCTGTTTATGGAGACCACCTTTGTCCGCGTCCCCTGTGGCCTCTTGTGTTCTAAAGCTCCTTGGGGGAGTCGAGAAGCCACGTGCATATACCGCCCTGTGCTCGCCGAACGCGTAGTTCGAGGCTTTTCATACCGCTTCGTAGATCCCTCCAGTTGTGCAGTTCCATTATAATTTTTAGCACTAGATGACACGGCAGCCAAACGGTCGCCTGTAGGGAAGGCTGATCGAGTCGGTTCCAGAGGGTTACGAAGTGTAGAGGCAGGCCTACCATACACCAGCCCCCCTGTAGCCGCCGGAAGCCTGGTTGGCTTCCACCCAGCAGGCAGTCGGTCAGTACCCTGGTTCACAGCTGTAGGATGCACTGGCCCAGGGCTTGCTAGAGGACGTCTTGGAAGAGATGAACGCTGCTCGCCAACCGAAGCGTTTGATATAGTTACCTCCTTATGACCCGTAGCAGACGCGGGGGCTCTTCGACGAGCGGACTTCGAGCGAGGCTCAACACAAGCCACACTTGATATTCTGGTAGTGGCGCTGTTCCCACCACTCTCACAGCAGAGGGCTGGTGGTGCGCCACCTTGAGTAGGTTGTGCAGCATTAGCGATTTCTTCCTTTTCAGCCAACTGGCCTATTACATCTTTGAGGGGGATCAAGGGCCTGATTGCGTGCAGTAGCTTTTGAAGTATGTCTGGATGTTGTAGAAGCGTTTCGGATGAAGGCCCTTCCTCTTCATTCCCTCCCTGCTCTATCTGGTCAACAAGGTGTTGCAAAATTTCCCATGTGCGCCGTTTTCGGAGATGGGGAATTTCAGAACTTGTTGCGTCCAGCAGGGTGCGGGATTTAGGGTTTTCTTCTGAGATTGTAGAGCTGCTAGACTGTACATAAGTTGACATCCGAGGTGCTTTGCCCTTGATTGAGCGGCCGTCAGACCTGAAATCCTTGTCGAAGCGATTCTTGTTGCTCACCATCGCCTGCTGCCCATGCATTAAGCGCCTCTGTGCACGGATATCGACACTGCGTGCCTGCATTCGGTTGATGGAAGATATTTGTGCATATCTCCGAGGAGGGCCTACAGATGATGGCCGGATTCCATTGTCTCTTTTCCCTAACACGGTGTCTCTGGGGACAGCTGAAAAGGTTGCATGGGTCAGGTCACTAACAGGGGGTTCAGGTATTCGGTCGTTCCAGCCGGGCCGCCACGACATACTACGCCGACTTATTTCATCTCCGTTTAATATATCCGTCGACGTCCCTGTTTTAGGATGCCGTGCACCATTATGTTCCCTCCTTTTCAGCCTATCTTGGGTGACTGTGGTCTGAGCATGGCCCGCCAAAGGACGCGCAGAGGCCACGGGCGCCATCGGGTTAAACGCACCACGGGTGGAGGTAAAGCCAGGGACGAAAGGACTCATACGGAGGCGCCGTTCCATTACTGTGAAGTTCGGTAGGCTCCAGAAGCAAAGATGGTAGTAAACACCCCAAGAACACTTAACACGTATGTCAGGTCCAGTGCAGATGCATATCCGCCATGGGGAGATGAGCCTTCCTTCTGTAGTGGCAACTTCGGGCAGATGGCAGAAAGCTGAGGGGGAGTTTTGTCTGAATTGCCTGCGTGGAGGGTTGAGCCCCACGAGATCATATGGGCCCTATGTTTACAGCATGCCGGAGTCGACGCAAGATGCTGAATAGCCACTGGTTCGTCCGTGAGACCACTCAAACTAGCAGTTTCGTGCAGCTCTCATTTTACGGGAGGATAATGCAAAGAGGTGAAAATTTTCCGACTTGGACTGCCGTGGTGGCACTGTGCGCTGGCAGGTTTCGATGCCACCCGGCGGCGACATTGCAACGACTAGCACCGAAGATCTAGCCGCTTGAAATATAATTTGGTTTCCCTTAAATGTTTTTACGAGATATAGGTGAACCTCAAAGGCCAAAGGCTCGTAATTGGGGATGGCTGTTGGGAGCAGAAGACCCGTGCTAGCTGAGTCTTCTGCCGCACAGGGACCACCGTTGGCGCTCCAGTATTCTGAGGTAACTGTTGAAGCGCTCCCAGAATGAGTCGGAGATTTCCACCTGCAGGAAAACTACGTATGCAGCAAGTGATTTTCAAATAAATGGACCACTAGCTCTTTTAGGCCCGCCTCGCGACCCGGGCACAGTCTCGATTCGCCCTCGCCTGGTCATGAGAGCGTCCACAGATTCGCTTCCTCCCATAAAATATGCCACTTCGCACGGAGTTTGCTCTAAATGCTAGCTTATGTACATGCGATGGCAGCATAACTTGGATGTGTTACTAGAAAACCCGAGTCGCTCCACAGTAATGCGATTTCCACAGCCACCTACTGGCTGGCACATTGAAAAGGGCAAGGCGACTCCTTGAGAAACATGACGCGGTATACGTCATACCTTTCTGTGATTAACATATTTCGTTTAGAGACCTAAGATTATATAAGTGGGACCTCCACAACAGGCTGTTGCAGGTCAATCCCGGTGTCGCACCGTCACGAAAGTTCGTAGTAATCATAGTATGGTTTTTTGGTTGTACCAAATTAGTACCTTAGCTTCTGCTAAGACGATACATTTCCTAAAGTCTCGCGCTGAGGGCGGCCTTTTAAGTACCATTACTTTTCTTTCGTTGCCACGAACCACCTTTGCATACGACTTTCGAAATCAGCTTGTTTGCCCAACTTAGGATAAGGTCCAACATTCACCATTGACGAACAGCACATAATCAGCCAGCAAACGGATTTGCTGTGATGACCTGCTTTTAGTTCGGTGTTATGGTGTGGGCCAATTGGCACAAAAGTCACGCAATGGCAATACTTGAGATCTGGACCAGTGTCAGTCAGGGTGCTTCACAGCACTACTGAAAAGAAGAAAATAAATTTGTAGTCATTCAGATCGTAATAAAAGCAGGATCCCTTGAATTTACCACCCACACCTCATTATGTGTCCGATATCGTGGATTCGACCCTGTAGCACAAACAATCAATATAGGATACAACCGATGCATCCAATGGGTGAAGCTTAAGGCATTGGATTTTTATCCTTCGTGAAGTATGCACCCCTTTAGGAAAAGTTAGAGATGAGGCACCACATTTTTGTGTAAGCACGTGTAGAGTTATACCTTGAGGCATCCCTTCGAATCAGCGTAAAGTCGGAAGGGCCTATCCAAACGAGGCTCAGGATCAAACCATAGCATTCTGAGAAAGTGCCGCCACCCAAAATTCGCAGGTATAGGAGCATTAAAACGAAAGCATTGCCACTTGCGACGCTCTATCCGTGGAATTTTGGCATATACTAAAAGAAGATTTTATCGAAAGAACCGTCACATAAGGCTCATGATGAATGCAGAATTCGGAGCAGCATATTCTCACCTCTCTAGATCCAGAAGCTGCTGTTGTGTCAGTTGAGAAATGAAAGCCCGACTTCTTCCGCGGGCTCGGCCAGTTCTCATGCTTCCAGAGGGCATGGCAAATGGCACAGTGCTGGCAGCTCCTCTATAAGACATAAGGAACTGTCTTGGCGGATTAGGGAAAACAAAGCTGTTGAAGGCAGTGGCGGAAAGCCCGCATGTACTCTCAGAGAACTTGCCTACATAGTAGAAAGACACATACATCTGTATGTTCGAGAAAGACCGGAACAAAAAAAAATCCTATGTCCCCAAGTCTACCACTAATAGTGTCCATTTTCTCGTGGTGTAGGTGCTACAGTGAAGGAATTTGTACTCACAAGCACCAGGAGGCAGCTCGAATGAGTCCGTTCTGATTATGCATGGCTCGCCTGGCAACCACTCGCGGTCCCTTAGGGGGCGCACGTATTGGTTGTGCAGCGCAAAAATAGCCCAATCGTCACTCGTTGTATACGCGCAGCGTTCCTGCAGGAGTACACGCAAACAAACCGTGCAGATACACTTTAAGCCCCGGAAAGCCTGTCAGCGCAGGTTACTCTGGTTTTAGAAGACGAAAACAAGCCTTTTCCCATTCACGATAAGTACTCGCCACGTACACGAGCAGTTCGACAGCAAATGGGATAATGGGCTGAGCGAGGTATCCGCTTCTTCCATAGCGCCCCTGCAATGGCATCATTGGCTCCCTGTGACTCCTGCGCATCGTCAACTTCCTGCCACTCTGGTGAGTCTTCCAGCTGCTCGTAGGCCTCCTGATTTTCGTCATTCAGGGAATGCAAGGCCTGGCGCAAGGCTGCCGCTCCGGGCGAATCGGTTTTTCCTCTGTCGAGGATATTTGAGGAGCGTACGTCGTGGAGCCTCTCGGGTCTGCTCGTCTTCCATGAGCGCGAAACGCCGCCGTCAACAGGTTTCTCCGATCCACTAGAAGGTCCATCATGTCTTGAGGCAGAAGGGAAAGCACGATGTGCTACACTTGGGGTCGGTGGTGAGTACGACCAGTATTCCACTTCGCTTCCCAGAGACTTCTGCGCACCGCCTGCGGCCTGCACACTGGAGAACGAAAAGCCATCAGCCCCTTTTTGTCGCGAATTATCACTGTGGTTTCCCTTGTGGCTGGACAGTGGCCGATGTGCCTGCGCCGGCCCTCTTGTAGACACCGAAGAAGACTTCCTCAGTCCTGAAGAGATACTAGCCTGTGATTCCTGTTTTTGTAGCGCTGACCGTAATGGTAGATCCTTACTGGGCTTCGTCAGTGCTGCTGATGACGTGAAGTTCACCCTACGGGAAGCGTTAGTGACTAGAGCAGAGGATGCAGAGGATGCGCTCCCCCCGGGAGGCAAAATGATTCCAAGCTTGTCCATGATTGCTGCTGTGGGAATCAATAGGTTCACCCGACTAGGCTAGGCCGTGCCTCTTACAGACTCGAACAAGCAGAGAATGAGTACAGATCAGTGCTTTCAAAGGCTGTTCTCGTGTGTGTGGCCTCCCCTGACTAACTTTAGGGGCTGGATCTTAAATAAGAAGAAGAAAAGTAGAATTCGTTGGCGAATGCGCACTTCCATCACCCCTTGGCACGGTTGGCACTCGAGACCGCAGCGATATCTGTATGTCCCGGTGTCCGTCCCCAGCCTCCGTTAATCTGGAACCTTCTTAGGTCAGAAGGCAAAGATTTCAAACTGAATAAGCGTAGAGCATCCAAACGGAGGAGGTGATGAGTTGCATACTCTCTTACTGAGCGACCGCCGAGGCGTTTCGCCCGGGAGCCTCCGTGACAGGCGACGAGAAGTTGCACACTTCAAACTGCCAGCCTAGAGGGAAACATCCACTTCTGGCAAAAACAATTGAGTGTCATGTCATGCATAGCTTTGGGGGATCAATCGAGAAATGCGGAAGAGCCCACCTTCCCATCTTCAACCCGACCTTCAACGTCGCTGGCTACCGCTACTGCGCTTAAAGCTCACTATTAGTCCAAGCGTTCCCTTGAATATCCCTGTCATAATCAAAGCCTCTTTAAGATGCGAATCTGTTGCAATTCAAAATATCGGGAAAATTCCGCGTTGTATTCCACTTCGCACAGCACTATCAGACTCCAGATGCCGGCAGCGTAAATCGCCTGGGCCGCAGCTGCACCTTGCATTAAAAGACAAGAAGGTTGAAACATGCATCTCCTGATTTTCTTTGAAGCTGCATCAGTTGGCACAGCTGGCTAAAAGGGGAAAGAACAGGGCTCACCGATCCTTGAGCGCAATGGTAAGTGCCCGTGGCCATGGTTTGTTCGGTACCTTTGGGCTTCCACAATAGCCTTCTCATGCATTTGCCCTCTATATGTCTTCTTCAGCGATATGTAATGGATATTGCTTGTGATGCTGAATTAACGGTGTACATCATTAGAACCCTTGAGGATTGCCCAGCACTGTATGTCAACACTTTTACGGTGGGCGGCCATACATGGTGGTAAGCATGCTTGGTCATTCCACTAGCTGAAGTAAATCTTTAAATTTTAATGACGTGCGCTCCGTCTGAATTGAATGGAGCCATCTCAGGGTGGCAAGTGTCGTCTTACTGAGGCCACTACTGCACGAGACCGAATCATTCTGCTCTAAGACTTCAGTGCGCTTTAAAAATCTAATTGCTTACAGATGGTACACTCGATATCGAATACCCCATGTGCCATTGCGTTTCTTCGTGGGCCACAAGTTCTATATCAGCTTGAACACCCTTTGCTACACCTTGGTAGAGCGCGTACCTGCGATATCAACATTCGAAGCGGCAGTATTTCTCGCTTTCATGCCGCACTCGACTTAACGGGCTTGCAAAACATAGGCACTTGTAAGCATCTGGGCCCCAAAGTGCGCGTACTCATTTAAAGGGTTCAATCCGTTGGCAAACCCTACATTATCCGCGCGCTGCTAAAATCAGAGTAACCCAACATTACTAAACTAAGAGGATCCACGCAATAGGTACATGTCTGTGTAGACTTTGGCTCCTGAATTGTTACCTCTTGTGTGCGTGGAAGGCGATGCTCGTGCTCCTAAAGTTTATCAGCGGGAGGGCAGCTTCTTTGGAAGGGCATTCGTTAAGGACTTGGCGTCCTTAAACGGTAATGGCACCCATCAAATTATAAATTAAATAACACGGTACTCTGAGTGTCTCGTCTTCACAGTACAGACACCGGGGAAGACTAAAGATGATGATGAATATGCGCTGCTCTGAATGACTGCCTTCTGCGCCGGGGCTGGCCATAGGGACATGGCTAAACAAACGCCGGCTGGAGCCGCACGTTTGGTACCCACTGGAAAACGGAGATGCAATTACTTTCTCTTCATCCGGTACGCAGCTACTGCAGCTGCACCCACATGTACTGATCTTGACCGATGCACGCACACCTGCTGCCCGACCAAAATGCTTCACAAGCAGTAGCGATGAGATACTTTACATCTGGTCTGGCATTCTCCTCCAAATAAGTGCTTGTCTTTGCAATCGTGAACTAACAACCTGTGCACAAAGGAACGAGCAAGCACACACTGGTTTGGTTTATCGCTCACAGTCCCTTTAAACAGGACTGCTCATATTAGCATCGGTTTTGTTGCATTTAGAGGAGGGGTATCTAGTATTTGAGATTCCCGAAGGTCAAGGCCACTCGCGTACTACAGAACTAAAGGTGAGCTCTTGGGAATAATTTTAAACACTTTTTGTCTGTCTCACAAAAGTTGCTGTACATAAGGAAGGCGAGAGCATCATATGCATACGCTTTCGGCCAAGGTATGTCACTGACAGACCGAGGAAGAATGCGGCACAGCCCATCAAAACTGCAAATCACTGATCGTTCCAGGACGTGAACGAGAATTGTCACAAAACATCGGTCAAGATAAGGACAATCCAAGAGAATGCATTTCGCCTCGAACCTCTAGGTGCCCGACGCAGCATGTTTCCCCCCCCCCTGCTTCCAGCAGGAAAGCGCGCAAAACCCCCAACAAAGTCGCTTTTTCTTCAAAAAGCATTCCCATAAAGACTGCAGCTATTAAAGAGGGTCACGCGATCCGGGAAGAGACAACTGATCCAAACGGAACGCGTGCTACGTGTCCAAATGTTGCCAGCAACCGGGAGTTTGAGTCTACAGAGAGCAACATTAAGGCACAGGCTTGCCCGCGCTTACCCGCACCTATTTTCTCTTCCCTTAGTCCTGGGGGGCCACGCACGAATGAACGTGTGCTTCGTGGAGCTTCGCAAGCTAGCGGCAAACAGCTCCAACGAGCCAAGGAAACCGAGGAGGTGTCTTCTGAGAAAAGATTCGCTGTTAGCACGAAATGTACTGGGGACTTGTCATGTTGTTTCAGCAGCTTCGGCAACGAGGGCGGCGACGACCAACCCCTAAACACCGCGGGGATTCGCAACGTAGCCTCTTACCATCAACAGTACCGGTGCACAGGTGTCGCTTTGCCGGAGGACACTCTTCCTAATTTTAAAACGAGTATGGATGCTTTGAGCAGGTTCCGCACAGATGCTCATGAGATCCCTTTCGCTCGCTGTCCACATACGAAAGCTGCATTACTTGGTTCACCAAAACATAAGCACACCGCAGATCCCCATGTACAAAAGACCTCCCGCGAGACGCAGCATACTCCTGCATTAGGAATAAGCTGTTCTTCATGCGGATGCACGCCAAGCTTGCTTGGTCACGGCTCTTGCCATTCCTGCAACGGTGAAAAGCTGCATATACCTCCTCACGTGTCGAACTCTAGGGCCTCTTGCAGGGCTTGCCATGTTCCGAAAGTCTCTCAGCCACACAGCAGGGACAGAATCGAGAGTCGAGGCCTGGCGAACCAGTGCACAAGGCTTGCTTGTAGGGGCACCTTCAATTGCTCCTGTGCAAATATTCACTGGGCACGACGAGCTTTGCCGAGTTTTGGCGCCTCCACTATTGCCCCTGTAGGGCTGCAACAGCAGCCTTCCCAAAACGAAGGATGCATCACTTTCGATGCGGTGAAATCAGCTCCAACAAACCTCGAGTCACGCTCCTTGCCAATATATACCTTCGACTGCAGCAGTCATTGTACATACAGTTGCAGTCCGCGAAGGAATGCGTCTGGATATTTTCCGGAGCTTATTTCGCTCCCCGATTCAGATCCCACTGTGCCCATTGCTACACGTAGCCTTCATTCCTACTTTCCATCTCCATTTGTAGCTTGCCCCTCTGCAGCCCACTATAGTAAAAGTAGACAGGTAGCAGCCCGTGGGCCTTTGCTCCAACCTATATTGCAACGAGCAGGGAAACCAGCTGGCCTTCCTGGCTGGAGTCCGCAACCAGTGGCCCGTCAGGCTGCTTCCAGGATCTTCTTGGGGGGGTTATATGCAGAATCCCACTCGAGATATCAACGTGAAGCGGAGAAAGCCAGCCCCTATGTACGTCCAGAGCAGACACAAGAACAACTGTCTGCTGTGCTTACCAGAAGCCTTAGAAGAGGGCCAGCAGCTTTCAGCACCGTCAGACTGGCGGACGAGATAAGCTTGGTAAGGAACCTTTGAAATCCCCCCAGTGCCTGCTATAGGCTTCTCTCCCACACTGCCGGCACTCTTGCCTCTTCACTACCCTTGAAAAAAGTACACTCCAGGGGAGACACAGCTGCAGCATAATGCTTCCGTTCCTCCATTATCTAAAGGCCCCCCATTCGGAATATTGCGGGCCTCGAAGACAAATTGCATAGAACGTGCCATGACAGTTCAGCGCAGCTAAGCTGTCAGAAAACCCTCGGACACATGCAAAAAAGTGTACCTCAGCTTGTGGGACTGCTGGCATCCAGGTACAGCCAAAAAAGAATAGCAGAAGCTCCAACGCCCCTTCGTCAACCAACCCTGCTTGCAGCCTAAAACCCCTGTTATCGTATGAGACCGACACAATTCAACATCAAACCACGGCTGACGGCAAAGTTTCAGCGGCAGCAGCAGCTTGCAGTCTATTGCGAGGCTCGGTACTGTCTAAGTGTCCGCAAGGCAGGTCGACTACGGCGGAACGAACCCTAGAGATCCAACAGATGGCAATCGGACAGCAGGACCCCCGCGAAAAGCAGGCATCTAGACTCAATCCAATTGGGTGCCGGTCAAGAACCCCAGGGTGCTCATCTACCTTTGCTATGTAAAATTGAGTTCCAAACGAAAGTGTTACTAAAGGCATGACAAACAACTGTAGAACACAATAGCACAGAATTCATCCACCAACCTTCTGGTCGTACGGAAGATCTTACAATGGAACAAGGCATAGAGTTATAGGTGGCCTGAATTTGATGAGTAATTCAATAATCTTGTGTTTGTTTTGCATCAGATACGCCATGGTTAGCGAAAAGAAAGCCAGTACACCGATGAACAGTTGTGTTGACTCAAAGAAAAGCTCTGCAGCATGCATTCATGCACTTGAGTGGTTCGCTGATCCCGCCGCTGCGGCCACACCAGCGAAAACAGCAAAATGCGTAGACGCACTGGCTAACGCAGTCGCTGGCCAAGTAAGCGTTCCCTTATCTTTTTATAAACTACGCCACGAAAGAGTCAGTTGCCTCTTCGGAAAAGAGGGAATTTTTACCAGGGGTGAAGAACATTCGCACCCACTACTTGGCAACGAGTTTCCTTCCATTGCTGTCCTCTCAGGTTGCTGCTCACCTGCAAGCAGCTACGGAGGCTACTGGCGTAGCAGTGAGAGGCGCATCTTCTCTAGACTTCTGTGGAGGCGCCATCAAGCCTACTTTGCCTCTAAAGGCATGCGGGCAAAATCCGATGTCCTTCGCCGCTGAAAGACATAACAAGCAAGCCCGATTCCTACAGATATCTGTTGCCGACGACAGCCCTTTACACCGATATGAAAATGTCTCGAAAGGATGCTTCTCAGAGCGAGAACAGCAGCTGTTAAACTGCATGGCGGCCTCGTTTGCGGCTGTACAAATGTAGCTTCGATTTAAAACCCGTTTCCTCAAGGCTTTTAGGGAACCACACGTAATGCTGAATGCGCATCGCCCAATCCGCTTAACCTTACTACAAAGAATGTGCATCTGAGGCTATTTTGTGCAGTAGAGCAGCTGCACTAAGCCCCTCTCGCGTAGGTAGGCTTGCAATCTTGAGAGCCGCAGGCTCAAGTGGATGGGCAACTTCGATCTACCCTGCTTCGCAGTGACAGGCCCCCACTCTAATTCAGTCAGTACAAAGAGACAGGCACACGCTTCGAAATGTAAAGGCGAAGAATGCACTACCTTTTCCGTCCTGAATATCAACCGCGTTGGTTGGACTGTACGCTGTCGCTTCTGCGCCTTCCACTTATCACAAAAGCCTGGCATGCTGTGTAACCTGATAGGAGTAGGTTTATCAAAGCCTTCACTGCCATGTGCTTAGAGTAAGACCACGATGCATTTGCATGCGAATATATAGACTCCTGAGAATTAACATGCTGTAGATCACACGCCCTCCTTTGGCCGGAACGCCGCAACTCTGCAGCTCTAGATACGGCACTGCAGCCACTTAGAAGGAAGAACTGGCGCTGCCTCTTCCCCAAAGCGAATACGGACTACGGGGTAGCCGCGTAATAATTCTCATCATAATATGCAAATGCGTCGATGATAAACTTCCTGCAGCATCAACTGGTGGCAAAAACACACAGAATATAAACTTCCCTGGCAGCGATAAAAGATGAGGTGGACAACTCCGAAATTCGAGTACTCCCATGTAATGCACACTTGAAGTCGCCGAAATTGCGTAGTGGGCGGTAAGTGCTGACAGCAAAGTCCATAGTGGCTTTGCATCAGCATTTCTCCCTTCTACCCTTAACAAAGGGATGGGACTCCCACAAGCCAAAAGTATCACTGCTGTTCATCAGCAGTGCAAATATACCTGTAGTTTAAAAGTTGGCGCAGCGTTTATCGCCGCATACACGTTGGGAACGGCTCAGCAACTTGGAATGCCTGACTCGCCAACACAGCTGCCGCCGTCGCCAAGGACTGTTTTTCTACGATCCAGCTTCCCATTGCTTCGCAGGACATATGAGAAGCACAGGTTCTTCTGACATATGATGCTAGAGTCTTAAGTTGTGTTCTTTGGGGGTTCGCCTCCTACGTGGCATCTTTACATTTACACCTCACAAGAAGCTGCAGTGCACTGCGCTTGAGAAATAATGGATGCCATCGAGACAGCAGTGATCATTTGGAGTCAGTAGGAGCCTTATCCTTCAAATGATTTCTCTAAGAAACAGAATACAGCCACAAGCAGAGCGACAGCTAGCCATGGGAACTGCACGTAAGTGCGTACTTCCGTGTCAGTCCGGGAAAAACAGAATGCAGCAGCAAAAAATTGTCTTCGCGTATGGTGCTACTCAGAACAGAGAACGACGCAGCTGTCGATAAAGCCTTTTAAAAGTAGGCTTACAATTTCGGACAAATGACCGTATTGACGCGTGTTCAAGATAAAAAATGGAAATCCTCTAGCGTGATACTTTGAATTGATGTGACTCCAAATTGCATTTTTATGGCGGTGGCCCTCAACCATTACAATTACCTGAATGCGATTTGCACACAAGCTGACAGGCGTGAAAGCATGGAGCCTTGCTGGAAACCCTTTAGCTTAGTGTGCCACATGTGGAAATTTGTTTTATAAATAAGCGTCAATTTTCTACCTCAGCTGCTAGCTGAGGTATTTTACAAAGAGGAAGCAGCCCAAAATGCAGGCAACAAGTCCAGCATATACTCCACGACTGCCTGCCTTACCGGCTCCATTCCAGCCTTTTTCAACTCTCTGATGCCAATGCCGCAGTACTTGCACGTACTACGCTCAAACCAGCAGACTACACAAGTGAATGGTAGAATAAAACGGAATTCCACGAACACACAGCCATGAAAACAGTGCATATTTCACAACACACGCATACGCTTGAACGCCTAATAGCAGTGCACTTGAATAAATGCTCACTAAAGTTTACAACCCACCGAATAACAAAAGCGAGTGGCTTCCCGCCTGCCAGCAGCTCCTGAATTGCATTGGGGATTTCCGTGCGGTCCTTAACGTCTGCGAACGGATCGGGCACATCGCCGACGTAGTTCATCAGCTCCCATGTGATCTTTCCTGCCATCGCGATGATCAACATGAACAGACCCACTTTAATAAGACGACTGAGCAGGTGCCAAGTAACGCTAGACTTTTGTTTCCGCCTGCTGCATATCTCTTCTCCCTTGTTCGCAAACATGTACACGACCTTATCAGCAGAACCCCTCTCTGCAATGGGGCGGCCAAGTGCACCCACGGAATGAGAAGTGAAACTCCCTTCATCAGCTCTAACCATTGGTTCATGGTCTAACACTTGTACTGCTTGATCAGCCGTTCCCCCGACTCCCGGATTCCGATCAGCACTAGCATAGCTTTGAACTGACCACAAAAAGACTAAATGTGCGAAGAAACGCACAGGGCCGGGGCCGTAACCGCCGGGAGCTCTACTCCCTACCCTCATGGTAGCGAAGCGCTGATCGATGAGGTAGTGCCTCAATGCAACCAAAAGCAATAACCGAACTGCTACACGTACGAAATACTCGGTAAATTGGTCAAACCCAGAAGAGGGGGGTCCACATTTCAAAGTGATCGTGCCTATTTCGCGGCTGACCGACTGTGAGCCGTTTAGGCGTCGTGGCATGGCCCACTATAGCTCCACTGTCTACCCACGTCTGCCTGTTTGCATGCATGGTGCCAGATACGGTAACAATTCACAGAAGAAACGCACTCCAGAGGCGCATTGTAGCTGTAATCGAATCCATTTCCTCAGGACGAAAATCCAGTTGTCGTTTCCCGCAGGACACCCTGCGGCTCGATGCACGCCCTTGATGCTACCCCTCCCACCTATAATAATGGAGAACGAAATAAAAATTGAGTCACACTGAGTTCCAGTTGATCATTCGCCGTCCTACTTACAAATCAGGGGTCTTTAAGTAGAATCACTTCACAGTGGACGCGTAGGAGCACCCTGTCCAAAGGCATATGTTTCAAATGTAAGGGCTATACAGGCGAAAAGAGGGGCTCTCCTGTTATGAAGAAAAGCGTCCTATGAGAGAATAGTTGCCAGAACCAAGGGAACAAGTACGTTAATGCTTCAATTCCTCTACTTCCACAGAAAACCCTATGGCGAAGTCCGTACACACACATACACACACATCTTAAGTGAATGCGGTGTGATGCCGGCCCACACTACCAGTTGCTTCATTTTAGATGCTTCCGGCCGTAAAACTCCAAAATGTTCTGCCTGAGCCTTCACATCCGCGAGAATCCCACAACATAGCTACACGGTAGCTAGTTCAAGAAAGTTTACACGGAAAAGGTACCGCCTAGTGGAGTGCCACAGTCCCGCACATACAGCATATATAAACTTGCCGCTGTCATATTTCGGCGTGCTGATATGATAGGGGTAGACGTGTTCTCCGCTTCTCCAATGGCTTTCGCCCTCCAAAGCCAAGCCGTGAAGGAATTCAAGGGCATGGCAACACCAAACTCCTTATACCGTCCCTCAATGCTGCCTGGATCTCAGGAAAGTTAGTGTTACTGAGATATAGACAATTGAGGTGTAAACAGTTGCATCTCGTTTGTTCTAAAATGGTTCAGTACGGCAAACCGCTTAAACATGCACAATGCGGTAGCCGTGGCAGTAAAAATGGCCCTCCTTGAGATGTCTAGAAAAGACAGCTATTGCTGTATACAATATACGTGCATGATACAATGCGCAAATACCCCTTCCCTCTCTGAGCTTGGGGCATCGGACTCAGGTCATAGCCACACCGATACTAGCCCTCCGGCTCTAGTATATGTAGTTGTGAACGCACACTAGTACAAGGTAGACTGTTTAGGCCTGAGGTAGCCCGTAACCGTAGTCGCGCAATCTATGTGCAAAATACAATGCGCAAATATCTTTGCCTTCTCGAAGCCTGCGTGGCTAAAAGCCGCAATTGTGATGCCCAAGGAGCGGGCGAGCAAATGTAAAAGTGTTTCAAACACTTACCTCGTTCCGTGTGGAAAGGACAGAGATTGCCGCGGAGAAAATATTCTATCGCCATCGTCGTACTTCACAATGGCCTTCACTGCACCAATAAGAACTACAAGCCACTCAACATAAAAAGCCCGAACCTTCAGCCTTAAACAATAGCCAGCTATAAGCATACACGTGTAGAAAAACCGAGCCACACGTGGATGCTGAAGTAGAAGTGGTCTCTCAGTAAAAAACGTGGATCTAGAAGGTACGGAAAATGGCATCTTTTGAAGTTTCCAAACAATAGCTAAAGTATCGCAAGAATATTGTAGAACTGCATGGTGATTTACTGGCATCCTTATTAGGTCAAGTAGCTAACTTAAGTGAAGCTACGAATTATAGTGCGCTGCCTGTTCTGTGGAGCCTGATGTGTGGACCGAGGCAGCCACCACCGGACTTCGTGAATTTACACTCTTCCCCAGCGATGTACTTACCCTTCTACTGACAAGCAGGCTGAATGCGCTTGCTCTTTCGTAGACCGTGGGGTGCTGATTACTGGAAACTTAACTTTGAGTGTGGGAGACTGAATGGGCTCGTTAGAGTGGCGACGAAAGGTATTCTCTTAGAGGTTCCAGGGCACTGTTTTCTCGTGTTTGCTACGAGCCTTTGAACTGGCATCCTATGGAGAGCAGAGGCATTCTGCTAGCTTGTGCGCCTCACGTTACACGGTTCGAATAGGGTAATGCAGACAAGATAAGCGCTCGAATTTGTAGACTGTCTCCAACGAAAACCGCAAAAATGTTAGAACTTTGAGAAGCACAAGTAGTTTAGAATCAATTCAAAAGATCAGACAAAGATTTAAACCCGTATGGGGAAGAGAGTGGGAACCCCAGGAAGAACTGAACATTTACCTACTTCACAGCCACTACTTCGACGTCTGTGCTACCTGGGACCCCCTAAACTAGTCATTTATAAGCTGTTATTACTGACATGTGGCCCTACGTCAACAACAGACTACGGCTGACGTCTCCTCTGTGGGGTTTCGATGCCCTGAGTGTCGTCTGAGAGAAGATAGTGGTATTCCTTCATACCTAAGCACCCCTACCGGAGGGCTGTTTCGCAGTGGGCACCTTCTTGGCGTGGAAGAAACAGCCCTCTAAAACAGCCGACCTTGTCGTAGCTGAACTTCCAGTTTCAAGCTCCCAACTCTGGCGCTCAAACTGTGGCAGCAAGCGGGGCCGGATTCATTAGATGAAAACCGAAAGATCTGCCGTTCCAGGAGGTGTGCATCACACCGAGGTTACCGCCTTGTTTCGATGGTAGCTGCTGCAGATAGAGCTGGCACTCGCATGTTGGGTTTCCTGAGGCCCTGTGAATCTGAGATGGAATTACGTACATGGAGAGCAGTCCACTTTCGCAGTTCGACGGGGTGCGCCGTGCTGGTACCATCCCGACAACCTGGGCAGCCTTTCCTCTGCTTCATTTTTGCATTTTCGCCTTTAAAGAGCTAGGACAGATCGTTTCGAAGATTAAAGGAGGTCGAACCGAAGGGCTCTTCCGACGAAGTGGTGCCTTGCTTTACTGCAACACACTTTTAGGGGCAAGGGTAACGGCAAGAACAGCTCATAGGACTTTTCCTCCCTCCCGATGTAATGGTCGGTAGAGACAGAGGCGAAGCGCTAGGTCCAGAAGAAAAGGGGGAAGCTCCTGTCCCCCTTTGGCACGTAGGGGCGACGGCGACTCACCCTGGAGACGTCCAAGGCTCAAACTCAGGTAAAATACGGCGCTCAGAAATAGACACTACACAAAAGGTCAAGCAGCATGAGGCCACTGCCAATCAGAAAGACTGAAACAGAGACAACCAGGGAGCAGGTGCAAGAAGAGCCAGAGAAAAGCAAACGCCCGTGTTGACGGGACTGGGGGTCCAAACGGAGGCTGCGGTCTTTTGGGGAAGCGCAGCTTCTTAGCCCGAAAATGCCTCATTAGACGAGCTACGGAGCTGTCGTGGCATAGCGACTTTTTACTGCACGGGGAAGGAGGGTGCGCAACGGAACCGTTCTCCCCTGGCTACGCATCTACGCTGTATTCACGGCCTTTTTAGGGAGTCCCAGGTGTTTGAGGTACTGCCTGAATCTTGATCAGTCGCATCGATAACCGGGGGGAAGAAGAACATCTTGACCGCTTGTCTGCTTTGATGGACTCGGCCACAGCAGCCGGTGCATCTGAAGCCCTGCCTTATCAAAGGATCACATTTCTCGACGGTGCTCTGCCTTCCTCGACTTCCAGCATATGTGTAACCCCCCCGCGCGTAGCTCACTGACTCTGGAAGCGCAGAAGAACCCAACAGTAGCAGGCAACTCGTTTTCTCGTCTGCCGTCTTCCGTCCTTGTCCACGCGTGTGCAGGCTTCACGAACTGCCACCGTTTCGGCGGTGCGCAGAGGCGGAGCATTTTTTCTGCCCTCATAAGTTCTACCGGCTGTTCCCACTCCTTTGCAGCTGTGCCTCCTTTCAAACGCTCTCAAGCTGCCCTTCGTGTCTGGTCAAAAACCCACGCAAGCGGCGACGAATCAGGAAGTTGTGCTCAAAAGGGCGGATCCCTGAATCCCAGTAGCTAGTTCATCGAAGGCATGCAGGCACCGTGAACCGGAATAAATCATGACTCGTACCGGCAGCAGCACGCCCGACCTGCGTTCTGGATAAAAAAACAAGTATGCATCGCAGAGCAAATTTTTTTGACAGATAGACGCACTCGGCTCTCTCGTTACGAGGCAGAAATGCAGAAACATCCCATTTTTTGCAACCGCCAGTGGTCAGCGGTAATAATACCGCATTTTTCTGGGAAATTTTCACAACTACACACTCTTGAACCTTGCCGCCAACGGCAGACGCGAAAGGCCTGGGCTGCGTGGCTCCTGGCGCTTTTGCGCTTTTAGAGGGGGACTTGCACGGAAAGCGTGCGCAAGGGAATGAAACGCGAGAGCTGAAATGCTACGAGCGCAGGGACGCCAGCACATCCGCTCAGCTCTGGCGCATGCACAAGTCGAAGTCGGGAGGTGGATAGGACGATTCGACCCGGGAAAACGCGCCGAGGAAGGCGTGTCGCCGGGCTTGTCAGTCGCGAGAGTACAACACTTGGAGGGAGAGTATCATCGCGCGGATCGGTGGGAATGCCACAACATGCGGCCGCCAGGTCGTCAAGTCACATCTTAGGCGGGTATTTGCGAGGCTCAGTGGTGCTGCTGCAGCAACACCGAGGAACTTGCAAGCCTGCAATCTCCTATTTCTAAATTACGAGCTGTAGATCTTACAGCGCCTGCGGCCAGGCCAGGGCGTCCCAGATGAGCTTTCACTGCCTCGACATGACTCATTCTACGCAGATTTGTGCTAATTGCAAGACTTCTATGAGCCTGCCCAAGCTTGCAGGAGAATGGCTTTAACTTGCGAAAGCAAAGCCAGAAAAAGACTACACATCTGGATTACCCATACCCTGCCAACAAACAAAAGGAGGACCCCCGTTGGAGTCCTCCTGGATTCGCGCTCAGAATCCCTTTGCCCTAGGCCAGCAGTAAAGGGTGTCTTTGATGCTAGAACCACTTAGGCTGCCGTCAAAACCAACCGCTTCCCCAAAAAGCGCAGCACATGCCACGGCAGACCCGAAGCATCGCTCGGTGGTTTCGAGCTACTAATGGTACCTCCTCAGGCTTGCTTGCGGGGAGCGCAGGGGGGGGGGCTCGCCTTGACTGCGACTGGAGGTGTGCAGAAACAAGCAAACACAAAGGCGAGCATTCCAAGCATAGCGAGGCTGCAAAGCATGGATTCACTGGTGGTGCCTGCGGTTATTAGCTTTTCTCGTTCGCATCATGGGGGGGCGCTCTTCGCGAAACTCCCAAAGCAGCTAGCAGCGCTTGCGCCTTCACATCCAAGCGATGCGGCTGCTGCCGTGCATGCGCCTCCGTTTTCTCCGGCCGACCTTCTGCCTGACTGGACATGCCAGCCTGCTGCGGTAGATGCCCACGCCTTAGCGCCAAAGCAGGGGGTTGCGCGTTGCTCTGCTGGAGGCAGTGGTCCTTTGCCTCCGAGCGTTTGTGCGCATGCGCGCTTTGATGCAGCTGAGCTGAGGGCTGCTGAGCCGAGAAAGCTACGGGGGAGACAGCGCCTTCCCTATCTAGACGAGCTAGCGGGCTTCCTGCAGCGCAGCTAGCCGACTCCCGCGACAGCGTCAGGCATTGGCGGTTTGTACGGCTATCCTGCTGTTCATGGACATGCGAACCACTGTCGAGAGATGATTGGGCAAATTCCAGCGGCTGCTGGGGTGCAGCTGAAGCTCGTGAATGCTGCAGCTGCTGCTGCAGCTGCTGCTGCTGTAGCTGCTGCTGCGGCTCTGTGGGAAGCGGGTTGTACGAGCCGCTGCAAGCGGCTCCAGTTGGCGGGGGTGTGGCTGCATTGCCGCAGATGTCGGCTTCCATGAGTGCTTTTTGTGTCGTCTTTGCGCTTGTGTTCGTCGCTTTAACGCCCAATACTGCCAGCAGGGCATCAGCCTTCGCTGCCAGTCCTCTTGGCTGCTGGTTGGGAGGACAAGTCGCAGAGCTGGAGGGGGGAGGGGGCTTATCTCGCGAGCTGGCTTGCCGGAGGTGTTGCAGCCCCTTTTCGAGAGAAATGGTGGACTCTTCTGCGTGCTCGTTAGCCCTTGGATGCAGAGAGTCTGCTACGTACTGCTCCTCGGGGTAATGCGCCTGCTCGGAGCGTCCGTTTTCCTGATCGCGTGCTGCAACTGCATGCGGGTAGGCAGTGCAAGGCCTAGGAGGTGTCTGCTGCTGCGCTGTGCGGGCAGCGGCGTGAGTGTCGCTGGTGCGTGCTCGCCGCTGCTGCTGTTGCAGCTGCAGGGGCGTTGAAGCCTCCTTCTGTTCGGAGGAACGCTGAACAACGTTGCGGGGTCTCTGTTTCTGCTCAGCAGTCGACATCAGCCTGCCTTGACGTGCAGCGAGAGCAGCGGGAGTCTTCATCTTGGAAGGATCCTCCTGCGACAGCATCGCCTGTGTCGCTGCTGCAGGAGGAGGCTGCTGAAGAGAAAACAACGCACACGCCCTCATGAGCACCATGAGCTGGCATTTAGGCCGAAAGCCTCTATGCCGGTAAAGGCCTAGCAGTGAGAAGAAGACACGTCCTCCACAAAGACAGCTATGTGCGTCGATTCACTAAGCCGCTGCTAAAAGAACCGCCGCTGTGCTCTGAGCTGCTGCTGCAACGCATGCCACGCAAACGAGGCACTTGATAGCGTAAAAAGAAGACTACATCGCGCCATTGTTGTGTGAGCTGGAAGGCACTTGCACTGCGGATATGAAGACAAGCTCGATACTTTGCTGCGCACTGATTAATCCCCACAAACTGCAGTGGCGAAGGCAGAGCTGCAAGCACTCTTGGATCGTGCAATGCTCTGCAACTGCAGCCAGGGCCACTTCTCTACATCATACCCCTTTCCCGCTGCCTTCCAGATCCTGATGATCAATTCAAAAGGTGAGCCAGCCCTCCCCCCGCTGCTGAGCTATCGGCAGTTCAGAGGAAGCAAGATGCAATGAACACAAAAAGGCACCAATATGCCAAAGCTCGGTTTCCCTCTCAGGCCACACCGTGCGCTTGGGAGCTCTCGCCGTCGAGAAGGGGAGGTAAGGAACGAAGGGATGAAAGGGGGGGAAGGCTAGGGCGCTTCTCGTCAATGGGAGATACAGCTAGCTGCAGCAACGCACTTCGCCAACGCAGAGAGGCAACCATTGGCTAGCAGGAGCCCTTAGCATGCGAAGCGCGCTGATTCGGCCGTCTCCGTCAGATGCCCCTGCGGATAGGGAGGCATGGCGCACAGAAAAAGAGGCAAAAAAGCTTTTGTTTGCGTCTACAGAGGCATATTGCCAGCGGGAAGGTGAGAGCTGTGCTTTGAGCGCGCAGAAGTGACTGCCTGCTTGCGGGCAAGGAGCTGAGAATCGTTTACGAAGCTCTGCAGAAGGCAGTTGATTTTTCTCCAAGGCTAGTTCTAGAATGCGCAGAGCAGGCCACACAAAACCTCAAGGAAGGGGGGAACTTCTATCCATTTTCTAGCTATTTTTCACGCCGAGAGGCACTTACCGAGGCACGACTCATCTAGCAGCACTTCGATGCAAACGTCGTCAAGATACGCCATTTGTTGCTGGAAAAGGTCGAGCTTATCCTGCGTATTGAGCTGCGAAAGGATGCGTTGAGCGTCTCTCTCTGAGCGAAGTGTCGCAGTCTCCTGCAAGTGCTGCTGCGGGCTGTTCTTCTTCTGCTGTTGCTGCTGTTGCTGCTTTGCTGCGGGAGCAGCTGCAGTCAAATCCAAGCGTTTCCGCGGTGTAAGGCGAAGGAAGAAGGGGGCAAAATTGATAGACCCCTTGACAGAGAAAGGCGAAGCAGGCCGTGCGCTGCTGCTTGCTGCGTTTCCTTCAGCAACGTCTGCATACCTGCCAGGCTGACACCAATCGCACTCGATTCTGCACTTGCCAAGCTGCGAGGCGAAACCAACCGCCGTTCCCCGAGATCCCTGCGGCACAGAGCCTCGATAGCGGGAGTACGCTAGACGCTGACCAAGCTGCATTTGCACTGCAAAGATAAAGGTATACTCGCCAAGGCCGTTGTGCTGCACGCCTCTTAGCCGTAAGAATCCTGCAACACGCCAGGAAAAGAAGCAGAGAGCCGTCTCAGCATATAAAAAGGAGTCTCTTCCAAGGAAACATCCAACACAGAAGGCTCAATGGAGACAAGCACATGAAAATGCTCGCTTGTTATGCCGAAGCGCAGGAACCTTTAGCCTTTAGAAGAGTCGAGAGAGAGACACCGCAGGGCACTCATAGCCGCGTGTTGCCGCAATTGCAAGAGACAACGGCAGCGCTGTGCCCCATGAGAACACTGACACTTGCAGCAGCCTCTCCAAAGCAACTCTAAAATCACCCTCGCTACCGCTACATAATCAGCGCTGAGAGACACGTAAATATATATATATATATATCTACATATAGACATACACACACATACCCGCGAGGATGTGCTTCTGAATTGAGAGCAAGTCTGCTGCTCGCACGCAGCAGCAGCTCTCATTCGCAACACGCAGCACAACACTTTCGGCCTGTGGCAGCTTTGCATTCTGTCGTTCCAACTCCTTCTGCAACTGCGTCAGTACTGCAGCGCATGCACAGCAGAGGCATCAGGTAGGCCAATAAACACTTTCAGCATCGAGCGGAGGAGGAAGCTCCGTTCAAGCAAACGAGGATACAGCTGCAAGCACCTCTTTCAAGCTCGCATGTATATACGCATATACATGTATACTCACATACACACCAAAATTGACACACAAATACACACACACATATGAATACACACACACATATGAATACACACACAAAAACACACATACACACACACATATATGAGTACACACACAAAAACACACATACACACACACATATGAATACACACACAAAAACACACATACACACACACACATATGAATACACACACAAAAACACACATACACACACATACACATATGAATACACACACAAAAACACACATACACACACACACATATGAATACACACACAAAAACACACATACACACATACACACACACATATATATGAATACACACTTGCTCGACACTTTCCCGTGTATACACTTATCCACACATACCAATCCACGTACATACACAGATTCTACGCAGAAAAAGCAAACGCATGCACATATTTGACGGACACACCTGGGGCTGAGAGGTGTGCATACTCTGCAGGCACCGCTTTGGCACGTCTAGAGGGAGACTGAGCGGCCATGGATGCCAAGCGACTTGCTAGGAAGGCGGGATCGCCCGATCCCGCGAACACACTGGAGGCCTTTAAATGACACCTTGAGGACAAATTTTTCGCGTTAACGCTAGCCTGCACACAGGAGACCTCTGAGCCTCACAACTCCCCGATGAGATGTCTGTCATGACATGCGTCGAAGAGCGGACGGCGCGCAGGAGGCAGCCTCCATGCTACCGCGTCGACAAGGGACTCTTTTCTCCTCCGAAGGAAGCAGACGTGACATACCGCGTCTAGGGCGTTTCTCAGCGCCGGAAAGGCATCCAGAAGCTGCTTCCCAAGTTCGACTGTCTTCGCCGTGAAGAGATGCGTGTTGCATCGAGCTGCGCATACCCCAAACCACAGAAGCACAGATGCATGCATGCACAGAGCGCAGCCTACGCGACTAGGCGCACCGCACCTCTACGGCAATCGGCGAGCGCCTCTGAGGCACACCACCCACCCCTGCATCAGGAGCCACAGCGAGTGGCGTGCATGCGATCTGCGACGAAAAGCAGCAGGCAGCCACGAGCTCAGTGCCTTACACCGCAGAGAACCTCGGATAGCAGGACGTGGCCAGGGCAGCGAATACGCCAACACAAATGCAGGCGCTCGCGTTTCTTCCACAAAAATAATCGTGTGCAAGCCGCAGTCCTTAGAGTTCCACATTCACACATATACAGCATACATACATGCTACATAGAAGATAGAATGTACACACACACATACAGATAGATACACATACACAGACACACATACACATACACATAAATACATACATACACATAAATGCATACATACACATACACACAACATACAGATAGATACACATACACACAACATACATACAACATACATACACACAACATACAGATAGATACACATACACACATACAGCATACACATACATACAACATACATACATACATACACATACGTACACATACAGCATACACATACAACAAATACATACATACACATACACACAACATACAGATACATACACACAACATACAGATACATACACATACATACACATACAGATACATACACATACAACATACAGATACATACACATACATACACATACAACATACAACATACATACATACACACATACACATACAACATACACGTACATACACACAACATACATACACACAACATACATATACATACACACATACACATACAAACAACATACATATACATACATACACACACAATACTCATACATATACACACATAGCCGCAAGGAGATGCCTCAATCAAGCAGACAGACAAAAGGCCTCTTTCGCGAAAGCCGCTTAGGTGGAAGGCAGCAGCAAATGGAAAGGCTTTCGAAAGGCCCTCTCTGCCTTCTTCCCTTGTTTGTCGCTAGTACAAATTCCTAGACAGCATTTTCACAGCATTCTCCTCCTGCTCCTGCTTCTCCTCCTTTTCTGCCTCCTAAAGGAGGGGGAAAAGAGAACTCAGAGGCTGCGGCAGCCGCTTCATGCAATGTCACAGGGTGTCTCTTGGACCAGCTCCTGCTTGGCGTGAAACTTACGTAGAGATTGTCGCCTTCCTTCACGAAGACAGAGGAGAAGATGCAATACGCGGCGAAGGGCGTTACACCCATGAGAGCTGCGGCTTGTTCCAGAGTATGCATTTCCGCCTAGAGAAGACAAAAAAAGGCATAAGAGGGGGCAGCCAGTGAAGCCACTAGAAGTGCTCCGAAGGCCACATTTACCTCGTCTTTTAACCATGTTGCAGCAAGGCTTTCAGGAGGACGTGCCTCTACGAAACGTCTCGCACTGAGAGCGATGCAAACGCAGCGAGAAAAGCAGAAGGCGGAAGAGGGAGAACGCACTCGCGTGGCAGCGCAGATGGCCTTGCATGCATCCTGAAGGCTGCGCTGGAAGTCGGGAGTCTCTCCCCGCCTCGCGGCAGCAACGTGAACGGAGAGCGGCTTTTTTCCCTCCTCGTCGGGAGGGTCTGCAAGCACTCCCGTGACTCCCCGAAGCAGCCGATAGCCGGCTAGCTTAGCTGCGCTGGAGAAGATGCATAACACGTCTTCTCCGACGCGCCAGCGGTGCGTTTTGTGCGCTGCGACGGCCTCTAACACTTCCTGGTGACACTGCTGAAGGCTCTCAACGAGAGCTTTGGAGGGCTGTGCAATCAGCGGCAGCAGACGATACACCGTCTGTGCGCTGTACCGAAAGTGTGCGCAGGGAGTCGTCTTCGCGTCGAGGCGAGCAGCAGCAAGCCTCTCGCTCCCAGAACTGCAGCCTTCTCTCGCTAGCTGCTCGGCTGCCCCCACAAGCCTCTCCTCGAGAACGACGTCTTCTACCGGCAGCAGCTCGACGAGGACGGTTGAGAGGGCAGTTGAGGGATGACATTCTCTCGCCATTTGCTGCTGCTGGGTACCAGGAAGTGCTCGCGTTAAGGCCATGGCGAGTTGCTGAAGTTGCACTTCGGTAGGGGGCTGCTGGGCAGCTGCTGCTCCCCCTGCTTCCTTGGACCTGGCTTCTGCTTCGTCTGTGTGGCTCCCCCCCAGAATCTGCTGATCGGGGTGCCAGTACGTCGCTACTGCTGTTCGTGGTTGCTCTTCTGCTGCTTTATTCCTTGCCATTGCCGCTGCTGCCTGCGAACGCCACTGTGCGCGGGTTGCATGCTGCTCGAAAAAGCTAAAGGCCTCCAGTTCGTCTGCCACTGCAATGCCTTGCAGCTGCAGACGCCGCTTCTCCGTCTCTACAGCCTGCAGCTGCTCTGTGGGTGCGCAAGGCACCTCAGAGCTCCGCTCTCCACGAGGACGCTCCTCCAAAGGATAGTAAATCGTAGGAAGCCAAATGGCGACCTACAACGAAGACACCCACGCAAGGGGCAGGGCAGTGGGCTGCCCCTCACGCTATCCTTATGCTGAGAAAAAGCGAGAAAAAGCGAGAGAGAGAGAGGGAGAGAGAGAGAGGGAAAGTGAGAGCGAGAGAGAGAGGAAAAAGAGAAAGAGAGAGAGGGAAAAAGAGAAAGAGAGAGAGAGAGAGGAAAAAAGAGAAAGAGAGAGAGGAAAAAGAGAGAGAGGAATAAAGAGAGGAAAGAGAAAGAGAGAGAGGAAAAAGAGAGAGAGAGGAATAAAGAGAGGAAAGAGAAAGAGAGAGGGAAAAGAAAGAGCGAAGGAAAGAAACGAGGACACGCGGGAGAGTCTCCTCTTCCAGGAAGCTTTCTGCGAGGGGAACTGGAGGCAGAAGAAAGCGTTCCAACAGATGACATGCATGTAAAAGCACAGAGGTTAGTCTAGGGGTATCCGACAAGGGAAAAGGCACGCTGGAGAGCAATTTCGGGCAAGAACTGTAGGAGCACTGCTCTACTAAACACAGCCTAACCCTGTACCGGTAGCTCTCTGGTAGGGATGCAGCCGGGGTAAGACTAGAAGGCTAAAGTGGAGGACAAATAGCCGTGTCTAGAAGCATGTTCTGGCTTGCTATCTACTAGAGCATTTTCGGAAATCTTGCGGAGGAGGCCTTGGTGCGAGAGGAAAGCTCAACGTATTTATATAATATATATATATGGATATATAGATATATATAGATATAGATATATAGGCAACATCTGCGCAGCGATGCGTGGGTACCTCGGCGGATACAAAAAGAATGCGAAAATCCCTCCATTTCAAATGCGCGGCTCTATCATCTTAGCAATAAAATGCTATTACGGCGGAAGCCGCCCTTGACGCATGCATGGCACACACAGCCTTGCTTAAGAACGGGGAGCAACAGACGGAGGAGCAGCACAGGCACTTACTGGCGAAGCGAGTTTAACGAAGGGGAAATCGTAGAGGACGAATTTGGAGTCAAGGAGCTTTAGCAGCGCAGCCTCAGGCTGCAGCAGGTCGATGAGCGTTCTTGCGGATCGCTGTTGCAGCTGCTGGCGAGGGAAGGGCATCGTGCTCATCACCACAGACTGATTGGCAGATTCGCGGCGAAAGACTTTCACGCCGCTCCCATAGTGCCACTAAAAGTCGCAAAAAAAGAAAACACACAGTGTAGCAATACACAGAGTATGCGGTGTACATTGACAGTACAGAGCGGCAGACTTCAGAAGGGAAGAAAAAAGGGCAGGATGACGGGAAGCATGAAGACACGGCTCGAAAGGAGGAGGTAGAGGTAGAGGAAGAAGAACGAACGAATGAACAAACTCGCTAGGCACCCTCTCTCCTTCCGCGCGAAGAAGCAGGAAAAACCGCGCTTAGCAAGGAAGGCGTGGTCTCTCTTTGAATGTATGTATGTGTGTGTATGTATGTGTATGTATATGTATGTATATATATGAATATGTATGTGTATGTATGTATGTATATGTATGTATCTATGTGTATGTATGTGTATGTATGTGTATGTGTATGTATGTGTATATATGAATATGTATGTATATGTATGTATGTATGTATATGTATGTATGTGTATGTATATGTATATATGTGTATGTATCTATGTGTATGTATGTATATGTATGTATTTATGTATGTGTATATATATGTATGTATATATATGAATATGTATGTGTATTTATGTGTGTGTATGTATGTGTATGTATGTATATGTACGTATGTGTATGTATGTATCTATGTGTATGTATGTGTATGTGTATGTATGTATGTATATATATGTATATGTGTATTTGTGCACGTGCGCAGGCACAGAATCGCTGCAGCTCTACAAGACTTTGGCAGAGGTCTTACGGCGAAGCAAAGAGCATAGAGGGAAGGCGTGAGGGCAGCCGCATCGGGGGAGGCCCCTGGAAGTGGCATCGTTGGAAAGAGAAGCTCAGTGTCTTGGGGATGCATATCTGGCGAAGGCAGCTGTGGAAGAGCAGCCTTGTCAGATTTCCTTTTCTCGGATGGTAGTAGGACGGCCCCTTGCGTCTTGAGGAAGGAGCAGATCTGAGCGACATGTGCGTCTGCTGCCTCTCTAGGGTTGCATCTGGAATAATCAGAGCAATCAGTGTGGCTGAGGCTTAGCAGCGTGAGGAGGCTGTGCGCCTTGCGCTCATCTAATCGCGCAACGAAGGGGGGCGGTAGCACAAGCACCTCCTCCTCGAGCACACAGCTATTGAGCACGTCGGGAAAGATCGATGGCAGTGAAGACGGGAAGACAGAATTATGAGACGATGCTGCCTCGGCTTCCGAGGAGAAGCCCTCGCTGTCAGCCTCCGTGCAACACCCTTGCACCTGTGCCAAGACACTGGGAACGTCTACCAAAATGTCGAGGCTTCTACTGATTACTTTGTGCTTGAAGAAGAAACATTCGCAGTCATACACCGCATCTGCAGACGCCAGTGAAGTTACGGCATTATTAAAGCGACGACCCTGCTTTACGCTAGATGTCTCATCCCGCATCAGCAGAACCACACGGCCAACAATATTGCGTCTCAAGACATCCGGTCGAAGCCGTCTAAGCAACGGAAGAACTATGCGCTCAAGCGTAGCCTCGTCCACAAAGGGCAGTAGCGTGACGCCCCCCCAAGGAACCTGCAACACGCCAGTGGGCAGAAACAGAGACACATAACATGAGCAGATACTCTGGAAGGCAGAAACAGAGACACAACATGAGCAGATACACTGGAAGGCAGAAATAGAGACACACCACATGAGCGAATACACTAGAGGGCAGACATAGAGACACACCACATGAGCGGATACACTAGAAAACAAAAATAGAGATACACCACATGAGTGGATACACTAGAAAACAAAAATAGAGATACACCACATGAGTGGATACACTAGAAAACAAAAATAGAGATATACCACATGAACAGATACACTAGAGGGCAGAAATGGAGACTGAAGACGCTTCTTAGATCTCTGACATCACTAGAATCACCAAGTAGAAGCGAAAGCAGAGAGGACACCTGGTGCCCATGAGGATCTGCTGCACGGCACGAGTAGTCTCCCAAGGCTTCTTCGGAGGAGAAATAGATAGACACAGAGTCCAACAAAAAATGGGTGCACATCAACTGTTGATGCGCGCCTTTCCCCCTTTGACGTCTCGTCGCAGAGGATTGTCACCCCCCACCCCACCCTCCTCCTTTACAGCCGCACTGACTCCATGCACAAGTCTCTATTCGATAACGCACTTTGACCCCTTCCATATCGATCTCGAAGTCTCGAGGAAACGCATGCGCGAGTTCCGCTGGAGGATTCAATAGAAGGGGCCGCAGTTCTTCTGGCAGCAGATTTGCTGATCTGAAAACAACGACTCGAGCAAAGGGTGGCTTCCCACTGCAGCCTGCGCTACAGCGTGAGGGGTATACCAAGAAAAAGCTGCCTGCTTCTCAGCTTTGTTCCAGAAAGGGGAGCTAAGCGGCTAAGGGGCCTCCCCCCTTCACTCACTGCGGAGGTAAGATGGAGAGCAGCTGCATGAAGGGCGAGTAGGGCGAACCGTCTGGCAGCGAAATTGTTCGGTTCACAAGATAAGCGCGATCGAACTCAGCTGCCTCCGCGACTCTCTCGGGGAAGCCACAAGTCGCGCTGCTGCTGCTATACACCTCGCCGTATACACCACTGGGGTTAAAGACGGAGCATCGGAGGACGTCGTGCATGAACGGTGCATAGTGGTATGGGTAATACCACCTCCATCCGCTTCCGTCGCAGCCACGAAAGTAATAATACGCAACCTGCAGCGCGTCCAGAAACAGCTAGGAGTCTAATTTCTCTAGCCGCGGGAAGACGCAAAGCATAAGGCCCCTAGAAGGCACTCGACCCCTCCATAATATCTATATATTATGTATATATTAGCATCGTGAGAATGGGGTGTGCGCGCTGACCGCATGCGCATTGCACTGCACGAGCAGACAGCGTGGTAAGAGAGTCTGCGCAGACTAGGATGCATACCCACTGAAGACCTTCTAGGTAACTCTGGCACAGATGCTGCAGCTTCGCCTGCCCCTCAGGCTTAAAGACTGCGAAATTCAGCTTTCGCTGATAAAATCGAGCACGAAACGCTGCGCTTGCATCTCCACACGAGGCATACAGCTCCATCTGAGCAAACGCCACACCGTCTCACAGCGTACAAGTCTCACTGCAAATGTGGGAGTCACTCTGGGGAGACACATGCATGCAGCTGCACAGGAGGAGGAGGAGACCGCTGGAGGGACGAACTTTTCTGCGTGCAGGCTTCCTGCATAGACAGGAAGGTACAAAGGCTGACTGTTAACACTCTCTACACTTGTTGCAGACAAACAGGGAGGGCGTCATTATAATTCTGGTCCAAAGAGAGAGAGAGAGACAAAGAGAGAGAAATACGCATACCTCCTCTTCCAGCTCTCTGCCCCCCCTCTTCTGCCTTAGCCACTGCATGTCTGACGCCTTCCCTTCAACCTTGGGGTCTTCTACCGTAGACACAAATAGGTTGAGGAAAATGTACAAGTTCAAGAGATTCAGCTGGCCGCATCGCCTCACAAGCCATGGCCCATCGTCGGGAGTAACGCTCGTCAAAGGAGCTGCCAAGACGCGATACTCCTGCCCCCACACGCAGAGAGAGATCTCCAAATATAAACTGTATCGTGGGTGGAAATCAGCTTCCGCATAAACCGAAAGCGTCCCCAGCAGCAAGGCACTACAGCAAGACACGCCGCCTCTGCGGCGGCTACTCACCCTCGACAGCCAGCGCATATATCAAAGATTTGCACCCCAATGCACGGGCTACATAGATATATATATATATAGAAATGCAAAAAACACAACGGTTCAAGGGAGTCGCTTACGGCAAGAAACCTGCGGTAACAGGCAATCATGGTGTCAAGGCCTTTCTCTCCGATATCTGTTGAGAACGTATGCGGCAAAAAATCGTTCCCCGCCAGAAAGCAGAAAATGACAAAGTCATCAATGACGCGCTCCCTCTCGCTCGCGAGAGAGAGCATCGTCTCGATGTTGGGGTGTATCCGCGTTTCTAGTTTCTGATTTGGCGGCAGAGACACCGCATCGGATCCATTGCTTGTGCTCGATGACACGTTTTCTGAGACTTGCCGCTGCTGCGTAGAGGCCTGCAGCTGCCGCTGGTGTAGACTATAAGCCACCTTCTCGGGCAGAAGATCAATCACCAAGTACTCCCGCAGCAACGAGATATGCAAGAGCTGGAGCTTCTCGGGATTATACAGCATCTGCAAGGTGCACCACCCCCATCACACATCATGCGAAACAGGCCGTGCAGGCAGGCTATACCATGCCAGACAGCCTACACATGTGCAAAGGGCAAGAAATGCAGATCGCGACTTCCCACCATGCAACGTGCGAAGGAGTCACGGCAACCAGGAAAGGAGCGAACACACACCGTTAAAATCCTGAGGCGAATGAGCTGAAACGATGAGGGTATATACAGACACACGAAAAGAATGAGATCCACCAATTTTTTGCATGCAGTACCCAATAACGCTTACTCTGTCTGCTGCATCGACAGTAGTTTGGCGACCAAAGATGACTTCCTCCCTTAACAATGCGAACTGCGGCTCGTGAGACGCAAGGGCTGAAAATACACGAAGGGAGTAGAACGAGACTAGGGGCATATCGTGATGCAAGTGTGAACACATTCTTACAAGGGCAGTTTATTACACGTCTACAAGCACTCGAGGCACCCTTCGTGGAATGGGCTTTCACTACGCAAAGTCGGAGGAATGCAACTGCGAATTTTTCCCCCGCATTGGCTCACACAACATTATTAGATCGGCGTCGAGGCCATACAGGCAGTGCCTTGTATTGGGATCTGCATTGCCTGCCGCCTTGCAGCACCGAAGGTAGGCCATTATTTTGTGCTCTCCCTCCCCTGAAACGAAAAAGCGCTCATCTCACAGACTTTAAGCTTCACCAAGAAGACCTATTTTGCAACCGACAAATGATGAAAAAACGAGGAACACCTTGTGTATGCACAGACCACTCCTTGAATGAACCAAGCGTGAGGTATCAACTTGTAGCCCGATCTTAGTGAGTGAGTGGAGGGAAAAAAGACATATCTCTCTCTCGTACGCCAAAATACGTTCAACTCACCAGGAACATCAGGACCTGACAGCAAAACTTTCAGCCCACGCCACCGCTGATCTTCGTTGAGCTTCTTCTCACAAAAAAATCGAAGATGGCGAAAGAAAGAGGCCATGAACTCTGTTCCAGGAGAAATGCAGTTACTGTCAAATCCCTTTACGGTGTGAGCTGCCTTCCTAGCCGAGCATGAACCAGCTCCCTGACCCTTCGCGTCTGACATTGCGTCTGCACGCCGCAGATTCTCTTCTGCTGCAGCCGCTTCCGCTGCACTCTTAGCTGCCCTGTACCGACGGGCTCGCTGAAGCAACCAGACCAGGGATAGCAGCAACAGAGTGATGGCATTTGAATCACGTGAAATTCTCCAAAATGTGCATGGATAGGGATTAACGAATACGCCCCCAAGTAGCAGAGCTGAGAATCGCTCAAGAGTCTTTCAGAGGCCACACCTGCTGATTCATCTTAGCACGAGGAGCCACTCCATCAGCCGCGAGATAGAGCAGCTTGCGTGGGGATATGGTGGATATAACTAGATCCAAAGCTGAAAAGACTGACTGCCACATCAAGTTCTCATTCGCATGCAGCATGCCACCTGAGTGAAAAGTCAAAGAACGAACGGAGTCAACCCCCACATTTTAATCAAAGTGCTTTCCTTCCCAAGGACTGTCTCACGAAGACGGCGTGCATCTCACAGTGCTAGTTCACTGATTCAACATAACGAGGCTTTACCTGAGTTGCCGTGACTGCAGTTGTGCAAAATTCCATTCATATCCAAGTACAAGTTGTCGAAAGCAGGGATGGACGAAGCATCAATCTTCTCGTTTATGAGCGGATAGCGCTCGGAAAGCCACCGGTAGAAGCGTCCTATCCCCATTTTCGCTCGGAGCGAGAAGTACACGCAACACGATGGAGCAGGTAAGACTATGAAATGACACCTGGTGTCTGAGCAATACCACTGCGGCGCTCAAAAATTATAAACCCCACAGTTCCTTTTGTACCTTAGACCTGTCATTGGACCCCTTTTGGTGATTCGCTTGGCCCTTAACCGCAGACAAGGGATGTCGTGGCTTGGGAAAGAGGCTGAGACTGCCGATGATCATGTAGGACTGCAGGATGAGTCTGGCTTCCTCTGATCAGGGAGTGTAGTTATCCCCCCTCTAAACACAGAGCGAAAATCCGTCCCAAGCTCTTTGCTTTGAAAGTGTTCCCTTCTCAATGAATAGAAACCAATAAAAGGGGTAGCAAGATTGCCGTGATATAGTGGCGATCAAGCTGGCAGGCCTATATTTCAGGGAACAGGGACATATACAAGACGGGTGCACAGCGCCACATGAAGCCAGCTTCTAGAAATGAAGAATTATCAGAGATTCCGCCAAGCAAATTGTAGAAGGGTGTTGGCTATACTCAACATCGTGCAAATTTCAGATACAATCGGTCCCTGTTTTTGTGCTGCATGCATGGAGAACGGGTCGAAAAATCACCGCTAGATGTACCCCACAGAGGCTATTTCCACTGAAAACCACTCGATTTATTCATCTTAAATACTCCGCATACTTTGAATGAGAGCAGCTACCCCGATCTCTTTCGACCGATTTCCCAGTACTCTGGAACCCCGTGAGTTGGCTGGTCCGGTGCTGCTCCACTGCCGGCCAAATTCAGCAATGTGTCGTTTTGCTGGAATCACTGAATTGACGGATTTACGATTCTTAACAAGATTTTTGCGCGAGCGCTTGCACACACCTTGTCAGATGCTGCAAACAGACGCTCCGGACAATACGTGGGAAAGTCCCAGTTACGATATTCCTTGGCGTTTGTGCATGCAAGCATTCCATATACTTGGTGGAGAGGTGTCTCATTTTCCGTGCCCTCCGGCTCTTCTGCATACGAGAACTCTGCACAATTCGTGGATACAGGTCTTTGTTTCAATGTACTCTCCTGTGTCTTGCACTGCTCGAGAGGTTTGCACAACACAGCTTGTGTTCGGTAACAAAATGCCTAACACAGAAATTCTTGGGCAGAACGGTCTCTCAGGAAAGCCGCTTGCTGACACTTCTGACTCTTGCTCTATGGTATCTATGGAAAAACATTGGGGCTAATTGCGCTTGACAAAAAGCTTTTTAGTGTCTTCCAAAAGAGCTGCCCCCTTCACCTACCAGTGCCCCCATATTCCGACGTTAGGAAAGAAGTAAAAGTCGAGTGCTCATTGCCCCGCCTATTTAGCACTCCAAGCATCCACGAATAAATGTACGAAGCATCGAGGACGAATGCCCACAACATTGCGCCTTACAACACAGGTCCAACAGTATTCCGCAATAAGCTTTACTAACAGACAATAAATTTTGTCGTTTCCTTCTAACTCTTGATCAAATAAGCTAGTGTAGTAGAAAGGGTTGAAAAGTAGCGTAGCTCGCTACGCTTTCCACCCCAATTCAATCAATTCCCCTCATTGTCAATACCTGTACGTCAATACCAACTGCATGCAGGACAGCGGAAGAGCCCGCTAAATCGCCACATCACAGGAGGACGGGAACGCTAAAACAGCGCAAATGAGAAAGACAAACGTGCTCATCAGTGCTAAAAAAAATCTACGGGGAACAAGACCCACACATTGGCCCGTAGCGACGGAGGAACCAGAGCAACGAGGCAGTATGGCTCTCTGTTGGTGGGGCACTCAAATGTGTGAGGCTCCAGCCACTAGAAAGCAGGACACAAGTGGAATGTGCAAGGAGAAGCAAATGCACGCTAGTATATGCATGCCCGATGTCGACGTTGAGTAGAACGTTATCGATTGCCAAGCCCCACAGGAAGCATTTGGAATGAAGTAGGGGCAATGCAGCTGAAGTTGGCTGCGCATAGAACTGCATATGGAGAACACCTTGGCGAATAATAATTGTAATTCTTTCATCAAGTAAAATCGACGAAGATAGCTCACTGAAGAAAAGCAAGGAACACCGTCCATGGCGACAGGTGTTGTGATGCAAACGAAGCCGTGTATTTCCCTGCCTGCAAGTGCAACGCGAAAATTGCCTATGCAGCAACCAATAGGATTGCAGTTCCCCTCCCCACTTCACTAGACCATTTTGTTCTGTTTGTATTCGGCACTCATCAGTCTCAGAAGCCAGCACGTCTTCGGCTCCGTTTGGATCATGCACCTTCTCATAGGTCACTTGTCTGCACTGCAAAGGCCGCACAAGTGGTTTGGAGTTTGGAAATGTCTGTTGGACGCCAGTCTTGATAGTTCCACGCCACAAGCTTCTCGGAAATCCGGTAAAGGAAGGAAAAGCATTCCTTCGTGAGGCAAATGCAAATGGTCCTATCCACCTAAACTAAAACTTCTTCGTCTGTTCACCGGATGCACATCGTATAGCTTGTCAAGCCACCTGACCCAGGCCTCTAGGCTAATAGCACACAGCTGGACAACGCATGTCAGTTATGTGCTTTTTGTTGCTTGAGCTTTGAGCCTGTGTTGGGGTACACGAGCCAGCTGCTTTTTGAGTCTTTTGTCTGCAAAGAGTTGCCGGTGACCTCGGACCATTGGGCTCAAACATGTTCGTACAAAAGTTCCTTAGTATGAATCAGATGAGCTGCAGAACAACAACTGGAGAAATGTTCTGTCATAGTGTAAACTAAGTCACAAAGAGAAGTTGAAGCCAAACATCTGGATTTGTGAAGGCCCAGGGTCGCAAATACTATAGAAGATTACAAATGGTGCTTTTTGCCTGTCCTTCTGCCTGGGGGTGGTTCGCAGTTCGCAATATGGTCAAAGTGTACGCTTCGTAGGCACGCTACAAGCGCTAGCGAGCTTTGGATCCATTTGTGTAATGCTGTTCCCAGGTATTCTTTGAAGCTTCATGAGACGAGCTAAGAATAATAGAGCGACCTCCTGACCCATGTTAGAGCGGGGGCAAGGGATGAAAAGAGCAGATTTGCCGATCCTGTCAGCGTAAATACTATCCTGACACTTAACGTCAGGCAGTCCAGCAATGAAGTCTGCAGTCATCAGACCAAATCCTTTCTGGAGGCGGGATGCATTGTGGGAGGGCGGGTTCAGAAGAATTGAGTGGCTTCAGCTCCAGCCACTCAGGGCGGGTTGGGGATGTGAGTTTTTTGTCAGCTAATTCGCAAATATGAGGAATTAAAAATATCTGCCTCATAGCAATATTGTTCAGAAGCTTGAAGTCAACGTAGACGAGCCGCCGTCGGTTGTGTTCTTGGCAGCAATACTGACCTCCGCCCAAACCCGCTGGCCAATGCTAGCGTTTTGGTCATTTAAACACCTCCTGCCTCTACCGCTCAAGCTCTCCTTTATGCTGTGGGAGCTTTCGATACCGCGGAAAAGAGCTTGGAGCTGATCTAAGGATTAGTTTAGTACGGCGGTGCTGACGGCCAGCAGGTGGCCAGCCTACTGGAAGCTCTTCATTATTTGGCACCATTATGAACGCTCCTTTAAAACTTGCCTATGTCTGCGGTTCCGCTTCTTAATTATGCATCGAAAAGGTGATGAAGAAGCTCCTCTAGGAACAGTAAGACGGAATGCACGCTCACATCTGTCTTCCGGATTCGGACGAAGTGGCATTTGACTACCGTAGACATGCCATTCCTTGCGTTCTGCCGCCCGTCAGCAAATCTTAGTTTTAGGGACTGCGCCAAAGAGTCAACAGGCAGACTGCGTTCGGCGCATCATCTCGGATGATAGATCCACTTCATATCCTGTGTCAACTAAAAGCTAGCGATTGTTGAGATATAGAGTGAATTTGCAACGGTACATAATTGCTTTGTGGTGAGTCCACGAATACGCCTTTAACGTTTGTAGGCCATTCCATACGATGCAGCCAGCGTGGGGGCCCTACCGTTTCCCGATGTGTCTTCTTTGCCTGCCATGCAGCCTGCTTCCACTGGGCTCAGTCCCATTGTTCAAATCTTCGGCTTTTCGCATGCGTTCGCAGTTCGGGATTACACGACCGAACATCTTACAATAGAAGCAGGAGTATAGTCGTGGGACTTTGTGGGGCTGCCTAGGAGCATGATTTTCTCCGGCTCTTTCGCTACACGTAAGACTGTAGACTAGTGCAGGTAGACACAGTCCCGACATCCATAGACTCTAGCGTCTGACGACTATTCATTGTAGGCCAAATATGCAGCAGCTGGGAGCCTACTTGCTCTTGAAAGCTCAAGTCGTTCATCAAACGTGGAGATTCTACCGGCTGGGCGTTTCCTATCTAAGTCGTTGACCACCCTGTGCGAGCGCCTAACAAAACACTTCGCTGAGTTCTGAGACAAACCGCTGGTAAAGCGGCTGTTTGCCCACGCCATGGGTTTTGCCAACAAACGCCTAATAATTCTCTTCGTACCGATCGATCGATAGATTTCACCGCTTGAGATTTCGTCACTCTCCCCAAACCTTCTATTGAGCTGATCTCAATACAAACTTACGAGTCAAGGCTTGTATGAAGGCTTGAAATGTAGTGCTCCCTGCAAGCAGATGACTTCCTCTACATGAATCGGAGCTATCACTGAAGTGCTTTCCTCTCCACCAGTTAATATGTCGCACGTTGCATTTGTTCCTCTTTACCTCGCGGCTACAAAGCGAATTCGAGTTCCTGCCGGTTGACGGCACTTTGGAGAACTTGCTTACCACTACGGCCGTCAAGCATTTATGGTATCAGCACAGCTCCTTTGATGCTTCCATAAACCTTTGATCGACTGGCAAATCATGCACGCGTTACAAGCAGGCCTCTGAAGCCTCAGCAGGCGTTTCGCAAGTATCGCGTTCAACGCCCGACAAAATTTTCCGCCTGATGTCGAAAAAAATCAGATTATTGAGCTACCGAATAGCGTCATGAACCACCAGGGAGCTGTTTTAAGGATAGCTGACATCCCCCTTCATCCCCAGCCAGTGGGTTAGCGGGGAAGAGCTGCATTGAACCATGCGCTTGCTACCAACCGTAAAACTCCGAGGTCTCCTTATGAAGATACTTAACTCTATACCCTTTATACACTCGATAGAGAGCTGCAGAGTGTGTTTTCAAAGAGTGTCTTTATTTCTTTTCGTTGGTCTCTCAAATTCCCCGCATGAAGGAAGACAGGGTGCGCGTAGCTGCACCCTCCAACCACGCAGAGCATGTACAACGCGTTGCATGGAACATCTAGCTCACAGTTACACCACAATGCGTCCTTTGGTATCTAAAATGCGGCACTGTGCAGTAAACAAAATATACGAACGGACAAACCAAATAGCTATGTCTTGTTCTTGAATCAAGTATGACTAGCACTGTAGAAGATGCCTGCAAGTATAGCTTTGCCTCCTATTTGCAGTGCTTAGAAAGTGGCTATTGTACTGCGGCCCTTCGGCCACCAAGCAGGAGTATGCTAGCGTGGCAAACACGGAATATAAAGACGCATCTCTAAGTCGACGTGGGGCACGTGTAGTTAACCAAGGGAAATTTGGTTAAGTACAACTTCTGTAAGCATGACTGCAATAGAGCTTGTGCAACATCAACTCTTTGCTTTGTGTAGCTTAAGCTCGTATGTTCTTTTTATTGCAGATCACTGTACACCGGATACTTCAAGATGCATTAGGATGTGCGTGTGTGCTTAGACGCAATGTGCAACCTGCTGTATATAGTCGTGGTGCTTGCAGAGTTTAGTTGCAAGCACCATTGCTCTCCCACACCCCTTCTGTCGGGACACTAGGGGGCGCAGGCAGGTGAAGAAAGAGTCCTTTTAGATAACCACCAATAGCTCTATGTAGTTTGCATTGAGCTTGGAGAACTTGGACGCAGCACTACAGTTCAGCTATTTCATCATTCTCTAGTGTGGGGAAAGGCTGTCACCGCATCGTATGGGTGTAGTCAGTATTGATGAGCATGATGTCATTGATTGCAACTTTTGGTTAATGCCAGGAGTGATTCAGAGACTGTATCTACACGCATCTGCTCCGCGCTTCCTGCCAAGACGCAGTAACACTGTGGGGTGTTAGCTACGAGCAGGAAGAGTTCTACATACGACTCAAAGCTTTCTTATATCTAGTAGGGTTTGGGGGTAAATCGAGACCATCTGCCGCAAAAGCCTACCAAAACATTAAAAAGCTACGCATAATGCGAACACCAAAAGGGAAGTGCGTCGAGCTCAAAGATAGCCCCGCCCCACCAAAGGCAGATAATAACAGAAAGGCCGATAAGTAAAACCAGTTTTCACTCAAGTATACGTAGAATGCGATCTAACGCAGTTGCAACACTGAGAGTGTAGCTATATTCTGTTACGCACAGCGTCGGAATGGACGTCGAAGCTTTCGCGCGATTGGTTCTGCTCACAGGGAGCAGTGTTACGGGAATGCGGCGTGGGAAAAGCTATGTGTCAAGTAAACCATTATGAAAAGGCAGGAAAGAAACAGGCCCTTCAGCTGCGACGCGAAAGGCAAATCGGGAGGTGACAATGGTCCGTCCCAGCAAGTGGAGTGTTGGCAGTGCAAACCGGATTTTTTTCAACTACGTTCTTTTAGAGGGCAGCATTTTTGCATGGTATTGTTTTCCGTCATAAAATGGAATGGGTAAGGAGTACTCTATGTGGTGGGCAGAACTTCGTGCTGCTGCCGATTGTGTTCCATGGTCTGCCCGAGCCACAGGGAGCACCCCTCCTCAGACAAGCCCTCAATATTTGTGCGTTTCCTTCTTGCCTGTTGTCCGAATTTCTGAGTGCCAAAAGAACGAAAGACATAGTGCTGCATGATCGTCTTTCGTAATCCGGCTGCTCTGGATTCGTTGGCAATTCCCCAAGGAGTGTCAGGTAGTTGTGGAGCCGTTTGCTCGACGGGGTTGCATCGATCTGCGCCTCCCAGTGTAAAGTGGCTATGCGGATTCTAAAGTCCCTGTGCTTATTCGGGAGTGCGGCTGCTGGGCTAGTCGCGTATTCTGCTCAAACTCCGTTCCTTCGGGATATCCCAGGGAACCCGGAGTCAGACGGCAAGCGAAACGAAGGGAATGGCGAACTTCCCTCCTTAGAGAGGCATATAGGCTTCCCAGTTGGCTCCTTAGGATACATTTTACAACAGAGAATGGTGAAGCGGAGGAGAAAAGAAAAGGAAGGGAAAGCGGAAGAATTGGCGTCTTTGAGGCTCGAGGCATTGGTGGAACGCTTAATCGAAAACGCTGCAAGGGAAACAGCAGAAAATCACGACAAGAGCGAACCACCGAGCACGATTACTGGCCACGCTTAATTTGATTTCTTTGAAAGCAGCCAGGCAGTCGATTATCTGCCAAGGAGGCATTTTGTCTCGGTGTATTTCTCTCTTGATTGTCCCCGAACCTCCACCATCCCTATTTGCCGACCGTGGCCCGTCCTTTCTCCGTATATGTTTTCCCTCTCCATCTTCACTCTTCAGTCTCGATGTGGCTTCCACTCCGGCTTTTCATTGTCGCGTTTGGCAAAGGCCGTTCAAGGTTTCACATTCGCAGATGGAATAGACTAAAGGCGCCGGTGATGCACATCTCGTGGTCTCTTGTGCTTCTTAACTTTCCTATCCTTCGATTACTGTGCTAATGGGCTGCGCGACTGGCGGTTCTCCACTTGGAAGGGAGAAGCCTTTACATTGGCAGCTGATTTACAACAGCTGTACATGCTCTTCGTGATAGGCATGCATGCTTTCAGTTACTGGCATGGGCAAGCGGTGTACGTGATTGTGGCGCCGCCTTTCATTGGGACCTTGCATATGCCTATCAGCGTCTTCAACTTTACCTGGCCACCGAAATTCGTTCAGTAGTAGCCAATGTGCTGCAATAATTGTAGTGTTAACATATTTGGGGGAGAGAATACGAAGTGGAATGATGAACTGTTATATGTGTATATAGTTGTTTTTGTGTGCTGTATACGTTCGTTCTACCCGATACTTTGCGCTATCATATGTTTTCAATTCCACCGCTCCCTGGTTCTTCGTTTTCTTTATCAGTGTGACCTACGTTTTCTACCTGGTGCCTCAGCAGAGAGGCACAGGCGGCTGTGCAGCCGTCCAACTTATTGCTCTCATTCCTTATTTGCCGACTTCTTCTAGACGCCTGATTCATTTAGGTCTTTTAACCTGATTTCCTAGGACTGAGGGGAGAAACTGAGGTTTAGTTCTACGGCTGAAAGCTGCAGTCTCAAAAACAGCCAGCCATTGGACGCCATCAAGACTCGCACCTCCCTACAGCAGTAGCTCGGTAGAGAAAAGCTCACCTTGTGTCTCAAAGTCGATAGGGCAAGCTAGTGCATTATCAGGAGTTTTGAGGCCATCCCATTTCCAAAACCACAGGGGGTCGCTCTCCCGCATTCTGTTTCCAGCCCCCACCGGTACGCGCCTCATCATTCCCGACGTCAACCGGCTTCCTCCGAGCAACGTCGAGCACTCATAAAAAGGGAGATGTGTAGGACTTAGCCCAGTAGCCCGTTCGAAAAGAGGCGCTCGACAATTGCGTAAGGGTGTGGAGAGTTACGTTGTACCCCACAGGCGTGGGTACTCGTGCAACTGAGAGAAAGTTTGGTAGGCCTTTGTGCAAACGAAAAAGGCGAGGCATCACCCGTGCATTCCCTTGGGTCACGTCGTCCATTCCACGTCGAGCTGACGCAAGCGAGTTCTTGAGCGTGAGACTTCCTCGCTGAGGTTTCTCCAGGGGACTTGACAACTATTTTCCAATTTAAAATGCTTTAGCTTTCCTAACCTATACGGAAAAAAGATAATGACTGCAGTGGGAAGAGGAGGTATGCGTGGCCAGCACACGCAGGACCACTGGTATATTTTGTATCGGGTGGGTCTGCTTGGCCGTGCGTCGGAAGGAAAACGCATGAAGTGCACCATGCATGTGTCTGCTTATGCTCCCTAACTGCTTCAAACTCTGGAAAGTTATAATTGCGAAGATGTGTAGGGGGACGCAGACTTCGGGGGTCCCTGGCCAATCGCCATTGTCGCTGAGAAGACCTGCTAGCGTTACCAGCCGTGGAATTGAGGCGAAAGCAGCAACGGGACGAACGACAGCTAACCTTGAATAATGCACCAATGCTTGAAGGCTTTTGAAGCAGGGAAAAGCAGAGCTGCTGCTTGGAAGAGTTTACGAAAGCAGCTGCCCATGCCACTCCACTGGCGCTGGCGGTTCCCCACCCGAGCACCTCGCCTCGTCCAAGGGTTCCTTGAGCGCTTGCTGGCTTAGCTGCCGAGCGAACTGTGCCATTGCACAACCTTTCACCTCCATCATAGTGACTCGTTCTGATTCGTTTGGGCTGTTATTCTTACAAGACGAATCCTCTCCGGTCGGTCTTTGTGCCTCGGGATCAGGAGTTTGCTGAAACCCCTTCCTTCGACCCGCTGTGTGATTATGCACCTGTTATTGCAATTAATACTGAAGTACTGATTGCTTTCTCTTAAGCTCCTACTCTCTCCCGTGAAAAGCAGCCTCATCGAGCTCTCTTTATCACTTTGCGTGGATTTGATGATGTGCCAACACGCTTGTGAACTGCCTCGACTCAGAGACTTTAGATTTTCTCACCCATCCCCATGTTATATCCCTCTTTCATGGGTTTAAATGTGCATCAAGTTGCATTACATCGGCACAACGCGGTCTAGTTTATTGTAATCGTTCGTGCCTTCTGCCTGCTGCTATACTTGCAATACAGCATCGTAGGTTTAGTTGTTCACTTTCATGTTTGCTGCATGTTCTGCGCTTTAGGTTTTTCTCCCGTATTTGTGAAGATTCTGTCTAGCTTACCACAAACGATCGACGATGTGGCGCCCTCAGGTTGTATACCATGTCACCGCGGTGTGCTCTCTGTTACTTCTTCTCTCCCAGAGTTCTAACGCATCTGAAGGGAACAGTATCTCGCACGCAGGTGTTCTTGATTCAGTAATAAAACCTCATTCTCAACAGCATGGCCTACGACGTGAAGAGGGCCCACTTGAAGGCTCGCAAGCTTTAGTGGAGCAACAAGCCCGGGGAGGGGCAAATCAATCAGACGAAGATGTAGAGCTCGAATCGAGCGAGCTCAACGCTGGCACGGAGACAACTCCCAGCGAACATTCGAACGAAGAAATTGGACAGGCGCTGGAGCGGTTTCTGACAGTGGAAAGGGAAGCACTGGAAGAGCTACAGGAACAGCTTGATGCGTCTTATGAAGGAGAGAAGCCTAGCGGAACCGCTAACTTCCTGCAGGCGAACAACGTGGAGACACCCCTTGAGGTGTCCAATACGCAGGCTGAGTTGCCTGGCCATAATACTAGCGCTGACAGGTTTGATGGGACACAGGGAGAAGAGGAACAGGAGGAACAGACGCTAGAGAGTAGACGTCATGCTGGATCGAGGTTTAAAAGGTTTATTGACAAAGCAAGAGATAGTGCAAAGCATGCCCTTAAAAAATTGAAAGCAGAAGGTCATAACCTGGCAGAAAATGTAGAAGATATGGCGCACGATGCCAAGAAAGGACTGCGTAATGCTTGGGAAAAAACTAGTGACGCGGTTAAACGGGGTTTGAAGGGTGCGAAATCACGCTTAACGGATACCGTTTCTCGGATTAGAGACAAAATGCATAATGAAGGGAAAGAGGGTGCAAACGCAACCGACGAGGAAAGTGGTCTTACCCACTCAACAGCAGAGAATTAGCCTAGCAGTGGCACGCAGAAGCGAGACGTTCAGCAAATGGAAGAGGAGCAGCACGCATGAGAACACATTTTCCCCTGATGAGCTGCGGAAGATCTACCACGTGGATTCTACAAGTGGTGCGCAGAGGGAAGTTTCCCAGGAAACAGCTTCCAGGGGGTCATCATATTTGGGCCGGAGGCAGAAGCGTAGGCTGTCTTTGTGGCTGCTTCCCTTTACAAAATATGAAAGAGTCAAACGGTTTTGTATCGATAAATGCAATCCAACCGCTAGCGGGCAGTGCAAACGTACTCACAATTCAAAGAAATGTCGAAAAGGCAGCAGTCTTAGCTTGTGCTAATGACTGCACACTGGCAGTGGGACAACGGCCTGAGGTAGCAGGGGTGTTGCATGGCAGTTTTGAGAAGCTCAAAGAACAGAAACAAGACATGAATGAAGTCTATCCTGTGCCGCCCCACTTAACGTGGTGGAAAGTGCACAGATGTTGCAGCAATCACATTGTGATGGCCGGCGTTCCCTGGCTTAAGACGTGCGGTTCTTGCCTGTACGCTAACTGCTTTTTGATGCTCCATGCAACTTCTTGTGCTGTGTAGGCACTTTTATACAACTTGCAGCTTTTTGGCTCTTCAGCATGTGGAGAAAACAGCAAGAAGCCAGAGGGAAGTAGAAATCCACGACTTGGTGAGTATTTGTTTGTCGTCATCCACGAAATCAGTCACATGGTGGCACTAAGGACAGGCATTGGTAGGACTTGCAGGTAGATTTAGAGTCTGCATATCTGCAGGTGGCGCGGACTAGCTGCTTTTTGACCGTAAGTAGTATTAATAGAAATTCAAAGAGAAGATTGCAGGGGGGGGGCCGAGATTAGAGGAAGGAGGAATGTACAAGGCACAGAAATGGTAACTAGGGATTCACTGTATTAGATCGCACATGGGAATGGCTCACTTCCAAGTCACCGAGCTCTAGCAAGACTTCGACTGCAACGAATAGCACAAGGACGGAAATAGCAGCTGCTTTTGTACGTTATCCCCTTTATAGTTTGCCGCTGGCGAGCAGCACGCTTCGGATGGGCACGAGGAGCAGTATTTATAGGGCACGAATTTTAAGGTGGGAGCAGAATAGACTAGCCACAGTATACGCAACAACCCTACTTGTAGGGGCCTTTGTAGCAAATTAACGCTCGCTCTACTCACAAGTTGGACTGCAAACAACAGGTAGACGATGCAAAGCTGGAAAGCGCTGAGTGCAATGAAGCGTCTGGGGTCAGTAGAGGGCGATAACTAGGGGACAGCAAATCTTGACGTCAAAGCATAGAGTGTTCAAGGTGACGCAACACAGGGGAGTTAGCCCTCGAGGTGTAGAGAAACAGAGGCGTGTGTTGCTGGAAGGGCGTGGATCGTTATTCCCGAGCTTTACAGGAACATATCACTGCGTAAACCTGCAAGATAACCGCGTTTTGCACGGGATGAAGCTTGAAATTACACCAGATCATTATCCGCTTGTTGCCCTATATTCTGGATCAAACCTTCTGTGCATGAGCAACCAAGTTCATGGATCTAGAAGAAGGCGGGAAACAGCTTGTGTACTCCCGTCCTTTCAGCGTGGATGGTTATGGTGGATTTCGCCCATTGCTGACATGCCTGCCAATGGAAGCACTGTACGCAGCTTTGTCTCAAAAGAGGTCGGGTGTTGCTAAGCCACCTGTTGTCGCCTCAGGCGCAAAAATCTCGGCTTCCAAAGGGCCCATATCCTCCAGCCTAATGCGGTCAGCAGCTGATAACTCTCGCGCACACTCGCCCTTACATGCAGCCGCAGGCAAGCGGCCGACCAACTTCCCAATAAAGCCTGCAGTGCGCTACACAAGTGCAAAATGACACGTGTTTTATCTGGCTCTAGCTTGGGGAACAGACGATCTGGGCGGGCCCTCTAACTAGTGGGCTGTATGCGGTTCTTGGGCTATTCTTGGAAGACTATATGCCAGCGTTGCAGATATAGGCATATATATATATATACATCTATATGTACACATGCATATACACTTCATGCTTACATCTACAAGTAATGCCCAAACGCAGGCGTATCTGTGAAGGCGTCAAAAACGTCCAAATAAAGCTGTCGAATGACGCGCATCTGTTGATACCGATGTTCTGAATATCGAAGTGGGTACATATTATGTGTATTAGTTTTAAAGCCATGCCGGAGTTGCCTTCGTGCATGCCTGCCTGCCTGCCTGCATGCATGCACGGGTGGGTTGGCGGACGAGTAATCGCACGGGGCCCTTGGGTTTGCGTCTGGCTCCTCAGTTTTCAACCGTATCCTCTAAGAGACTAGGGCAACCACAGAGCCGCGGGCTGCTGTTGCTCAAAACTGTATCCTGAAAGCAACAAGGTGCCTGGAAAGCATGTTCTAGCTAAGCGTCTGAGTGGCATAGCTCCCTGCAACTGCCCCCCTGGTGCGGCTCCGGTCAGTATCTCGTGGGAACCTGCGGCAAGCAGCCTCCGTTGCAGTGCTAGATCCTTGTGTTCCCTGCATTCTCGAGCTAGAGCTGATGAGAACCGCAGGTAGGCTGTAGAGCCTCGCCTAAACAGCAACAAGAGTTCCTGGAGCTCTCCGTGCAAAAGGTTGCATGTGTGGGGGGGAAGGCGGGGGGCCTTAGACTTCTTGAGCATTTATTTCCCAGGGCTGCTTCGCAGAGATTCCCACGCATACGGGACGAAATCGAAGGCTTTGGCGTTGGCTTGCTGCTTCAGCTGGTCAATGGTTTGCTGCATCAAGGGTTTGCTGCGCACTGGAGCCTCCGCCGGTCCTACATCGGGAGAGAGCGCCGTAAATTGTTTGATAAGCTGCGGCTGTACTTCGTAACGAGGGGCCCCCTGGGCGTCGGTCGTGAGCAGAAGGTGGGGCCCCCCCGGTCTATTGCATTCGCGCATCAAAAGGAACTCCTTCGAGCATACAGAAGCATCTGGACGCCTGCAACGCAGCGCAAACATCGGCGGGGGAAAAAGATTAGACGGCATTGGCGTGGTAAGGAATAAACGATAAAAGACGCGCGAGAAATGGAGGGTGCGTTGTAGTGAAGGCCCTGCATTACATATACATGTACATGTATATATATATACATATATATATATATACATGAGACGAGGAGGACACACGCATGCATGTAGGGTTGCAAGCTGTGCGCTAGCTTCGCAGGATGCCCATAAACAAACACACAAATCGGTGCCCGTAAAATGTGGCGACCTCACAATCCCAACATAAGACAAAAAAGGGCCAAACGGTTCAACAACTGAGAGCGGGTGTACAAGGCTTACCTGGCGCATTTCATGAGGTTGTTTGTTTCGTCTATGCAGTAAGAAATATTCAGACTGCGAGATGCAAACACACAGACACAACACACTCAAACACACAAGGCATCTGTAGACTCCGTGCCTGCGAGGCCAAATCTTCGCGGGACGTAGACGCATTCTCATAAAAGACAGAAAAAACTGTTTCCCTGCAATATTGGAAGAAAAGAGAGCATTTTGACGTTGCAGCAGAAGTGTTGGCAAAAGGGAGAACCGGCAACGGCAGCAGCCACACAAGGAGATACGCGTTGGCGTTCCTGTTGCAGAAACATGGTTCTCTGCTGACCAGGGCACCATGCACACATGGCGATACAGATTCGCATATGCAGTCCAGGAGGCACTAGCAGCATGAGAAAGGTTCAAGAAAGACAGTGCATACAAGGAACTCGGTCAGGCATAAGGTACAACTGCACAGATCGTGTGGGGTGCTGTAGCGCCTCTGTACACCGAAGCCGCCGTCTCCCCCATTCGCTGTATACGCGTGCTTGCTTGCCCCCACCAAGTCCAAACCTTGCTGCTGCACACGCTCAAAATGCGAGTGAACGCATGCTAAATTACCTTTTCTCGCAGGCGCGTAGCTTGGGAACGTAGTCAGCGCATTTTCGGGGGTCTCTGTTGGAGGTGGCCAGACACTGCTTGTACTCACTATGAATCGACTGGCAAGAAGCCTGAAGGTGCTGCTCTCGCGTCATTGTGGCGTGCGAGAAAGTGTGAAAGACAGCCTGGGGGGCGCGCTGTTGAGGTGTACAGACTCGGCGGTCTTGCCGCGGAAGGATGAGTCTTGCGCCGCTGTACGTGTTTCCACGGAAGGACTTACGTTTGCTCTGCCTGCCTCGCACGCCACTGCGGAGACAAAAGCAGCGGTAATAATGTTGATGCTGAGGAAGAAGGTGGGACGAATGACTCGCACCGAACGCTGGGCACCGAGAGCAGTGATGCATGCCGCGCACACCTGAAACTCCTTGGCTCCCCTTATGCCTTTTCGCACTTAAAAAGGCCAAAGGAACCATTTAAATGAACCCGCCTTGAATCTAAAAGCGTGTGGTTCAGCTCGCCCAGGGAAGCTGCGGCACCATCACGCCGACACTCCCGCAGCAGCTGCTGCTGCTCCTGCTTGCAACTTTGCGCAAGGCCGTAGTGGGCGCTGAATTGGGCCTTTCGCAGTGCTCTCAGCTGCATATCCTTTGCCAATAATCCGCATTCACAGGTCTTGGCTTCATTGCTTTTGAAATTTCCTGCTTAATAAGGTTTACACTCTATAAAGTACCGAGCAGCTCCCCGGAGGTCCTCGGCAAAGGGGGGCAAACCACTTGAAGCAGCACAGCGGGAGGTCCATACACCGAGGGATACACATATGGACTTTCCCGCATATATGCCGGTGGTACGGCAAGTCTCTTTAATTTCTCTTCATCTGCTATCTCCAAGCTTGATAGGATCACTCTCTGGCTATCCATCTCTAACTCCGAAAAGCGCCTAATCAAGTAGCATTGAGGCCTTGCTGTGGGGCAGCAGAGGCCCTTTCAACAAGGCCCGCTTTCGACCCCCTCCAACCCCACTACTACGACTCCTTCTTCTTCTACCCGTATCCCTGCTCCTTCGGCTCCTTCCTTCCAACTTCGCTCAATAAAGTCTCAGCGAGCGGCTATCCCCGCGCTTACCGTCGGCATTCCCTGCCCGCATCCAGTCACCGAGCCTGGGGGAACCTCGAAAGGGGCGACCTTCTGCGAAGGCCCTAAGGGGGCCCCTCGCTTCTCCTTCTAGTGGCCTTGCCGGGGGAAAGCCTCCCTCACCTGCTGGCTGTTGCCGGGGGCTTATTGCTGAACAGGCAGGATGCTGGCGTCTTCGGGGAAATCCTCAATGAAACAGCAGCAGCCAAAGCAGAGGCAGCTGGAGCAGCAGCAGCAGAAGCAGGCCAAGAGCCTTCTCGACCTCTTCTGGGAATTAGCAGTTCCCTCTCCGCGCGAAAGGACGGAGGCAGCTTGCCGCTTGGTGCGCCATGTGCTTCAGGAGGGGCCCCCTGATGCTGCCGATGCCGCGGCAACGCAAGCCAAGGGGGCCCCTCCGGGAGCTGACCAGCTCCCCGGGGTTGCTGCAGCGGATGCGTACAAAATGAGGCCCTTTATCAAGCCTTCTGCTGAAGAAGAAGGCGGGGCAGTGCCCTACGATCTCCAGTACGCCGCGAATCGGCTGGTGAGTTCCTAACTAGGCAGCTAGCTACACAAAAGGTAGAACCAGCGATCCGAAAGGGGGCCTCAGATTCGTGTGTCTCCTAGCGTCATTGAAACGCGCTGTACAAACTGGCTTGTCAAGGTTTAAGGCGTTCGATTTCATGCTGCACAGGAGGCTGCATTTCGTGTGGTACTGCAGTTTCAAGGCCTCGCCTCCCCCAATGCAACCGCGCGCGATTCGTACGCGCTGACGCTGCTCCTGTTGCTGCAGCAACTGCAGCAACTGCAAGACCAAAGGGCGCACCCTCCGCTAGGAGGGGGGACTGCTCGAGCCGATTTATGCGCTTTTGCCCATAATATACGCCGTGTCTTCTCTGTAAAAGGGGTGCCACTCTCCGAGCTGAAGCGAAACCACCTTGCGCGATGTTTGGCTACTTACATCCTCGTAGGCCTTGGCTTCTTCAGACGCAAGCAGGTAGGAGCTCGCTCTTTTTAGAGGCATATACATGTATATATGTGTACATAGAGATCTCGCTGAAAGCCTCTTTTCTGAGCTGCATTTCGGCGAACGCTGTGTCTTCTCTGCTGTGTATCGAAAGAGGCCTAGTATACACGCATGTGGCCTCGCATTCTTCTAGCCGCTTGTAGGAGAAGCATGAGTCTCCTATGCCCTCGTTCATCCCCACACACTCTCTGCTTTCCGCTTTAGGGGCGGGGGGCTTCCTTCTTCTCTGTTTTTCTGCATGACTTCCTAGACAGTGTCAGTCACGGCTTCGCTACGCGTCCGCCTAGCTGTCTAGGAGGCGCTCATGCCAGTTCGCTCTTCGTGTGGCTGTGGCTGCTGCCTCCGTGCAGAGTTTGCCAGAGGTGCCAGAGACGTTCGAGATGCTGTTTGAGTGCTTCAATGCAAAGCTGCACCTTCAGGAAATCTCAGGATGCCTCATTGTTCAAGTCACGAGGCAGCTCGCTCAGTAAGCAACCAGCCCTCACGAGCATGTACGGCCTTCTGCGGCTGCCTCGGCAGGCGAGATTGTCGACGTGAAGAGGCGCTGGTTAAGGAATATAACGCATTCACGGACTAATTCTCGCTAGCACGGCACAGACGCTCCCTGCAGTTAGGGGGCTCCGAGTGTAGGAAGGCTGTGGACTTGTGGGCCTGCTGTTGTATACATATATATATATTTATATACATGTATATATGTACATATACATGTATATAAATGTATACCTATAACGGCAGGCACATGTATGTGTATTGCCTGATAGTCTACGCTCGCGTCAGGGAGGCGCAGTAGAGGCGAAGTACACACCAAACACGGAGTGAGAGAGAGAGAGACTTCTCTGTGTGTATGTGTGTGTTGTGTGTGTATGTGCCTGCCTGCCGTACAGGGGGGGTCAGGGGGCTCTAGGCCTCCAATGTTGCGAGCGGCGCCTCCGTGGACTGGTGTCCAATAATCAGCTGGTTTGCCCCTCCCCGAATGACAAGAAGGGCGTTGGTATGGATCTAGGGAAAACGGCAACTGGACGCTTGCCGTATTCGCTTCTTGAGGTGTACATACGGCTCCAGGCTGAGGCAGAGGAGGGCCTGCTGCCATCTGCTAGCTGGCTCGCAACGAATCTCTTCTCGCGTAGGCAGGCACTTCCCAAGACACGGGGGCATACTTAGGGCGTGCCGCTTTTGCACTGTGTTTAGGCAGATCATTCTTGTAAGCTCTCCCAACCCTTTGGTTGTGGCAGGCAGGGTCCTTCTTCGTGCAGCTGCCTCTTTTCCACGAGGAGGGGAGAAGAGGGGGTGAAGGCGGCCTTCTGGAGCGCTGTTGCCGCTTTTCACACATAGCCTCTCCTTTTGTGCACTATTGCATGCAGCCCAAAATTTACCAGCGCTCGTCAACTTCCTCGTGGACACGGCGGGGGCCCACCCACGCCTCCACGGACTATGGGGAGCCGTCATGCGGCTCCTGCTTTTGCAGAGGTATGCATGCGAATTGACGACTACGCCAGCCGGCCTTGCAGCTCTCCTTCCCTCTCAGCCTGTGGCACTGGCTGCTTAAGCCTCTGCGCCTTCCGCCTCCCACAGCGTGCCTCGTGCATGGATGCCCTCAGGAGGTCTGGAAGATTCTCGAGCTGTGCGCCTTCTGCTTGCCTCAGGCACGCTCTGGAGACCTTCAAGCACCTGTGGACTGCCATAGATGTACAGCTTTTTCCGCCGAAGACGCGGGGAGCGCATGCTGCTCAGAAGGCTGTAGAGGGGCCAGAAGGCGGGTCGTACAGGCCCGCAGAGCACCATCAGAGCTTGCAGAATGCGTTTGTCGGCCTTCGTGCGGCTTTGCTGGTTCTGTGGTATATCAAGCACAAACTGGTGGCAGGGGGAGAAGGTCGAGGGGGAGGTGACAAAGAGGGAGCGGAGGAGGATAGAAAGGCGCAGCTCCAGCAAATGGCCGTTGCCGTGTTCACGGAGGGCAAGGGCTTTCTGAGGGTCTTTATCGCCCACTTGGAGTGTACGTACACCTCGGCAGGTTGTGCTGCCGCTGTTGCCGGTTGAAAGGCGTAGATGGAGGGAAGCCTAGGGAGAGGGACGAAGGGCGGGCGTGATTCTTTGATCTTTGCCATTGCGGTCGCAACTCTGCTGGTTATCGCGCAAAGCAATTCGAAGGGTCTGTCTGAAAAACCAGCGTAGCAAGGGACAGCGCGTTCTCTGTTGCAGAGAGCATAGCCTGCCTGAGCAGGCTATGCTCTCTGGTGCTGTGTGTGCTGCACGCTTCTATTGCTTTCGACTCCACGACTTTCGGCTATTGTGTCCTATTAAGGATGCTCTGGTGCACGGCTGTGCGGTGTTGGTGGTGTCTGTATACAGCTCCTAAAAGCCCCCTCCATGCAGTAGCGCGTTTCTTTGCCGAGCGTCTGGAGGAACTCTTTAGTCCGCAAGGGCAGTTGGCTGCCTCGCGAGGGCACCCTCTATCTATAGAGGCCCTTGCAGGTGCAAGAAGTGCTGCAGGCAACGGCCGAGACACGCTGCGACTGCAGAAGCTGCCCCTGGTTTGCAGGCTCAGCTGCGGCTGTCACACAGATCCTTACATGCACGCGCTTTTGGAGCCGTTGCTGGGGGATGTTTCGGATGAAGGCCGGCATTTTGCACGTAGGTGGCTTGTAGCTGTCGCGGCGAGTTTGCGGGAAGCGCTTGTCGTTGCTGCTGGTGCCGCTGTCGGCGCCTCTGCCACTGTGCCCGGCGGAAAGGGGCTGGCGTCTGTGGGGGACGTTGTATCGACCTCGTGTGGACGCTCAGATGCGCGACTCTCGCTACATCCTGCGCGTAGCATTTTAAGTGATAGTGTATGACGCAGGGCCTTGCGTGGGTTTTATGCAGAATTCGGCGATGATTTTTCATGCCTGAGATCTCCGCTGCCTCTTACTCCCGAATCGCGTGTCGCCCTGTTGCTGGCCTTCGGCGCTGCTTGCTGGTTTCGTCCCCTAAAGCGGCAGTCCCTCTGGAGGTGAGCAGAAAGAGACACGTCAGTCCCTGCAGAGTCTGCATCGTCGTGCACCCGTGCAGTCGGGCAGTTTTCCAGCAGCAGCAGCACAGGAGTCGCGCGCATGCAGACCGGCAGGCAGACGAGAGGAGAGACTTACGACTAGGCTGCCGAGAGACATATGCCCGTTGTGGACCTAAGTCTTGTGTGTTGGTTTGTTGGGGGGGTAGGGTTTTGTGCACCCGAGGGACTATTCATCAGTTGATTTGACTGGGCCAGCTGGAGCTGGTCGGTGTTGTCTGGGGAAAATGATAAGAATCGCCAGGGCTCATTCATAGGCCATATTCATAGGCCCTTAGAAGTGCAAGGGTACTGCAGGGGAAAACGCACTGGGCGTTATCTAGCTGCCTGCGTGTCGTCTGTTGCTGTGGCTGCTAGTCAGGATTTAGTCTGCGCGTTAGGGCAGCCGAACGACATTGCCTTTCAGGGCGTGCCGCTTCCCCAGTGGCGATATACGTGGTGCTGCACAGGCAGTTTCTGCTCCCTGAGTGCTTTTACGGGGGCCCCCTTCTTTCGTCGCTCGACTTGTGATTGGTCCTTTTGCCGCGCGGTTCGCTGCTCAGGTTGTGTAGCATTTGTTTCTTGTCCGCTGATGCTGAGCACTTCGAGACCCTCGCCAAGCGGCTCGTGGCAGCCCTCAATGGGAACGTGGCGACACAGAGCGGTCCTTCCGAGGTGAGGCACCTTGAAGTTCGCGTTTACTGCTTCTTGCACTGATTTTGCCCTTTTTCATGAGTGCTGCGCAGCCCATCGTCTGCGGCGGGCAGGGGCCAGGGGCCCCTATTTGCCGCGTTTTGCTTGTGTTTCTTCCCTCAACCGCTCTACTCCCTCCATCCAAGTGTCGTTCTGTGCTTCCCGTTGTTGCCTCAGGACCACCAAGGCTTTGCCAGGCGCAGAGCTTCCTGGCTTATCGACTGCCTATTGCTGCTGCCGCAGCTGCCGCGCCTGCAGCACGGGGAGGGCAGCCGCGTGCTCCTGCCGGACTGGTTCTTAGCTGCTGGTCTGTGCTCCTCCTTCTTCTCCGTTGCGTGTGGGTCGTCGAGGACGGGAGCGGCCTCGGAGAATCCCCCCGTTATGGCGATGGTGGTGGATCGCACCGAGCTGCCTTCCTTACCCCACGCAGAGCCGCCAGAGGGAGTGGAGGAGGAGGCACTGCCGTTCGATCCAGCGCAACAAATGCCGCAGCTGTTCCTGTTTGGCTCGGGGGACGCTGCCAAAGGAACGCGTCCTGAAGCTGCTGCTGCAGGAGCTGCTGCTGCAGCGCGTATGCGCATGCACGGAAAGATATGCCAAGTGCTAGGAAGTGCATGCAGCAGTGCCATGGAGCGGTACACCAGGGGCCCTCTCGCAGGGGCCTCGGCAGGAGATTCCGCGGACTTTGTGCAGCAGCTGCACAGGGCGCATGCATTGGTTTATAGCCTGTGGCGTAGGGGAACTACTGCCAAGGCGGGGAAGCCTTGGCTGGAGCTGCAGGCAAGGGCCCTCAGCCCGGTGGAGGGGCAGCGCGAAACGAAGATGAAGGCAAGAATCGCTGCAAGCGACAGTCTCTCCGCATTGATTGAAGGGGGATCTGAAGAGCAGGAAAAGCTCTTCTCGTTTTGCTTTTTTGCGTCACAGCAAGGAGCTGCTCTGGCAGCAGCTGCAACCAGGACGCCGCCGCTCATCCACGAGCAGGTGCACTGTGGATTTAATGCAGCAGCCCATGTATTGGGTACTGCAACATGTGCGCTATCTCTGGTGCCGTATCTGCCGTCTGTTGGGGCTGATGGAATGGGCGAAGGGGAAGAAGACGGAAGGGACGATCTGTTTGGTGCCTCAGCTGAGCAGGATTCACAGCCGGCTGCTGCTGCGGCGGCGGCAGCTGCACGTCGGGAAGAGGCGGAAGAGGCCCTGGAAGCTTCCGTGCATGCGCTGCAGCAGCTGCTGAAGCTGGTGCCCCCCATTTATGCCTTTTTGAAGGAGGGCAACCCTGAGAGCAAGGAGGCTGCGGTTTCTGCGCAAGCGAAGGCGGCGGCAGTGAGCTGTACGCTGCTTCTCTTAGGCGGAAATTCGGCAATTAGCGGACTGCTTCGCGAAATCGCCGGAGCCTTGTGGAGATCGCTTTGCTGCTTCGCAAAGCGCAAGACCCTCTACAAGCTTCTCGCCGTTGCCTCAGCGTCCTCGGGGGGCCCCCAGGCGGGGGAGCAACACTTTCAAAACTCTAAAGAGACAGATAGTGCCAATGGGGTTGAGTTAGCCAGTGAAGAAGCAAGCACCTCTTCTGCAGACAGTGGAGAGGAAGATCCTTCGGATGATGAGGACGAGACGGCAGCAGCAGAAGAAGAAGAAGAAGACGGAGAAACAACGAAATATTGCGCGAAGCGTTGTGCTAGAAAATCGCAGGCGGCGTTGGAGGAAGAAGAAGGTGTCGAAGTGGCGGCGTCTATGGACGAGGACGGAGACCCCTCGGCAATTGAGCTTTCCCCTGAAGCAGCACTGAAAGCACTTGCTGATGAGATGGCGCTACCCGGTGAGCCTATACACACGTGCGCGCTGAATGTCAGGGGGGAGGGTGGGGGTTCTAAATTTGGGCAATTATGACGCCTGTGATTATTTCTTCGCCATCCGGTTCGCTGCTCTCTCCTATGAGTAGGCCAATCCCACGAGCGGTCACAACGCTGATCGATACAGGGCATAGTTCCACTACCTCTAGGGCGTATATGTATGTATATATATATACATGTATGCCTATGCATATATGTATATATATATGCATATCTATAAACGTATGTTTGTGTGTATGTGTATCGTATCTGTTTGTGCCCGCTACCAGGTGCGTACTGTCCTCCTGGGGGGTTCAAGCAACGCGGCATGCTATCTCAAAGGAAGCTGCTCTTACGGCAGCGGCAGCGATTAGGCGAGTTGCGGCTAAGGGCTCTGGCGGCGCTCCAGGTGTACGTGGATAGCAACAGTCGCAGCGTTTTGTCTCTTGAGGTGCTGACCGGTCTGTTTGCTGCTTTCAGTAGGGTGCTGGTGCAGGCCGCGCAATCCAGACAGAGACAACAGAAGCTTGCTGTGTATGATGACCTTGCAAAGAAGATTAAAAGGGCCATTGAAACGGCGCTCAATGCTGTTGCTCAGTCCTGGCACGCCCCAGCAGAAGGAGCTGCCAGGGGGTGTGGTGATGGCAGCAGAACGAAGCACCAGCGCAAGTCTTCAGCTATTGTTCTCTGCTACCAGTCTCTGCAAGAGCAGCGACTGCTCTCCCTTCTTGCGCCTCCTGCTTCTGCCAGTTCGAGCATTCGCAAGAGAAAGCAAGCGGCGGCAAGGCCGCAGGTGTCGTTGCCCCCCCTCCTGCCGTCTCTCGAGGAGAAGGACCGCTTGCGCTGCTTGCTGGAAGGACTGAGCAAGAATCCTGCTGCCGCTACATCGGACAGTGGCGTGTGTCGCATGGAGGTGGCAATGGGAGGCTTCGGGGATGACGAGCAGCGCAGAGTCATCGGGTGCTCCCTGTGGGTAATGCTGGCGGAGTTGATGGGAAGTGTGCTGCGTTGTTGCAGCCGCAAATTGCCATTGCAGCTCGCAACACAAAATCAGTCGCTTGGAGTAGAGATGCTTCTAAGGATGCACAAGCTTGAAAGCCACGTAGATGCGTATTGCGGGCTCGTCAAAGAGATGCCTTCGCCTGCCAGCCAAACGGCAAGGCTAATCTCAGCGCCCTCCGTAGTACACCCTTCTATCCTTTCTCAGTTCGTTGCAGTATCGGTTGCAGCGCGTGCCAGACTCCGTCGCTGCCATTTGGGAGGGCCTTTCTTCATGACTGTGGCAGAGCGACGGCCGGATGCCTTTTATAGCTGCGATCTTTTCGAGTCGGCGCGCGTGTCTCGCTCTCCTTTTGTTAGACGCGAATTGACACAGGTGGCCTTGCAGGTGTGCAGACGTGTCGAGACGGCTGCGCTTGCGGACGCCGCTGCTGCTGCTGCTGTGGCAGCTGCTGAAGAGGGTCAACATTCGCAGCGCACTGTCAACAGGCAGTTTATCCTGAGCTGCCTTCTCACCAAAGGGCACGCTGCAGATGGCGAAGTGCTCCCACACGTTAGGGGAGCTGCTGCAGAGGCTGCTGCTGTCCTTGTATCAGGGCAGCAGGCTCTCCCCAAGCAGGCGCTGCGTTCTCTGGCGGATTTCGCTGTCTACAGCTTGCGGGGACTACTGGAGCTACTTAGAGACATCGCTACAGCGACGGTAATGCCAACCCCCCCGCAGCAAGAGGGGCCAGAGGACCGCAAGACGCATGCGAAGCAGAGGAGGCAGCAGAAGGCAGAGGAACAAGAGACAAACGCGCTGGATGAGGCTGCGACGTCTTGCCTCTTCAGCAGCGCTGCTCAGAAGCAGATGGCAATCCGCGAAGAGATGAAGCACCTCCAGCAGTTGCTGCAGATTTTCCTTCGTCGGTCTAGACCCCAGTCCAATGTCTCCGAAGAGAACGTCAGACAGTTCGAGGCATTTCCGAAGAAGCTGCAAGTCACTCTCGGCCGCTCTGTGGAGGAAATTCTGCAGCAGGCTGCCGCAGCAGCAGGCGACAACAAGTCGGAGCGCCTTGCGAGTTCGATCTGCGCACTTATCGCGCGAGCAACTGAGGCAGAGGAGAAGCCCTCTCATGATACAGCGGCAGCAAGCATAGAGGAACGAGACACTGCCCCGCGAGAAGCTCAGAGGCCCCCGAAAAGGCACAAACCATCACCAGCTACCCATTGAGACGCATGCGCTACAATCGCGGACGTCGCGCGATATATATATATATATATATATATTTACAAGGCGCTTTTGTATGCCTTCTGGACCCTTTTGCGTAGGATGGGTGCCTTCTCTTTCTTTCTTTTTTTCTCTCTTGCATTTGTACGAGGAGGAGGGGGAAGGGGGCGGAGCACGAGAGCCTCTTGATCCTCTAACGAGGAGCAGCCGAATTATTTCAACAAAACTATTAGTCTTAAAAGCGATCATTCAAGGGTGTTACAGTGTATACGCACCCGAGTAAGGGGTGCCCATAGAGAGGCAGCACAAGGGTTGAGAAGAGGCGATGGTGGCGGGCAGATCGCCATAGCGGTGTTGATTAAAAAGCAGACGGTAGCGTTAGCACGCTGTTTTTTCTCGCAAATTCAGAGGCGCCTACCTGTATGCAGGCAACGACGAAAGTATCACTAAAGTAACTAAAGGCCAGGAGTGCCAGAGGGAGAGAGGCTGCTGCTGCTCCCTAGAAACATCAAGGCGTGCATAAAAACGTCGTGTGCATTGCTCCCCGACCTACGTGGAGCCTCCTCTATAGGAAAAGCCTACTACCAAAAAAAGTCGGACAAACTTGAGGGCTGTATAGCCTGCGCTGCACGTATGCCTGGTGGCCTTGCAGCCAGCAGCAGCCAAGGCGAGGCACCGCACTTCTTAGGCAGCGACTCGAACTGCTGCTGCTGCACCTGCTGTTGTTGCACTTCTAACAGTCCCACCTGCTGCCTGCCTGGGTGGCCCTCTCGCAGACTCGACCTCCCGATCCTCTGCATGCGTGTGTGCACTGTTTACCGAGAAAAAAAAGCCCCAGAGAGGCTTTTCTGGACGTGGCACTTTGGATTTCTCAGACATGCTCCTTTTCTCCTAAGCGGGCAAGAGGGCAGCGCTGGTTATTCTCCAGCCCCCTACCTCCACGAATCTTTGTTTTGAGGAACGAGGAAGGGCCAACCAAATCCACGGGTGCCGCTTCTCCTTCCCTTGTTTACTTCAAACACACGCAATTTGACACGCAAGAGGCCTAACGACGACGGACCTCTTGCTTAGCCGGCTACCCCAGGAAGCGCCGCTGCTAGTACTGCCCTCCCTTCTCCCTCATCAGGCAGCCTCTGCCTGCCGAGAGAAAGCTCTCGGCAGGCAGAGGCTGTACTAGCAGCGTGAGGAAATTCTCCTCCAGCAGAACGCGATGACCACTCAAACACGCGCCGCTTCGTTCTCTGCCCCCGAAGCGGCTGCTGGAACGAGCGCAGCAGCAGTAAGACTCGCATCAAAAGCAAAGGCCCTCTGTACCGCAGGCTGCACCAGACATTTAGGGGCCCTTCCTGCTCCCCGCCGCATGGCACACAAGACGAGCCTGTCACAATCCTTCGGCGAAACGATCCCCCAGCGTCTCAACGCCGCTTCGTCCATCGCCAACGTAAGCCACGAGGTGGGCGCGGGGGCCCTAGGGGCCCCCCCCTCACCTGCCGCCTCTGCACCCTTCACCAGATGCAGAAAAGAGCAGACTGGCCGACGGAAGTAGAGGCGATACACGAAACGCGACAGGGGCCCCCATGCAGCAGCAGGGCCAGAGGGGCCCCCGTCTTCTCCCACCCCATCGCATGCGTAGGGCCCATCTTCTTCCTCGCCAGCGGCAGCCTCCGTGGAGGCAGTCTTGCTTCTGCCACTCTCCAGCACGCGGCTGACTTTCTTGATCAGCGAGAAGGAAACGCTGTCAAGCAGCCACAATCCCGTCTCCTCCTCTCCGCCATCCCCCTCCCTCGCCTTCCAGATGCTGACAAAGCAGGGCCCCCCCCCCCCCTTTGCGGGAAGGCCACCCCTAGAGCCGACCTTCCTGTCTTCCGAGTGAACCTGGAAGGTAAGGGGCCCCCTCACCAGCCAGAAGCCGTCGGAGACAGCGGCGAGGGGAAGCGATAGCGGCAGCAACGCGTGCGGCGTCCCCTACGGCACCAGGAACCCACACAGGCAGGCGTAGACAGAAAGGCTGGCGAGTCTAGAGACTGCACAGAAAGGCACAACATTGCCTCTTGCTCCCCCCCATAAAAAGCGGTAACAGCCATACACGCGAGCAGGAAGAAACGCCATGTATGCCTACACCAGAGAGTACAATATATACCAAGGAATCTAACAAGTCAGGGGGGGGGGGGCCGCCGCCTAGAATTTTCAGTGGCAGCAAGGAGCGATATATATACATATATATATATGTATTTTTATGGATTTAAATATTAATATGCATACAAATATATATACAGCAGAGTGTAAATCATAGGTGCTTGCTTGCTGCAAGGTGAAAATCTTGCCTAAGCAACCTACGTGGCTGTTCGCTATCTCTGAGACCTGCTGTACCTGTGGCGTTGTTTCAAGGCTGCGCTGCTCCTCCTCTGAGAGGGGGAGGCGAATCGCGAGACTTTTCAGTTGTGCCTCTAGCTCTGCAACTCGCGTCTCTAGAGCTTCGTTGTGGCGGCGTTCCTTCTCCAGCGTCTCGTGGAGACTGATTTCGGGATGTTCGCTGAGCAGGCAGGGGCCCTCCAGGGAGGAGCAGTCCATCAAGTCTCTCGCCGCTGCTGCGCTATTTAATGCGGCGTCTGCTGCGGGTAGAAGCGGTGATACGGGAGCTTCTCTATCGTTCTCCTCTGTGCCTTGCAGCGAAAACAACACAGCAGGGGTGGCCTGTGAACAACTCCCGCTGCAGATTCTTCCCTCCGGAGGACGATGAGCTGCTCGCACTTTGGGGGGGTAAACTGCTGTCTGCAGAGCCTCCTGCTCTGAGTCAGGAGGAGGAGGAAGGCTGCACACAGAGGTTTCTGCGCCACTGACTTTCCGACTTGGAAGTGTTGAGGAGCCGCTGAACCCTCGAGGCTGGAAATGCTCTCCTGCCCAGGAGAGGGACTGCCTGCCGTCTATGCCCCCGCTGCTGCTGTCTTGTTTTTTTTGCAACAAAGCCTCCTTCGCTGATCCCCCGCTATCTGGAAACAGCGTAGCCTCACTCCCAGAGAGACACTGATCGTCGCGTCTTGCCAAAGCGTCTCCTCGAGGGCACAACTCGAAGCCGCGAAGCCTCACCAGCTGCCTGAGAGCGACATCCACCTTCTCCCCCCACACTTTGAAGGCTGCTCCTGCAGAGGCCACTCCACCTTCTCCCTTTTGACATTCCTGAGCCTCCCGCTGCTGACGCGGTTGTAGCAGTCGCAGCATCCCCGCTGGTGCCTTCTCCTCCTCCCTCTCTGCCGCTTCCATAAGGCCTGCCTCTGCCAAACGCTCCAGCAGCTGGGCAGCGGCTACAAACTGAGGCAGCAACAGGGAGCCACAGCAGCAGCTAGAGAGAGAGAGAAAGCGGCGAGTGAAGGCTTCATCGAAACATCCACTTCATGCGCAACAACTTATCAAGAGCAGCGCTGCAACGCCCACAGACCAGCGCTGCTCTTCGCTTTTCTCTCTCTCTTTCTCTCTCGCGAGAGAGAGACAGAGAGAGATAAGCCGCCGTCGCAATAAAACCAGTAAAACGCTAACAGCTCCGCATGCAGAAATCCAGAAAGACAACAAGTGCCGTTCCAGCTTACCTCAGCATCAAATGACGTAGCAGCAGAGGGCAGCACCGAACTCTCAGTCGCGCACAGGGGGGAAACGCTGCCGCCTCTTTTTTCTGAAAAAGGCAGAAAACTACTCGTTTCCAACAGTTCGCTTGAAGTATCAGAAGCGTTCATGCTGAACTCCTCCTCCAGCCGTGAAATAGATGCTGATCCTGGTACCGCTTCTGTGGCTGCATCGTCTATCACGATTGCTGCTTCCGATATTTCTGTTACTTCTTTCGCTGCATCTTCTGCGGCGGCTCCTGCGATTACGGCCGCTTCTTTGGTTGTCTTTGTTGCTTCCTCTGTTGTTCTCTCTGCTGCTTCTCTCGCTGCTGCTTCTCTCGGTGCTCCGTGTGTTGCGTTTTCTGCGCTTGTCGGCTTGCCTCGCCCTTCAGAGAGCTTGCACTGCTCCCTTGTGAGTGCCTCTCGGAGCTTCAGCAGAGGCAGCACTTTCCTCAATGTCTTTACGAGCGCTTCTGCGACTGCAGCAGCGCTCGAATTCAGTAGAAATACAGGGTGTGCTTCCGCAGGCAGCACATGCGTGGTGTCGTCCTCATGAATCCCCCGATCGATGCAGTTTCGTGATTCCAGCAGCCGCACCAGCATTGCCTGTTGACAGAGAAAGCTGGCTGCCCCCCCGTCCTCACGAAAAAGGCCTTCCTTCTGAAGTTGCTGCTGCAGCTGGGGACTGTACAAGGCGTGTCGCATCAGGAGCTGAAGTAAGTGCTGCTGCTCCTGCCGTTCGCCTCGCTCGCGTTCTTCCTCCTCGGCTTTTTGAGGCTTAAACTCCACCGCACACGACGACGACGAGGACATGCAGTCGGCGAGAGGGAGCTCCCGCTTTTCCGCCTGCGCGCAAGAGACAGCAACTTGGTGCCACCACGCATGCCACGACAGCAGCAACAGCAACAACAGCAACAGCAACAACAACAGCAGCAGAAGTTCTACGTAGACGCTCAGCTCCTTCCAGCGCCTCGCTCGCAGCACCTTTCTTCCCCCTTTCCCCTCTTTTTCTGGCTCCCTCGAAAAAATCACGCGCATGCAGAAAAAAGGCAGCCTCATCAACACGCAGCCAGCACAGGAGGCGGCCAGTACCAACAGTAGCAGGGATACATCTCACGCACTTGACAAGCAGCAGTCAGCAGACACCGCAGCTGAGACTTCGCCAGCTCCGCCTCCTCCGCTGCGTCAATAAGGGCCTGCAGCAAATCAGCTGTGCCCTCAGAGCCGATCTCTGAAGGCACATCGCCCTCCTCCATCTCCTTCTTGCCTTCCTCTACCTCCTCCTTCTCCTTCTTGCCTTCTTCCGTTTCCCTTGTTGCCTCCACCTCCTGGAGCTGAGCATCGCACTCGTCATTTCCCCCAAGCAGAGATAGTTTAGCGCGCAGTCGCTTCACCTCGGCAACC